CCTGAGTACTGGGATGGAAAGCATGTACCACCACTGCCTGGTTTTTATTATTTAAAAATTATTTATTTTTGAGACAGGGTTTCACTATTTTTAGCTGGCCTGAAACTTGCTATGTATATCAGACTGAACTTGAACTCACAGTTCTGCTTGTCTCTGCCTCCTACATCCTGGGTGTGTGACACTACATCTGGCATTTTACAAAATAGAAATCCACAAGTCACCATAATGTCATAGTGTCAGGCTCAGTCACAGCTCAGGCTTACTGCTGGAAGTCCTGGTGTACAGTCCACGTGAGACACACCAGTCACTTTCTCTAGTAATGACATATTTCATTTGGTTCTCAGGTCTTCCATACATATACTGCCTTGTTCTTACATCTTGAGCTTTTATCCCTAAAAATACTTAATATTGTATGTGTATGTGCCCGAGTATATACATGTATACCACATGCATGCAGGTACCTTCAAAGATCAGAAACTAGAGTAATAGGTGGCTATGAGCATCTGATGAGGATGCTGAGAACCAAGCCTATGTCCTCTGGAACAAGTGTCTTAACTACCAACCCACTCCTCAATTTAAAAAGAAAAAACCATGTAGATATGCTCATGTGTTACTGTGATGACATTTTTGCCAACAGGGGACCATATATAGAATGGTACTTCCGTAAGGTTATAATGGAGGTGAAGGTTTTTTATCCTGTAGTAATTCTCTCTCTCTCTCTCTCTCTCTCTCTCTCTCTCTCTCTCTCTCTCTCTCTCTCTCTCTCTCTCTCTCTCTCTCTCTCTCTCTCTCTCTCTCTCTCTCTCTCTCTCTCTCTGTGTGTGTGTGTGTGTGTGTGTGTGTGTGTGTGTGTATGTGTGTGTGTTAGTTACTTTTCCATTGCTGTGATAAGGCATTATGGCCAAGGCAAATGTATTAGCTAGTTTTATGTTAGCTTGATACTAGCTGGAATAATCAGAGGGGAGCCTCAGTTAAGAAAATGCCTCCAACCGGGTGGTGGTGGCGCACGCCTTTAATCCCAGCACTCGGGAGGCAGAGGCAGGGGGCTCTCTGTGAGTTCGAGGCTGGGCTGGACCGACAGCCTCCAAAACAATACAGAGAAACCCTGTCTCGTAAAAACCAAAAAGAAAAAAAGAAAAAGAAAAAAGAAAATGCCTCCAGAAGATGGGGCAGCAGACAAACCTGGAGGGCATTTTCTGATGGGGGAAAGCCCAGCCCACTGTGGGTGGGGCCATACCTGTGCTGGTGGTCCTGGGTTCTATAAGAGAGCAGGCTGAGCCATCCATGAGGAACAAGGCAATAAACAGCACCCTCCATGGCCTCTGCATCAGCTCCTGCCTCCAGGTTCCTGCCCTGTTGAGGTCCTGTTCTGACTGTCTTCAGTGATGGACTGTTATCTGGAAATCAACCCTTCCGTCTCCAAGATGCTTTGGCCACGGTGTTTCATACAGCAATAGTGACCCAAGCTAGGAGCAGCTTAAAGAAAGGAGAGTGTATTTGTGCTTATGGTTCCCGAGGCGTAAGCGTCCTTCCTTGCTGGGAATAGAGGTAGCAGGACAGGCGCGGTGGCTGGGGCAATGGCTGAGAGCTCGCATCTTTCCTTCTTTTTTCTTTCTTTTTCTTTTAATTTTTATTTTTTACATTCCAATCCCAGTTCCCCCTCCCTCCTTTCCTCATGGGGAGCTCGCATCTTAAGATGTGAGCAGGAAGCAGAGAGAGTGAACTGGAACTGGCTTGAGGCTTTGAAACCTCAACGCCTCTGCTCGGTTGCATACTTCCTCCAGCAAGGCCAGATCTCCTAACCCTTCCAAATGACACTGTCAAACACTCGAGGACACTCGAACCGTCGCAGCATGTGTACATAGGAGTGTGGCTGCCCGTGTGTGCATGTGCACATGGAGGTCACAGGTCAACTTTGGGTGTCTTCCTCGACTGCTCTCCAGTTTTGAGGCAGGGTCTCTCACTGAACCTAGTGCCCATCAACTCTGATAGGCTAACAGGCCCTGTGTCTCTGCCCCCTTCCTCCTAGGACTGGGGTTATAGATGCTCACCGCCGTACCCAGATTTCTATGTGGGTACTTGTGCATCCAAACTCATGCTTGCACAGCCGTCCCCTACCAGCTGACCAATCTCTCCGGCCCTCAGTCCTGATGTCTTGGTGCAACACATTACTCACACGCATGTGATACTAACAATGGTGTACACAAGTATAGCATATACAACACTCAGAAACAGTGTCACTAGTTATACCCTACACTATTATTGTAGAGTGTATTCTTCGTATTTATAAAGAAAACAGTTGTTATAAACGGTGTGCCATGATACATTATGAAGAGTCTCATACATTGTGGCTCCCCACCTCCCGCCCCCCCATCTCTCTCTGTCTCTCTTTGAGAAAGCGTCTCATTATATAGGGTTATCCAGGCTGGCATGGAACTTGGGTCCTCTGACCTCAGCCTCCCCAGGGTTGGGACTAGAGCTGTACACCACTATGGCCAGCTTTGCTGCATTTCTTGGTCGGCCTGTACTGTTTAGGCTAGTGTAAGCTACTCCACGATCTCACGGTGACACAATCGTCTAACTACATAAATCTCAGGACCTGGCTGTCATTAGGTAACAAAACTGTGATCCCTCTCGAGTGCTCTGTCAGGTCTGATTGTGACATCGGATTCTCACTCTCCCTGACTGTTTGGTTTTGCTTATGAAAAGACTGGCTACAAATCTTTGGAGTTAATTTTTTTTTGGGGGGGGATCGTTTTTTCTTGTTTTTTTTTTCAAGACAGGGTTTCTCTCCATGTAGCCTTTCTGCTCTGTAGACCAGGCTGAGCTTGAACTCAGAGATCTGCTTGCCTCTGTCTCCCAAGTGCTGGGATTAAAGGTGAGTGCCACCACCACCCGGCTTGAAGTTAATTCTTAAAATCACAGGTTATCAATCAGGTGAGTTCTTCTGCCCAGGGCAATGATAGAACTGTCACTGTGCTACTCATGTCCTACGCTTCCAGGTTTTTATTTGATTTTATAGACGATTCATCTGCAGTTGGGTTCAACTCATGACTGAACTTGGTGGTCATTTTCTGTTTGGAGGCTATTCTTCTACTGTGGAATTATTTTCCACTGTCTGTAATGAAAACAACCAAGTCAGTTCCCTCTTCTCTGAATCTTGGGTTCTTTCTCTGTGCAGAGAAGGTGATGACAGGAATGGATGGGGTGCCTGTCCGGCCTGGTCCAAGTGCTAGAACGATGTCAGTTTTCTTCTTGTACCCTCTCTTACTCTCCCACCTCTCTATTTTCAGGGTCTCATGTAGCCCAGGCTTGTTTTGAAATCACTATGTAGCCAAGGATGACCTTGAGCTTGTGAGTCCCCTGTCTGTACTTCTGAGTGCCATCACTTCTGACTTACTGGTGCTGGAGATCCAACCCAGGGCTTCATTCATCCCAGTAGGCACGCTGCCACCTGGACGGCAGCCCCGGCCCTCAACCTTCCTGAGAACACGTTCCTTTGAATGGGTCTTCCTCGCTGTCATTCACAGTTCCCACTGAGAGGCACACTGCCACAAATCATAACCACAAGTCACTGCTAGCCCCTTGCCTTCTCCACGTGGTCCTTCCAGTGGCTGACTCCTCATTTCCCCAGACAGCACCTTGATACAGACCAGGCCCATCCCTTTCTCTACCTATGCAGAATTACCACTCTTAATGGCTCAATTATTCCCCTTGGGCCTCTAACAAGATCATCACTCCATCTTTCAGAGCTCAATTAATGTTCCAAAAGCCTTGCTGAAAGATTCTGACTAGGTTTAATCCACCCTAATCTTTCCTTTATGAGTTTAAAAGCTTCCATGGGGCTTACCACAGAGGATAACATCCCTGGAAATTATTGGCTTTGTTCATGGTGTGGCTTTGGGCGTGACCTAGACTGTTTACCTAAAAGGACATGGCACACCTTCAGTGACACAGATCCTGAGTCCCTCATCCAAAATGCGTGATACGAGTGTTTTGGATTGTGTATTTTCTTGGGTATTTGTATGTATGTAGTTGAGATACCTTAAGGATGGAACCGAAGTATAAAGATGAGACCCACTTTGTTTCGGACAAGCCAGCCACAAGTAGTCTGCAGGTAACTCCACACAATGTTTCAATGTCATACAGGGTCAGGCATGGAATTTTCCACTTGTACTACCATGCTGGTGTTGAGTGTGCCAGGTTTTTGGATCAGGTGTTGTCTGTTCCTCTTTCCACCCCAACCCCAGACAACACCTGATCCAAAAACCTGGCACACTCAACACCAGCATGGTAGTACAAGAGGAACGGGGGCTGGGAAAAAAGGAAGCACATGGTTTGGAACTCATCTCACATGAGAAGCATCTGGGGATGTGCTTATACAGTTCATGGAATGAACAGGGCACAGTACACTATTCATAGAGGCAGAATCGGAAGCCCAGGAGAACTCAGACACTGAGTTCTTGTTTATCTTCCCTAAAAGAGATGATGAGCTCCCAGGAGAGGAATTCAGTCTCCATCCCTTGAGACTACCACCCATCCCCAGGGCTTTGGCCCAACCTTTTACTAAAAATGACACGTTTTCATTTGTATGGTGTTTTGGGGGTAACAAGTGCCTCTGTATAATCTGCTTTTCAAAAGTGCTGTGAGGCAAGACAAATGGGTGCTTGCATTCCAGTTTTATTGATATAGAATCTGAGAAGTTGAGCGTGAGAACGGGCTTTGAATATACGGGGTTCTAACTTGCACCATCATCCCGTGCTTTGGAATTATAGAGATACTTAACATGATCAGGTGGTACTTCTGGATTCTTGTTAGGTTCTTTGAGGTGAAATTAACATGGCATACAATAGTTTTTAAAAATAATTCATTGGCATTTAGTACATTCGCAGTGATGATCACCACCGCCATTTTCAAAGTCCCCCCCCCGTGGTTTTGTGCAAAATAAAAGGGAGAATGTATATGAGGCATACAGCTCTGGCCTTGCTCCGAGACAGTGGTCTGTATTTTCAGATTTAATCCAGATTCCTCTCAGATCAGCTAATGTAGAATTAGAAATTACCTAGAATTAGCACCATTTGAAAATCAGGTTGAAGGGATATGATATAATTCATATCCCAATCTGGCTTTCTTCCAAAATGGCATACTCTCTTCCATGAAAACTCCCTGAGCAACCAGACACATCTACCAGTGATCAACTACATTGTCAAAGAGACTCTTCTTTGCTGGAAGGAGTTTGTCTTCCTAGTCAGGCTGTGACAGGCATAGCTCAGAGGCCATCACAAGGCTCCCATTGTCTTGGACACGAGGCACGGCAGGTGCTGAGTGTAATAGAACACTGACCAGTCAGCCCCAGACTCCAGCTACCATCAGGTAACCAGTGCTTTCGTTTCTTTAGAAACTGTGGGTTTGGTGAGCAACAATATATGCTTGTCATAGGGCTGTGACGGAGCTGGACAGGGCCAGTCTGGACTCTGGTCTTATCATCCCCCCCTCCCCGCAACCCTACCTGGTATAGGACTAAAGACACTCTGGCTCCTACACCTGTATATGCATCAGATGGAGGATGAGGGATAGGACCAGGCTAAGCCAAGAATAAAGCGGTCTTTCATTAAAGGCTCTGGTCCTCTGTAAACCTTGGAGCAGCCAAGTTCCCAAGAAGTGACAGTTCCTTTGGCTTCTGAGGGCACCAAGTATAGAAGCAAGGTTGGCCACAGTGTCCAGGGCTTCTGCAGCTGAAGGCCAGATCAGGAGTGTAGTTGGGAATTTGGGTGAAGATCCATTCAGTGTCCTAGAAACTGGCAGCATTTGGACTTGCTGGAAGAACATCTTTTTAGGAACGTCTCAGGGCTCTCCACAGCATCATTCCAAGGATGCCAACTACCAGGCCACCTATTGCCGCCACCGGCACTGCCCAGTACAGCACCTTGGAGGATGATACGTCTGGGAGGAGCTGAGTATTCCGAAGGGTGTAGAGGAAAGGGCTTTCCTGGGGAAGGAGGCGGGAGGATCAGAGGTTAAAGGTTTCTATCCACCCATCCATCTGCCCAAATTCCATCTCTAAAAGAGAGCGATGACCTCACTGCTGCATGTCCTTGTTGTAAATCTCCTTCACACTGTACCTGAACCTTCCCTGTGAGGATGGGTCTGTCAAATGGTCAACACCCAGTTATAACCTCTCTTTGTTTTCTCACCAAATGTAATTTTGAGAGATGGGGAATTGGTAAGCTACTATTAGAAGACTCTTGAGGTGCAGGCTGCTCTGAGTCCATCTGGTAGTTTCCCATTCCAAGAGTGCCCAGGGCTCAGGAAAACTCAGGGCAAGAGGAGCCCTGGTCTTGTAGTGGATTCAAGCACCCAAGGGAGAAGTGGATGGGAGGGCAGGCATCTGAGCCTGCCTCTGTGGGTCTCCTGCCCTCTTAGCAAACAAACCTCAGGCACTGCTCCCAGGTTGGGAGCTCTGATGAGCAACTGTGGACTAAGGATATATATCTTCTCATTGTCCAGGAGGGAGCTGTGCAGGAACAACCACATTAAAAAGGAGAGGAGGCAGGAGCCGTAGAACAAGACGAGGTGGAGAGTAGCCCAGGGGATGAGGGACCAATGGGTGGGGTCAGAAGGGGGTGAACATTTTCAGTCAAAGTCAGTAGCGAATGGAAGTAAAACCACACTCATGGGACTCCTCTGGGAAGTGGGGCCATTTGCCTGGGGTGTGAAGTGTGAAATAGTGAGAAGCAGGTCCCCCCCTCTGGGTAGTGGTGACCAGACATGGAGTCCAACATCCTTGACAAGAATGGATTTACTTTTCAGGATAGCCATTCAGTGTTTAGAAGCAAGCAGAGGATGCTGGAGAGCTGAAGGGACAGGTGGGAACAGACAGTGTCTTCATGGTCACCTCCCATCCTTGAGCTCCTAGTGTCCGGCTGGGCACTACAGGATCCGCAAATCCTTCTGAAGGTAAAGTAGTTTAAAGCATCTAGCCAGCACTGTCTGGCATGACTCCTCTCTACCAATGGAGTTGCTGGCTCCTGCTTCCCTTATTTTGTGGCAGCCAGAAGGGGAGGTTGTGATGCTGTGAGTGGCAGTATGGTTAAGTCCCACCCCCACCCATTCAGTCAACTTAGGACGGGTAGGGTACTCATTGTTCACTCACAGGTGAAGGACACTTGAGTTTCGTTCGGCTGTATGTGAAGTTATTGGAGGTTGTCTTACGGCCCACTGGTTCCAGCTGGAAGGAGAAAAAGCATACCTTGATTGTGTGGAAAGTTGGGGTCTGGCTTACGTGGATACTCTTTTGGAAGGGCAGGTTCAAATCAGCAACTTGGTAAGATCTGCTGCACAGCAGCTCTGACCCTAGCTGACTTTGAACTCACAGGGAGAAAAAGTCTGACTGAACTGGGCAGGACCCCTGAGTTGATGCTTTGAGACTTACCCAGAAGGACATCAGGGCCCCAGGAAAGAACAATCGGGCCATAGTGAGTCTCTCAAAGGTCTGGGACCAGAATGCCAACTGCCTCTCCACTCATGATTGAAGACACTATCTTCAATTTTATGAAATAGTGATCATATTTACCAACTTGTGCAAGTGTGTGTGCGGCTAGTCAGTTTCAGGAGAACTTTGAAAGCATATTGGTTACCATGACATCCTTACTACTCTTGGCTTGCCAGCGTTAAACTGGAACCTCACTGGAGCTGGTTTAAGGGTTGTCACACAGACAAAAACATTTACTTGAAATATCCCAGGGAGCAGCTGTGCTTCGGTGGGGTGCTGTTAAATGCTTCCATATCAGGCTGTGGAAGAAGTAGCAGGAATATATACCCCCATCTCAGCAAAACGTAGGTAGTAGTCTGTCCTGGACTTGTGTCCGAAGGAGAGGAAAAGATCAGGTACTTTGGGGGCTGGAGAGATGGCTCAGAGGTTAAGAGCACTGACTGCTCTTCCAGGGGTCCTGAGTTCAATTCCCAGCAACCACATGATGGCTCACAACCATCTACAGTTCAATCTGGTACCCTCTTCTGGCATGTAGGCAGAACACTGTATATGTAATAAATAAATAAATAAATAAATAAATAAATAAATAAATAAATAAATCTTTAAAAAAAAAACCAGGTACTTTGAACTGGTCTCGCCTTCATCCACTGTAATTTGCTTCAGGTCCGTTCTTGGCCACCAAGCCCTGACCATGCAGGAAGTAAATACTCTGTCCACGCCGGTGACAGACCTGGGCCCTGATCTCACTGTCTGCTGTCTGAATGCCTTCCACACCCATTTCTTGGGAACTCAGAGGATAGGGAATGACTCCGGGCTTGGGAGAGATGCCACAAACCACAAGCACACCTCTGAACCCTGGCTCAGCCACCAATGGCCACACAGGGGCGACCAGTTGCTTTCTCCAAGGCAGCAGGGTGGCTGGTGCTCACTGGTGGAATTTTTAGGACATTTATTTTAGGGCTTCCAGAGAAATGACGACATGGAAGTATGTATGAAGTGGCATGGGCGATGGATGCAGATCTATTTCCGCTTTCTTAGAGCCAAGGAGACACAACTGTGCTCTAGCAAGCGGAAGTGCTGGGATAGAATGAAGGTTAACGGTGTGGTTGGCTGATCCCCAGGGCTGTTCTGAAACCTGCTGGCACAGAGGACAGCTGTGACCCTGGGGCTCAGTGAGCCTCTATTACCTCTTCCTGTTGGTTCACACCAGAGTGCATCTACTCCACCCTCAGCCCTCCTTCACCACCTGGACTGTCACTCTTTATAACGTTTTTGCAGTCAGTTATATTCATACCAAGTCCCCCCCCCCAACCTGCCCCTTGGTAATCGGCCCTCTGATTCCCTGCTGCTTACTCCTCCCTTAGGGCAGCTAATTCTGTGGTTCCAAATACTACATTGGGGTATTAATGCCACTTTTCTGTTGTGATTGTCAAACCTCACCTGGACTTTCCCATTTGAGCTCTTGCCTGTAGTAGACCCCAGGGCCTCTGTGTAGATGTCTAGGGAGCAGCTCTAACTTCCCACGTCCGAAACAGAACACGATTTCTAAGTCGATGTCTCTCTTGCTGTTTGACATTTGCTCAGTGCTCTAGACCCCAAGCTTCACCCAGTCAGTTTTAAGCACACCCTAAGATGATCACAGCTCTCCTCCATGGCTGTCACCCTGGGCCCAGCCACATTCCGCTCATGCTAAATTTCTACTTGTGTCTTTTGTCCCAGCCCATGTCTGCAGTGACCAGAGGGCAAGCAGGACACGTCAGCCCCGTGTTTAAAACAGCCGAGGATATGGCGCTTGCCTGTCTTTCTGACCCTGGTTCCTGACCCCCGGAGCATCACACTGGCTTGTGTGTTCCTCAGAAGCTTCATTCCTGACTCCACGCCACATGGGTCCTGTTTCTTCTCCCTGGAACACCGTGGCCCGGACCTCTGGCTGCCTGGCAACCTCTTGACATTCAATTCACATGCCATCAGTGCCACCCTCAACACTACCCCATGTCTCCACTTCTTGTAAAGCTCAATGTGGTCAGTTGTATATGATCTTGTTGACCTATCTGACTTGATTCTCATCTGTCTTTTCCTGGCCCCACTATTAACACTCCATGAGAGACAGGGGTATTATTTACTCTGTTGGAACAGTACCTACCACACAATAGTGCTGGATAGTTGGTTGATGAATGGATGGAGAAATGGAAGTCTGCAGGACTTGTATGGAAATACTAACAAGGGAAAAAGCCTTGGTGCAACTCCAGGAAATGGAGTTTTTTTTTTTTCTAGAAACAACCATTCCTAACACAGGCACTGTGGGGTACCGGTGATGCAGCCAATCTCTGGGCTTGGGAACTGGCCTCCACTGCCACTGGCCTGGAGAGGTATAAGAGGTCCCCAGGGAAGCTTTCCCTTGAATGTTTAGAGTAGGCAAGGTGGGAAAGAAAAGTGTAAAATAGAGGCAGGGGCTCCCTAGCATGATTGCCAGAGAAAGGGGCCAAGTCCCCCAAAGCCTTGTATGCTGTGCCAAAGGGATCTAACCTGTTTCCTTCTTTTCTGTTATAGTGGCATGTGACTTTAATCCTAGCAGTCAGGCAGATCTGTCAGTTCTAGACCAGCTTGGTTTATATGGCTGGCCAGGGATATATAGTGAGACCCTATCTCAAAAGGAGGGAAGAAAGATGTCTAAGGCCTACTCCAGACAAATTATTTATCAAATATATATATATATATATGTGTGTGTGTGTGTGTGTGTGTGTGTGTGTGTGTGTGTGTGTGTGTGTGTACACAGGAGGACAGCTGCCCTAGAGGACCAGAAGGGCATCAGATCCCCTTACAGTTTATAAGCAATGGTAAACTTCCTGTGCTGGATAGGTTTTTGTCAACTTGGCACATGCAATAGTTATGAGAAGAGGGAACCACAGATGAGAAAATACCTCCATAAGATTAGACGATAGGTCTGTGTGCGGCACATTTCCTTAATGAGTGAGTGGCGTGGGCAGTGTCCCTGGATGCCGTAAGAAAGCAGGCTGGGCAAGCCAGCAAGCAGTGTTCCTCCAAGTTCGTGCCTGAGTTCATGCCCTGGCTTCCTTCATTGATGGACTCTGCTGTGCTGTGAGACTTTAAGCTGAAATAAACCCTTTTCCCCTCAAGTTCTCTTGGGGGACAGTGTTTTACAGCAGCAATAGAAACCTAACTAAGACACTGTCTGACGCAACTAGGAACTGAACTTGGGGTCTCTGCAAGAGCAGTATGCACTCTTATGATAGATGACAAGATGTGTCCAGCCCCATTGCTATGTTTTAAAAGGACTATTTCTAGAAGCTAACCGAGAGAAACAAATACATTGCAAATAAGCAGGGGTTCATTTGGATAAAGAGAACATGACCGGTACTCAAAGACTCCTCCCACACCTTCCCCTAATCCTAGGCACCCAAAGAGAGAACATCACAGAAGACAACACTGACTTAATGCCTTATAGTTAGCAGCTTGCCTTTGAGGTAGATGTGTGTGTGTGTGCATGTGCGTGTGCGTGTGTGTGTGTGTGTGCGTGTGCGTGCGTGTGCGTGTGCGTGTGTGTGCGCGCGCGTGTGTGTGAGCATCTGCTGTTGAAGTTTGCTTACTCTTGGTGTGTGAAAATACTCCAGCTTATGGATGCACAACAGTTTGTTGATGAACACTTGGGGTTTGTGTATGCTGCTGCAATGAAAACTATAGTATGTTATAGTATGTATCTTTTTAGTGGACACTTGTATATTCTTCTCTTCGGGGATAAAACTGTTGGGTCTCAGGAAATACATAGGTTCAGCATCGTTAGATACACAAGAGCTTGCTGAAGTGTTTGTAAACACTCAACTATATTTAAAAATCACCAGAGGTTGATCCGGGGAGATGACTCAGCCATTAAAGGCTCCGGAGGATTCTCATATGCATTCAGGGCTAAGAACTGTTGTATAATAGGGGCTGTGAGTCCAAAGATGAATGCTAAGTAGATGTAAGTATGACTGGCATAGGGTTTGTAGATCTCTAGAGGGAGGAGGAGAGGCAAGAGGTGTCATGACTTAAAGTACATTTGGTGCCCTGGGAACATCAGCCAAAGTGCAGACACTATGTCATAGGACTCTGGCTTTGAGACATGAATTCACCAGCTGTATATGTGCTTATCAGGCTGGGAGCGGGAGGGAGGGAGGTTGGTGTTATTAGCTGGGCCACCAGGCTGTGTGAGGCTAGAACTGGCTCATGTCTCTAGATCTTAGTTACAGAGTGTTCTGGCTGGATGACCCCTCAGACCTGTTACAGCTCTAACAGCCAATTTATCCGCTGTGACTCTAAGGGTGACATTCCAGTAAGACGACGACTAGAGAGTTGGTGGGATGCTAGAGACATGTGTCTGAGACGGTTTGGGATGAAAACATGGGACTCTGTAATTACTCCCCCAAATTACACAGGATGAGGGACTCTGAGGGTAGTTTTAATTTAGCTTTTTTTTTTTTTAATTTGGGGTATGGCTGGGGAACCAAGACTATCTTGTGTTACCAGTGCTTTTAAACCCCTTCCTCCTGCCTTCATGGAACAAAAAGGTGAGAACCATGCTGTTAATCCTCACAGTAGAGACCCATGGATTTGGTCATGTGTGAGCATCAATCTGACTATTGAGCCTCAGGAGGTCCTCCATCCCCCAAGAGTCCCAGCTGTAAGCAGATATGGCTTGCTGGGAAATCTGGGAAGGGAAGAGCAGGAACTTTGCTTTTCCCTCAGATCTTTAGGGGAGCATAAGACAGGAAATAGATTCCATAGCAACCTAGTGAGACCTTGTTTAGAAAATAAAGGATGAGTCCTGGGGATATAGCTCAGTGGCAGGTGTGTGTGTGATGCCCTCGGTTCAGTACCCAGTAAGAAAACAATGAAACACATACATCCAAAGCCAGATACAGCTATAATTCTGGCATTTGGAAGGCAGCCTTGAGAGCATCAGGTCAGCCTGGGCTACAAGAATCAAGAAAACCAAGATAAATTGAGGAAGCAGGTGGAGGGACATTTCAAAAATGTTTTTGATGGCAATTTAGAATCTTGTGCTGAAAAGGAGTATGATGGAAAGTTCTGGAACTGGGCAGACGGATGATGTCAGTGGGAGGAAAACCCCAAGGCAACAGGAGAGGAGGAAAGCTGAGTCTGCAGTTAATGAGGCTTACGTGCTGCTTTGGTTGCTAGAGAGGGGGAGGTGATGCGGTTAGGGAGAAGCCAACGTTGGGAGCCGGCTGAGGAAGGTACCAGGCAACGTGGAGGTGCCCACAGTGGTGGTTGGCACCAGCACTCTGGGGGACAGGCAGGGAATGACAGAGCAGGATATCCAACGTTCTAACCTGTGCACCTGCTCACATAAACACTTCAAAAGTACACCAGGAGCAATAGTTGAGCTTAGGGAAAAACAAACCATGTCAGTAGTTTGTCCTCTTGCAGGAAGGAACCAAAAGCCTTAGGTAGCTCCCTCAGCCACTTACCATGTTGTTCCAGAGGGCAATGGCCATCTCAGCATGCCCGCGTTCTGAGAAGTGGAGACAGTCTTCGGAGAAGAAGGTGAGGTCTGTGTCCCCTAGCTGTGACCAGAGACGAGGAGGTTACCATCTCCACGTGGCTGCCTGCTTCCCCTCCCAGCAGGTGACACAGCATTCCCCTTCCACCTGCCTCGGACACTGATGGCGACCCTCCTTTAGCAAACATGAATCACAGCTTTCCTAGCTCATCCCTGTCCTGAGAATGAAGATGCGAGGACTTTCCGTTCTGGGGTGGGGGGTGGGAGAGCGCTTGGTCACTGCTCACTTTATTGTTTCTAAGAACGTCTGAGTTCCAACCATACCCACACACAGTTGAAGAACAACTCCTCCAGGAGCCTTCCTAGAGCCCGACAATGAAAACGAGGGCTGCGTTGAAGAGCTTCCTAGAAATAGCTGCAGCTTACCTCATCCAGTGGAATGAGAGTCTGCCGGAAGAAAGGCTGGACGACGACCGCAAAGTCCTCCCGCTGCATGTACTGGTGCCTGTAGGAGAGCCCGGAGATGCCACTCTGCGGGTAAAGAGGCGAGGCTTTGGATGCTATGGGCTGGTTGTGGCAGCGGTGGACCCACCCTAGGCAACAGGAACTTAAAGGGACTATGCTGGCCCACACCTGGACTCATCCTGCTTGTAGCAAACATCTGCATCTTAGGATAAGGGTCAAGGGCCCCGGCTAGAGAAGGTCTCCATTAACAGGCTCTATTAGTTTCATCCCGAGAGGCTACATCTGAGCCACTGATGACATTGCATTGGCCACGGGTCTGGCTGCCCCCACTGCATGGGGAGTGTTTCGTCAACTCTCCAAAAATGCCTGGGAATTTAGGATGACAGGGGTAGGGAGCCCACGGGTTTTGGACCTAAGTACCAAAACATGGAATAGTAAGAGGATTAAATTAGCTGCATGTACAATAAGGACTTCATGGTTCATCTGGTAAATGGAGGTAAAAGCACAGATAGCTGGAAGGTCCACCCAGTGCAGACCTAACTTGATGTTGAGTGAAGAGGGAGTCATTGGGGGCTTCGGAGAGGAATATTACTTGGTTTGCAACAAGGCTTTGGGCGGGCTGATTCCAAACGGGGGGAGGCAAGGGAGGGAGGTACAGGTGCGTAGCGGTGTTAGGGAAGTAGATGTCATTGGGGCTAAGTTTTCTGCTTGTGGGGAGGGGGAGTGGAAGGAAGTGGGAGCCAGTACACTAACTGTTCCCCTCATAAAGGTCAGATAAGGGAAGTGACCTATGCTGCTACTTGCTCAGGGCTGACCCCGAGTCAGGGTTTCTTCCATCTGTCACTGTGTCCCTCCACTCCATCTTTCTCCGACGATGGCATCCAGTTTTCCTGGATAAATACTTGGAGAGCTAGGACCTGCATTTGAGGGAGTCACTGGCTCTCAGCCAACCCCTGGTTGATACACAAGTGCTGAGTCCCCCTCAGAGAGAGCAGCATGGGCCCCCATCCTAGACAGGAGGAAGAGAGGGTCAAGACTCACCTGGAGGTTCCAGTTCACTTTCTTCAGTTCCTGCATCGCCACGGGACTTTGAGTGTGTTTAAAGCAACTGCAGTTCCTACAAGACAAGGCATCTTGCGTTGAGGCTTCCTTGGGGTGGCCCAGCTGTGCCCTCCTGACAGGAGTTTCTGCCCACAGGGGGCTGCCTGTGCTGCCCAATGGATGTGGGGCTTGGCACACAAGTATCCCTACAACGCTTGGACCCTGGTCACAGAGCCCTAACTCAGGAGTGAGGTGAAAAAGGTGTGCCATGTTGGGATCGTCCGTGTTCCCTAAAATCTCACGTGCAGAACGAAGGCTTGGTCCCAGTGTTTGGCACTATTGTGTGGTGGTAGAACCGTTAGGAGGTGGAGCCTGCTTGAAGAAGTCACAGCAGTCACGCCCTTTGCTCTCCTACTAACTCTGTCTTGTAGCCTCCATGAAGTGAATGGTCATGTTCCCCCATCTATTCCCACCAAAAAATGTGTCATAGGGCCAAGAGACCATGGACTAAAAGCTCTGAAACCAAGAACCAAGAAAACCCTGTTCTCATAGATTGTCTGAAGTATTTTGAGGTATTTGGATCAATACAAGATACTTGTTTACAGTTGGAAGGGTTGGCAGCTAAGGCAAAGTATAGCCCCTCCATTTTCTAGGATGACTGTATCAACTGTCAGAGAAGACCAGGGTGGAGAAGGGGTAGAGTTTTGGGAAGGACGGCTCTGGCTTCCACAGTCCTGAGTCTAGTGTGTGAAGGCTATTGGAAGGCCTAAAATATCTTGATGAGGTAGGATCCAATACTAGGACCTGAGGCATGAGAAGGACTTTTCTTAGTAACCATGGTCATTCTACCTGGGGATCTGATTCCTTTGCCACCTTTAGAGGGCATCTATTTGCCATCAGGTAGGATCCCTCAGCCACAGCTGTAGAAACTGAGTCCTCAAGGCCTCGAAAGATGTCAAATTCCTGTCCAAGTTCCACAGTGACCTTTTAAAACCTCAGTGTCCCAAATGCCCATTCCTAGCTGACCTCCAAGTTCTGCTTTTGATAAGTGATAAAGGCTATCTCCTGAGAGCCTGTTCTAGACTACGTATTTCCTGTTGGTGCTGCTTTTGGGGAATGAGTTACCCCTATTTTAAAGGCAAGTACTCAGAGGTCTAGAGAGACTGTGGGTTCAGGTTCAATTGTTCCCCAGTAGCAGTATTTTAGGGACACTGGAGGTATCCTTGAAACTCACTGTCCCTTGCAGGAAGTAGACTTTGAGGGTAGAATTTGGACTCAGAAGTGTTGGGAGTCTTATGGGTTTTTGATGTGCCACTTCATAGAAAAGCAGACCACTACCTGGGGAATGGAGTAGGCATTTGGTTCTATAGTCGGTTCCAAGTGTTTTCTAAGTCCCTGGCTCCTGGCCCTGCCCACCCCAGGCAACCATGCCCTGCATACTTACTGAACTGACGGCAGCATGGCACACTGCCCATTTTGGCCCTGGTGCAGGCCAGCCAGCTCCATGACCTCCACCACATTGATGAAAGCCCTGGGAAGCTGCAGGAAGCAGAGGTGTGGGTTTTATGAGTTGGGGGTAGGCAGCCTGAAGGACAGTCTCCAGTCTAACCTCGCCCTGCCTGATATTACCATGGGAGAAATGGATGCCTGCGGAGGGGGCTATGTGATCCCACTGACTCTTCAGTGTCTCACCTCATGAGGTAGGGAAGCTGAGACCCAGAGAAATCCCAGCATCCCAGTGCTAATAAAAACCACAGTGCCCGCCTGCAAACCCAGGCCAGTGGGAGCTCTTTGCTATGCCACTGTCCAGCTTCCAAGCCAGTTAGAAGCTGTCCTGTAACTTGCCTAGATGCACTCGGGGGCAGGGGGGTGGGGATGGGGGTGGGGAGGGGCTCCACATATGGCAGCCATGGGAAAAAGCAGGGCTGCTTGCAGGACCAGGAAATGGACTGCTCACTATCCCCTCCTACCTCCTCATAGAGGATGTCCAAGGCCCGCTGGACATGCTTGACATACTCATTGGCCGAGTGGTTCTCCTGTAAGGGGAGAAGGGGGTCCCTGTAGCTTTCTGCTCGGAAGGCAGAATCAGTGGGTGAACTGAGCAGCTCCTGTGCCCAAGAGCCCTGCCTCCTTGCATTCCCCAGAGATCAGATGGTGTCCTTTGTCATAAATATATGCTCCATGGAGCAGATATGGAGTTGCTTACATCAGGGGCATTCCCCACACCATGTGTCCACAGGCAGCTCTGGGCATCCTCTGGTTTCCAGGGAGCCCAGAATATTGGAATCCCTGCTGTGGGATATTTGTACACTGTGCGGAAATGTACTGCTGTGAATGGTGTAATATAAAGTAGAATGGCCAACAGCTGGGAAGAAGTTAGGAGGGACTTCCAAGGCAGAGGGGACTCTGGGAAGAAGGGCGGAGTCGACAGCCAGATGAAGAAACAGGAGGTGCAAGATGGAAAAGAGGTAACACCACGTGACAGATGTAGATTAATATAAATGGGTTAATTCAAGTTACAAGCGCTAGTTAGGAACAAGCCTAAGCTCTAGGCTGAGCTTTCATAACTAATAAGTCTCTGTGTCATTATTTGCAGGCTGGCGATCCTGATGAAAAGTATGATTACAAAGCCCCAGGGGTTAGGTCCTTGTTGTGTACCCCAGTTCTGGGCAGTAAGGGAAAGGACCTAGGGGAGAGCCTGTAAGGGAACATAACCACAGTTGCTCTCTGTCCTCCACCAGGAGCTAAGGGCTTCCTGCCCACCCCCAACAGTGACTGTCGAACATTCTACCACGTCTTCAGAGTCCTGGCAGCTGCTTTTGCTGGCCAAATAAAATACGAGATGTCCCCTGCTTAGAACAAGATGTATTCTAGAGGGGACAGTTTCTAAAGGCTGGACATGTTTCCCCATAGAGACACATCAGGAATGGGGTCAGCTCCCAGGCCAGCTGGCTGGAGTTGGCTGGTTAACTTACCATGGTTCTGAAGGACAGCAAGGACACTCAAGTTTGGTTCTACTTTGTCCCAATTCCACTTAGAAGATTGTATTACCTCCCCTTCCAAGGGATGGCAGACTCCAAACAGGCATGAGACAAAGAATCACTGGCTACCTATCTACCAGGACGTGCCATCTATATGCCCCGGGGAGGCCACGCCCCTAGCGTGTGAAGATTGGATCCTTCTAGACCTTTCTTCTGAGTAGGGAACCACTTAGGAAAAGCTAAGCCTCACTTGTTATGTGTGGACCAGAGGCTGCCAGGTTAGTACGACATTCAAAAGGGACGGGCATATGTCACAGCCCACAGTGAGGAGGATGGGGGTCAGCCATTTTGTTCCCATGCCCCAGTGTGGCTAGTCAGCAGCTTACCGGGTTCTCACAGTAACGACAAAGGTCATTGACCCCGATGAAGAGAGTAACCAGCTTCCAGTCTTCCTCCAGGTTGATCCCCTGAGGGGACAGATCCCAAGGTTAAGGTTTGGGGACAATTGCTGGTGAGACTAGCCATCTATGGAGCCTGCTGATTCTCAGGCACCTTCATCTTTTTTGAATCATACGGAATATGAGGTGGTAACTCCTTCATTGCCATGGTCCCTGAGATGATGGGAGCTCTGCTATAAGAAGTGTGGGGAGTATTTTTTCGGAATATGAGGTGGTAACTCCTTCATTGCCATGGGGCCCTGAGATACATACGAGACAGGCTAATCCCCCCCAATCCTCCTAAAGTGCCAGAATGGGTGTGTCTCGCATTTCCCCAAGTCTTTGAAAGGCCTGCTGGATATGGTGCCCCTCAAATGTGATCTGAGGCATTCAAAAGTGCTTGTGTCAGAAGACAGAACTTGAGGGCAAGTTAGGGCTCCTAGGGCCTGGGTTCATGGAGGGAGAACCCAGCAGGGTCAGGATGGTGGGGAGACCAGGAAGGCCCAGGAACTGTGACTTCCCCACTCAGCCCTCCACCATAAAAGGAGTCCCTCCAGGAGCCGCAGTCCGCAGCACAAGAACAGAGCAGTAGGAGAAAAGTGCAAGTGAGATTCTGAGGGCTGGGGGCTGGGAAGGATTGGAACTGGCAGCCTATTTTTAGCACTTAGTGTTTATATAAGAGGGCTCTGGGAAGCCAGCTCTGGGATAAAGAGCCCGAGGCCTGTGATCTTGGCCAACTCCCTGCGCCACCTTGTCCTTCGGCAGCCAGCCCCGGGGCAGGGTGCCAGGCAGAGCTCCTGTGAGCTCCCTTGAAGATCTGCTGCAGGGGCAGGCTCGGGGTTCCGCAGGCCTGCAACTCCCCAGTTAAAGAGCATCTTCTGGGGTCTATACTCACGGGTGTGTTTCTCATTCTCTCTACCAGAGCCTGGGCCTGGGCCGGCATGTCCCTAGGGAGAAGGGAGAGAAGTCACTATCAGAGTTGCTCAGGATGGAGGCCTTAGGAAGACTAACTCCATGAATACCATTCTTCCCAGCTGGCCTTGGAGTCTGTCCTGCAGAAGCTGCCGGCTTGTTCTCACTAGGGACCGGGGCTACACTGCTCCAGACCCTGGATGCTCACGGGATGGGGCCAGTGTCTCATTGACCTCTTATCTAGGATGTGGACAGCATCCTCAGATTTACCCCCATTTTATCAAGTCTTTTCACTACAAGCTGAGCCTGTTTGATTTTTACTCCATTGCCTGTTTTAAAAAATAATCTTTTATTTGTGAAAAAAGCCACATTCCTAAATTAGTCCCAGACTTCTCCTTCCTGGGCTTGATGTCTCCTTTCACTGCTGTGTCTGAGCCCCAGTGGCCAATGCTTTGGTCCCTTTAGTCTTCTCCATGGTTACTTGGATTTTGGCACTATTATCCCTGCTCCCAACAAGACAGGATAGGAGAGACTGTATGGGCAGGGTTGGGATTCTTTTTGTCTCCCTATTGTTTGGTAAATAAAGGTACGCTGTTAGGTTCTAGACAATTACGTGTGGTAGTGGAAAACCACCCGGCAATGAAAAGGAACGAAGCATTTTTGTACTCAGCAGCGTGGATGGCCCCGAGATAGCTCTGTGAGTGACAGGCATCTTCCCTGCATGAGAGTGGTGGTTGTCTGGAGAGATGGCTCAGTGGTTGAGAGAGTGGTGACTGTCCCACAGGTACACAGGTGTCAAGACTTAGCAAATGGTATGCCTTTGGATATGTGAGCTTTATTGTGGGTCAGGATACCTTGGTGAAGCTGCTTCCCTAAAACGAGGTATGTATTGAGCCCGGGGTGGTGGAGCAGACCTGCAATCCCAGCATTTGGGATGTAGAGGCAGGAGAATTGGAAGTTGAAGGCCAGCCTTGGTTACGTGGTGAATAAGAGGTAAACCTGGGTTACCTGAGACCCTGCCACAAAACAGCGATTGATCTGAGAAGCTAGATGAACAAATGACACACAGCTAACCCAAGATGGTTACAGGCTGTGCGCGGACACTGGGAAGACTTGTCAGCATTTGTGGTGCCGTCCCTGACCTTCTCCTGGAGAAGAGAGAACTTATGTGCCTAGGACTATAGTGACAGGGACAGAAGTTATAAAGGCAACCACAGATACACTGTAACTTCTGATAGGCCCCAGTCAGGCTAAAGAGAATTCATGGTGAGGAGGCCTTAAGGTTCTGCAGGGAGGCCCCTCCCCCCAGCCAGCTTCTTCCTACTCCGCAGGCCCTCACCGTGCTCTTCATGCATCCTTATCCACGGGTCCTCCATCTTGTCTCCCCATTCCCTCCAGGGCCCGGGGTCCCTCCTTGCAGCTGTGTGCACAGCTCTGTGAATTTCTGCAGGTCCCAGGCCTGAGACAGCGTGTCTTGACATGACCCTGCCTTCCTAAGAGCCTTCTGAGAAGCAGATGGCTCCAGTCTGCAGTGCTGCCATACATAGCTTCCTTTCCCCCAAAGCTAGCTGCTCTTCATCTAGTTCTTGGCTGGACTAACTCAGAGCCAGGACTTCACCCCTTGAGTCTCCGGGATCACTCAGGTAAGGCAGATGCTGAATGCATTTTTTGCTTCATGATCAATGGAAGGGAAATCAGCTGTTGAATAAGATTTTGAAACTAAATGTCCCAAGAATGGCAAACTTCTGTGTGAATGTGTACTATATGCCACACTCAATCTTTCCAAGGCTTATTTATCTCCTTTAATCCTATGACAGCCCTGAGAGACAGGTACTGTGATTAACCTCATGAGAGAGGAGAAGACTAAAGACTCAGAGATGCTAAGCAACTTGGCCAAGGTCACACAGCCAGCAAGTTTCTGAGTGGCAATCTGAACACAGAAGATCTGATCTCTGAGGACCTGACAGTTACATGGGGGCTGGGGATTCAAACTCGGGTCATTCATGTATTATCTTTCTCTTCAGATGAGCTTACACTTAGCCACACTGATAAATGACAGGGTAGAAATAAGGAAAAGAGAACAATTCTCAAACCCTAATTAAACCAACGGCTTCCCCTGGACACAACACTGTGGATGTCAGCTATATCTCCAACCACTGCCTCTGCTCAGGCAAAGATGCTACGTAAGGCAGTAAGACAAGGGGAAGGTGGGGGACCGGGGAGATATCTCGGTGGGTACAGTGCTTGCTATCCAAGCATGAGGAGCCGAGTTTGAGTCCCCAGCGCCCAAGTAAGTCCAGGTTCAACAGCGTACACCTGTAATCTCAGTGCTGAAGTGCAGGCTGTGCAACCCTGGAGTTCACCAGACAGTTAATGTAGCCATATCAGTGAGCTCCAGGTTCAGAGAGAGTCCATGTCTCAAAATGCAAGGTGGAGGGGGCAGCGAGTCAGCTCAGTGGGTGGAGGTGCTTGCTATACATGAGCCGGACAACCTGAATCCAAGTCCTGGAAACCATGATGAGGGAGAGGGCTGACTTAAAGATAGCTTCTGACTTCTACAGATTCTCTTCTCATGTTTACCCCCCTCCCCCACACATGTAATAAAATGACAGGGCTGGAGAGGTGGCTTGAGAGTTAAAATATGCCTGCTTGCACAGGACAAGCATCCAGTTCCTACGCCAGGCAGCTCACAACCACCAGGGATCCCCGTCCTCTCTTCTGACCTCTGTGGGCATAGGCGCGAGCACGCGCGTGCACATACACAAGGTAATCTTTAAAAACTAAACTTTAGGTGGTGAGTTACCCAGAAAAAGGTGACCTTGTCCTTTGGCCTCTGCCTGTAGGAGCACATGTGTGCCCATGCACCTGAATACACACGCTCACACACGTGTCCATGACACCCCTTCTCCCCCATGAAGGGTTGGGGGAGGTGGAGACTGAGGAGCCAGCCTTGGTGAGCAGTGCCTGGGCTCCAGTGATCCTAACAGTAACTAGGTGCTGGAATCATCGCCCACAGGGCCCAGTGTTTGTTTGTAGACAAATAAGTCTTTCCTCAAGTAACACTGAGTACCAACACTTTTGCGGCACCAAGATCCGAGCTGAGCCCCGGGCCTGGGTCAGGCTTCCAAAAGGAATGTTCTCTGGAAGCGGCATGTGAGTCAAGCTTGTGCTGTCTCCCTGGTGACAAGAACCCAGCAACCCTTCTGCAAAGTAAATACCCAGCAGGCTCTGCTCTGCTCCATGCAGGAAATCAATGAACCTGGTCAGGCATTTCAGCTTTAATTACCTGGGTTGCTGTCAACAACAGAAAGCCCAGGGAAAACAAAACCACTGCCATGTCATTTGAGGGCCCGGCATCTAACTCTAGTGTCAAAAACAGCTCCCCCCCCCCTTCCTTTAGATGCAAGGATACGAGGCAAAACAGAAGAGCGAGGAAGAGAACTGAGCGGTTCGTGACGCTGAGAGCCCCTGATGGACAAGCGGTGGTACTGAAGTCCACAGGGACGGAGCCTGCTTGTGTCCCCGTAGGCGGACTCCTCTGGCTTCTTTAACAGCGCAGTGGTCAGCACTATGTTCAGGAATGGTCTGATCCAGGTCGTCCCTGATGACTTACTGGCTGACCTCTGCTATTTAAGAAACTCTCTAGCCACAAGGTCCACATTAGAGTACCCGTGTTCAAGGGTGTGAGAGGTATACAAGATAACCCACGTGGAAGGTTTGATGCAGGCCCAGCATTCAGGGAGTGCTGTGTACTGAGGCTATGACCCACCTGAGTCCAAACTTGGTCCTAGGCACCGTGCCCCTTGCCACGCCCTGCTTCCCACCTTGATCTTTTTGCCGGTCCCCATGTCAACTCACTGAGCTCTGGCCCCTTCTTGGGCCACATTCAATCCTGCCGTCTCTTCCAAGGTACCGGTAGAGAATCCAAGGATGGAGGGGTTGAACTTCTTCAGTATGTCTTTAAAGAGGGATACAGCAGAGAACACAGGTGAGAGGAACTGAGGTGGGGGTCACTGGGGTGTGGCAGGAGGGTCCTTATATTTCTGGGGCTAGCTGACTCCCTTCCTTGTAGATGACTTCTGTTTCTCCAGTTCTAGGCAAAAGGCCGTGGCCTCGGTGAGGGTTATGATGGTCATGGTACCTCGTGGGGTGGGCTACTCACTGGGCAGTGTGGTATGGGTCTCCAACGTTCCATCTCCTCCAATGCTGGGGACGAGAAAGCAACTTTGTCAAAGTCACACTGACTTGCTGCCTCCTGAGGTGTCACAGGTAGGAGTCAGGCTGGAGGGATTCTGTCCTTGGGGGCATGGCTCCTACCGCCCTCAGGGCTCACACAAGCATCACAGAGTGTCCTTGGGCATCAGAGTTGGGATCTAGGCCTACCCCTGAGCAAGTGGAGGGGATCCTACTTCTTACACCTCTTTAGAGGGATGTTATCTGTGGAGAGTGAGCCAAGAGCACTCTTACCTCCAGGACAGTCCCCTCCAGGGTGCGGTTAGATTGCTGGATTCACTTGGTCGAGCTCCTGAGGCTGTCTGTGAAAGGCAAAGAGCAGCTTTCAAAGGCCGTCACTGACGATGAGCTACAGGGCCTTCAGGCAGGCCCTCTGGCCCTTGTGTAACAGCCAGTACTCAGTCTGGCCTTTTCTAGGGAAGGTACCCACTCTTCTGTGTCTGCTTGTCTGAGGTATGAGTCCTTCTCCCAGGCTTCACTTGGTCCCGCTGATCCTTTCTGACATCCCCCCTTTCCCCAGTGCCTGTCCTTTCTTTTGCACTGCCATTCATGCTCTTGGAGGCACTGGTGTGCCACACCCTTCGGGGTATAAAGCATAAACACTGTTCCCAGTGCTGGACACTGTAATCCGGCATCCACTCTCTGACCCCAATGTTCGCTTCCTGCATTTCTGACCACTCAAGGCCTCGGATGGAAGCTTGCTGACCTGTCACTACTTCCAAAGCCTGAGGGCCTAGAGCAGCTCTGTTCTTGTCCTCTCCCTTCCCCGTTTCCTGGGCCATTGAACCTCCTCTTCCTCAGCCCAGAAACCCCGAGTTCACTCTTTCCCATCTGTGACTACATCTCTCCCTGCTACCCCCTCCAACACAGGGTCAAAGCCAAACCCCTATCCCATGGGGACATCATAGTCTGCATTTCACCTCTCCTTGTTGCTTCCTTTCTTCTATTTCTTACTTATTTAGGGTTTTTTGTTGTTGTTGTTTTTTCGAGACAGGGTTTCTCTGTATTGTTTTGGAGGCTGTCCTGGAACTCGCTCTGTAGACCAGGCTAGCCTTGAACTCACAGAGATCCTCCTGCCTCTGCCTCCCGGGTGCTGGGATTAAAGGCATGTGCCATGTACGCCCGACTTTATTTAGGTATTTAAAGACAAGATTTTTCTGTAGCTTTGAAGCCTGTCCTGGAACCTGCTCTATATAGACCAGGTGTTCAGAAAAGGGGTCAGCCAAAGAAACACACCTTGAGCAGAGCCAAAGAAACACTTGCAACCAGCACAAAAGAAATACACCCTGACCCTGAAACCAGTGACAAAGAAAGACACTTTGTCCCTGGATTCTGAGCCAGAGAAAGAAGTACACCCTGGCCCTAAAGCCAAAAAGCTAAAAAGGACCAGTGAAAAAAACACCCATTGGCCCCAAAACCAGAGCCAAATCTGACCCTAAACCTGTGCAGAAAACTAACCAATCCCTGAGCAGGAGATCTAGCCATCCTAAACTCAGGGATTGAACTCTGACCAATCCCCACCCTAGAAAAACTCCGCCCTCTAAGAATCCCTATATAAACCCTGTGCCTGTTCAGCTTCTGGCTGTTGGGACTGCCCAGCTGTCCTCTGCCACCCTGGCAGAGGGCAGCCACTCTCCTGGATTCTTCCCTCCCAATAAATCTCTTGAGTGAGGTTTGGGTGAGACCTTCTCTCGCCTGAGCAGAGATGACCCTGGGCAGAGCACAGCAGAGCAGGGCTGTTAACACTTTCCCCAGGGGAAACCTTCCCCTGTCAGAGTCGAGTTGTTACACTCTGCTCTCCACTCTCTCGGGGAGCAGAGCTGAACTGTAACAACTTGCTGGGGAAGCCCTTCTCTGTTGGAGCAAAGCTGATACACTGGGGAAGCCTTTCCCTGAAGCAGGGCTGTAAGCTGCTGTGCTTACTATGACCTGTGCTATTCCTTGGCTTCCGAGTGCCAGAATACTTTTCCATTCGAGCTGTAACACTCAGTATTCTTTGGCTCCCAAGTGCCAGAATCCCTTCCCGTCCAATTCCATCAGATCTGTTGAAATGATTACACCAGGCTGGCCTCAAACTCACAGAAAACCACCTGCCTCTGCCTCCCAAGTTTCCTTTTTTAAAAGTTTCTTTTCTATGAATATTCTGAAGCTGCATCTTTTATTTTTCTTAATAATAAAAAAGCTATCTTTGAAATTCACCAAAGTAACACATTTGCCATAATCAGTGAATTAAACAAAGGCTTAAAAAATAAACAATTTAATCTCATCACAGGAGTCTTGCCCCAAGGCTGGGGTGCAACTCAGCCTGTAGGGTGTTTGCTTGGCATGCATGGAGACCTGGGTTCAGTTCTCAGGACCACATAAACTGGGCTCAGTGGTGTACACCCATAATCCCAGCACTCCAGAGACAAAGGTTAAGAAAATTGGGAGTTTAAGGTCATCCTCAAATCTGATCTAGGCAGGGATACTTGAGACCTCTCAAATTAAAAAAAAAATCAATATTGCCTCAGCAGGGCCTGGTAGCTCATGCCTATAATATCACATAAGGCTTTCTGGGAGTTTGAGGCTAGCTTGGACTACAGAGCAAGTTGGAGCCAGCCAGGGCTATTTATTGAGATCCCAACACACAAAACAAACCCGAAAGAATCATGGCCCCCACTGTCTACTTCATCTACTCCAACACCTTCCCCTGCATGCATGCTCACGCCCGACCAGGGTGAAGTTAACGGTTGTTGGGGCCTGGTGTGTATTCTTCACGGCTTTCCCACGTCGACACCACAATTAAAACCCCCTCACCTTCACGTGGGGTGGTTTTGTTCCCTCAGGAATGGACATGCATTTTCAAAGTCCTGTATGTCACCCATTCACTCATGACTCTCCTCCCCTGCACAGTTCTTGCTGTCTTAGCCAGAGGGCTACGACTGTCTCACTCGTCCTTTTAGAACTGCCGAGAAGAGCGTGGCGCACAGAGCAGCAGCTACACAGTGGACCAATGTAGCTGTGCCAGGACCGGTTTGGGTTTCCCTCTGTCCCTGAGGAACATGCCCCTCAGTGGGGTGAGGGGGTCCAGGCAACGTGCAGATAAGGACTATCACTCTTTAGGACTGTGTGGATGGAGCTGAATTCAGGCAACTTTGGACATGTACACGACACTGATGAGATGTTGGGGAGCAGGGTGGGGTGGAGGGGTGCACAGGCAAAGTTTTAAGTAGGAATTAGGAAGTGGGGGCCTGGGATCCAAGCTTCATGCCTGAACCCCTTCATGCCTGATGAATGTGGATGCTGAGAAAGAGCCGGCTCCGCTAAGCCAGGCTAAACTCTGCAGGGCCCACCCTGGCCCACGGCTTAGTACTCACGGTTAGAGAGTCACCCAGTGCGGCCACCACCTTGATGTCTGCTGGTCGGAGCTCATGGACTAGGAAAAGCGGGCACAAGGAGAGTGGACAGGTGTTGGTCTCTAGCCTAAAACTTCACTGGTGCTGCCTCTTCATTCATTCAGAATGCTAAGGCTCTGAAGTATAGCTTAACGGCTACCATCCAGCACCGGTGGTCCAGCAGAGTTCCAGTGTGGCCACATGGCAATAGGCAGCTAGGGCCACGTCCCTGGCTGCACCTGTCTCACCAATCAGGGAGACCTGAGGAGCTGTGAGCCCCTCTACATGGAAACCCAGCAGTACCTGTTGACCAGCCTCCCTGGGGACTCCAAGCATCTAGCTCTGCCTTGCAATGGAATCAGCAAGGACCATTCCATCGATGCACTAGGGTGCACCTATAGATCTCTCACCCGACATGATACTTTGTGAAAGGGGTTGGTGATTTCACTTACCTGAGCTGGGCACGCTGCCAGAAGGGTTCCTGTCGGTGCACAGGAAGTCACTGCCCCAGTTCTGAGTCAGGAGGAAGAAAGACAGAGGGCCATCACTCACATGTAGGCAAGGTGCGCTCAAGAAACCAGCCAAGGAACCTAGAAATATATCACTAGAAGGGGCTCAGAAGGGTAGGCATAGTTCCTGTAGATGCGGAAAAGGGAAATTACAGAGAAGTGGGCTTCTGCTTGCGCATCCACACACAGACAGAGCTTTTCTCTTCCTGACTCATCCACATTTGAATGGAACCAAATAAGAGAAAACAGTGAATCTTACAACTAGTTCTGCAAAGGTTTTACATGGCTAACATGGGTGATTATAGACGTGTTTTGGTGTGTGTTAACACTAAGGTGATTGCCATTAATTATGATGCTAGAGTCTAAACAACCATCTATTAAAATATCTTTATGAAAATACCAAAGTTTTATCATCGCAAAGTCCCTGGCTCCTGCATGTCTTTCCTGTTTTGCCTGTTTAACCCGGAGTCATCAATCCCTTCATGTGCAGAAACAAATACCTGCTACTCGGGACACTTTCAGTCAGCCCTGCCGTCCTTGTCCTAATAAAGGGTGAATTTTCCAGGTGCCAGGGAGAGTCAGGGCAGGTGTGAGGTAGAAGGCACAGGAATGACATTTCAAGGGAGCTGGTGGGAATCTAACTTTCCCCAAATACAAGCATCCGGGGTGTACAGTAACGCCTCCCCACAATGGTTTGACTGATTTTCTCCAAGTGTGAGTGCCTGCCAGAGCCTTGGGAAGGTCATCTGAAGACAAGTCTTCTCACGTTCCTCCTGAGTGAGAGCAAGGAAGACCTGTCAATCAAAACAGCTCTCCCTTAAAGGGAGGGGGGGAAAATAAGTTGATTTTTCAGTTAAAAAAAAGAAAAGAAAAAGAAAAGTGACCATGGCTCAGGAACATAGATTTAGGTTGCCCCAAATAACATGTTCCAATGTAGAAATGGTTCTGTGAAGTTTTTATAGTCACAGAACAAAATACATTGATGGAGACATCAGGTGTCCGGGTTACAGTAAAGAAGGAAAATGTTCTCTTAGAAGCTATCTGATGACATTTTTAGCTTTTGTGATGATGGAAGCTAGTGGTTTGTCTGTTAATGTATTCTTAAAAAGTTTCCCATGATAGTCACAGGGTTTAGGTTGGGCACAGAGGTGGACAGTGAACATCTACTAAGGGTACTGGAGACAGCACAAGACACCTTGGCTCTGGATCTCTGCACACATGAAATTCTCATCAACTAGCCTCGAAGACTCTTTGGTGTAAGTGTGACTTTCATGGGGCGGAGGAGTAGGAGGACTTCACCAAAGTAACTGTTAAACATTTGCTTGAATCCAGTAGATCCATTTATCCCAAGGGCCTTCTCAACAGACCACAGTGATTTCACCCTTCTGTTTAGATGTTTTACGGAAATCAACAACAGTCAGATGACAAACTCGTGGGCAAAGTGCAACTACAAAAGAAAGTTCTAGAGCTACCCCATCATAGAGGCCTCTCAGAGTTGAGCATGTTTGTTTTTGATTTTGGTTTTTTTGTTTGTTTTTTGTTTTTTGGTTTGGTTTATTCGAGACAGGGTTTCTCTGTATTGTTTTGGAGGCTGTCCTGGAACTTGCTCTGTAGACCAGGATGGCCTTGAACTCACAGAGATCCACCTGCCTCTGCCTCCCGAGTGCTGGGACTAAAGGCGTGCGCCACCACTGCCCGGCTTGAGTTGAGCATGTTTTCTGTGACTCGTGCACAGATTAGATCCGAGCTGTCACAAAGGAAGAGGACACCACGTTGTGACCTCAACCAGGACTTCCCAGGGCCCTGCCATCTTGCTATGTGCACACCAAGTAAGTCCGGGAAACCACTCACGACTCTGCCTTTGTAACAAGGGTCCTGTTGATGTTGCCTACTTTAAGCAGTAATCTGCTAAAACGAGCACATACCCTCTAGCCTGAGCTTTAAAGTCTTCCTACAGTGGAAGAAAAGATCCCTGGGAATAAGGATCCAGGAGAACAGGCTGAGTCCCCTCTGTTCACTACTGCCCATGCAGCGCTTGGCGTAGAGGTTGCTCCTCCTAGTATCCGATCAGGAAGTGGAAAATGAACGGATGAATGCCTGACTGACACTGATCTGTTCATTTTTCAGCCACTCAGGAAGTTGCTACTGGCTCAAGCAGGACTCGACTCCTTTGGATTGAAGTGAGTCAGAGCTGCCACAGCTCCCGGCCACACCACTGTAATAGGACATCACCCTCGACAGTTCCTTGGAACATGGTTCATTCTCAGCCCTTTGGCTGACTTTTAAAGATCTTTTTTCTAGGTGTGGCAGTTCCCACCTGTAATCCCAGTGTTTAGGAGGCTGAGGCAGGAGGATCATTGTGCATTAGAGGCCCTGCTGGGCTATAGGATGAGAGATTTCAAAAACCAGACAAAGATTTAAACAAAGACTAGGTGTGGTGGTGCACACCCATAATCTCAGGACTTGGGAGGTGGGGTAAGAGAATCAGGGGTTCAAGGTCATCCTTGGCTACATAACAAGTTTTAGGACAGCCTGGGTTACATGCTCCTCTATTTCCTAATGCAATGCCCCTCCCCCCCAGTCACTGAGCCAAAGGAGTCTCTTCAAGACAGGTACCAAATCCTCTCAACTCTATGGCTTCCCTTCACTCTCCATCTGAAACTTAACCCTCACTCCCAGGCTCTCAGGCTGCATGATGTGGCCCTGAGCACGGCTTTGATCTCATGCCCTGCCTCCAGCCACTCTGATCTTCCTTCTCTTTCTCAACTTGTTTCACCCCTGCTCCAGCTTCCACACTTCCTGGCCCTTCCGTTTGGCCTTTTCTGGTCCTCCGGGCAGCTGGCATCTTTTTGACTTGCGTGTCTCAGTTCAGATCTCCCCGTTCTCAGAAGGCTCAGCATCCAAGCCATATCAGCGGCCACCCTTCCCTGGGCCCTTCGTTCTCTGTCTCACCTCCCTCCTCTGAGCACTGGCGGTCCCTCTCCGAAACAGTCGCTTCAGCTACGTTCTAGGCATCTCAGCTCAGCAAATGGGACTCTTTGGAAAAGCAGAGTCCCATCAGTTTCTAACTCTCTGAAATAGTGTATGACACACACTAGATGCTTACTAAACCAGTGTGACCTCTCTAGTGGGCTCTAACTATCCAGGTCAGGGCATCATATGCTTCTCTAAATCCCCAGCAGCCCTCAGCACGAATGTGAAATGCTTGAGTCTCTGTCCCCGTGGACCAGGCCTAGGTCCTTCAAGGTGGGGTGGGGTGGGGTGTGGCGCAGTGCAGGATCTGGCAAGCCAACTTTGGAGCATCGATTCTTTCAGCCACAGGCCCTGAAAGCTCAGAGTGGGGGCTGTATCCAGGCAAGGCTGGAGTTTTTGTTGGATATGCGTCAGCTTCCTGTCGGGCCCCACCCCAGGCACACAGAGATCCCTTCCCTCTCAGTTTAGGGTTCCACCTGCAGGAAGCTGATGGCACTTCATGCCCCTGCCCCGCCCCCAATGCCACCTTCCCATCCCCACTGTCCACCTCTGCAACACTGAGACGCTCAATTAAAAGCAGCGCCGTTGAGCCTGGGACGGCAAAGGTCAATGCACGCTGATCCCTGGCACTTCCTCTGCTTGGCCGCTGACGTCAGGTAGGCAACTTGAGAACATGTCAGGACCATCCTGGGGTCACAGTTCCGGACCCTCTTTTGTACATTCCAATTCCCAGTATGTAAGAAGGGTATATTTGTGCTTACACTAATAGTGAAATCTGCACCACACCCCAAGTCCCTGGCAGGTGGGACTGGCTTGTGTCTGGGAGACAGAGACATGAGTCAGAGGTTACCTCAATGGTTGGCTTGATAGGGTACGTGTAGTTACTGTTCTGGAAGGTTCTCAGGAAGGGCTCATCCTAGGAGGAAAAAGAAGTCACACTGAGAGGTCATCTGACAACACGGAGGCTGCGCATGAGCTAACCACCCCAACTTCTAGGCTTTATTTCACAGGGTTCTGCATCGAAGTGGAAAGAGCCACGTAGACAAGATCTCAGCCATTCCCAGAAGGGTTTCTGTAAACCCTTATTAATCAGGGAGGCACAAAAGTCCTACACATCCTGCGGTCTGGGCTCTATGACCTCATGTGGACCTTAGCAATTACACATCTCTGTAGTCCTCAGTCTTACCTATTTTATTGTTGTTTTTTTTTTTTTCTGGCAAGAGACTCACATGTCAGTACTTTTGTTTGTGAAGAAGAGCTATGATTACCAATGTATTTTACTACCTGTCATTTTTTTCTCTCTCTTCCTTGTTCCGTGTGTGTTACCCCCTGCATTTTCAGGTTTTCCCCCTTGACTAACCTGCTCTCCAGGCAGGCCCTCCTCACCTATCTGTTGTTCAATCAGTGCTGATACAAGCCCTGTCCACACTCCCAGTCCACCCAGTTGAAGGTGATGGGCTAATCAAAGCAGGGAGGAGGCCGCGGCGGCGGAGGAGAAGCAGGAGAAAAACGAAGGAGGAGCAAACAAACCCCAGTGAAGTGAGGTCAACCCAAGGTCTGGACCAGGAAATAGTGAGGTAGACCCAGGGCTAGGGACACTTGGGGAACATTCTTGTGGAGTGGAAGGACCAGGGCTGGACAAAAAAAGGGGGAGCCAAATAGGAAGAGGTGTGGGGAGATGTGAGGGGGAAGCTGGATTTTTGGAAAAGATGTCTTTAGAGATGAATTCCTGGTATTGTAAACTAATTCTCTATCGTAAACTCAGCTAGGAGAGGTTTTATTTTGGCTCAGGGAGGGATATAAAGGGGAAGATGAGAAGGAGGAGGAAGTGAGGAGGAAAAAGAGGAGGAGGAAGAAGAGGAGGAGGGTTAAAATGTTGGGACCAATCCGGTGGTGGCACGCACTTCAATCCCAGCACTCAGGATGCAGAGGCAGGTGGGTCTCTGTGAGTTTGAGTCAAGCTTGGTCTACAGAGTGAGTCCCAGGACAGCCAGAGCTGTTACACAGAGAAACCCTGTCTTGGACCCACCCCGCTGCTGAGGCCTGTCTAGCCCTTTCTTCTTAGTCTCAGAATTCCAATCTGAAACAGAGACCAGTGGAATGGAGTCACCAGTGCAAGAGAGACTTGTAGTGGCACGCAGCACAGTTAATTAGGCTGTCACACCAGTGTCGTCATCTCCCCCACAACAGTCACCCCAGGAGGGCAGCCTGGGCGCCTTCCACAAAAGACTGATCCATACCCTTTTCCCGGTTCCTATGCCCAGAACAATCCTGAGAGGAGGACAGGGGGAGACTTGTCCCCAGGCACGAGGGAGGGGGATGTGAGACATTCCTAGGCAATGAAGACCAGCAGACCCAGAAGTGTGGATTTGTTGAGGGACATACATCTCTCAGGACAACACTGGGCGTGGATGCTAAACACCATTTTCCCTTCACAGAGAAGTCCTGGCTGGAGCTGGTCCAGGTGTGGCCAAGCACAGAGAGAGAGCAGAAGACACAGCCCATTTCCACCTTTCTGGAAGAGCCAGGAGTCTCATGACTATTTATCTGACCATAGGAAACATGAGTTGTGGGAGAGGAGAAAATGCTGAAGGGATCGGGAGACAAGGGGACCTTGGAATTCTTCTCTTATTGGCTTAGAGCACATGAATCAGGCTGGTTAAAGGCCTGGGGGTGGAGCTGACTATGTGAGAGATTCCTGGCCCAGAGCCTAAGCAGGTCGAAGGGATGCTGCCTGGTGGTTTCTGTGGGCTGCCAAGGAGGCAGAGTCCGGGCAAGAGCTGGCAGTTCAGTCGGTGGCTGGCCACCTGGACTGGCTGCACAGCTGGATGGAAAGGTCTGCAGAGAAGAAAGGGGGAACTTTTCTGATGGGCTCTGCATCCATTTAACCCCTCCCCCTTCTTTGGCAGGAGCAGTAATTTTATACCATATGTAGCTTCCAAGAGGAAATGTGTTTTAAGGGTTGGGAAATATAGGATTGGTGTCTGGGAAAGAAAAATCAGCGGCAGAGTGAGAGACTGGGGAAGCTGGTTCTATGAAGTTCGAGTGGGGGAATCTCTAGAAATAGATCAGCCTCGGAGTGAGGGTGCACACACAGAGAGGAGACCATAAGATGGAGACCGGAAAGTCTTCCGGGGCCCCATTTTCAGGGTTAGAAACAGGGATGCCGTTAAGAGGAACGAAGGGAGGCAACCAGGAAAGAAAAAAATGGATGCCTGTCTTCCCAAGTCAGGGAGAAGCAGATTCAGAGGAAGAAGAACTTAACTGCGACAGAGGTCAAAAGGACAGAGTCTATTTTCCAGATGGCTCAGCTCTGGAGTTAGGGAGAGAGGAGGCAGGGAGACAGTTGAGGGGGCGGGGGGAGTGGTCCACAGGGCTAGTATCAAGACTCAGTTGTACATAATTCATCCAAACTGGAAATAAGCACATCCTCAAGCCGCGGTGCGCTGTGAAGCCACCCTGCCTGACACAGCAGAGCTGGTAGAAGCGAGCCTGGGGTGGAGGAGGAGGAGGAGGGCTCTTCTAGAAGCACTCACTCCCAACTTGCTGCCTCCACGCCCACCCCAGCCCCCGGTCCTGCTTGTTGCTTCTATGTTTAGACACAGCCTGGATGAAAGCACGCACTGCCTGGCCCCCACCGGCGCACACTGAGATACGGGTGGACTTCTGTGCGACACTGGGACACATGGCAGAGAGCAGATGGCACCTGAGACGCTGTGCAGTGAAGCTGGGCTGGCCAACAGATGGACCCTTGTGGAATGGGCTCCAGGGTTGCTTAGCAACAGCTTCTCCTGGGCTGGGCTTTTACGTGCGCTAAGGGGCTGGATCTCTCCTCGCCCCATCAGTAGTTAGGTCAGGTTCTGTCCAGAATGGAAGAGGTGAGCTTGAGATTCCAGGTAGAGCGTCACCTCTTGGGGACTCCATGTCTGAACTGGGACAGAGAGGGGGCATAACTTGCCCTGGGGCTCACGGTGAAGGGACTCTCCCTGACCCAGAGATGGGGCGTCAGTTTGGCATACATATAATATGTTTGTGGGGGAGGAAGAGCTCATGATGGCTGAGATTTGACACTTTGGAGGGGACTCTCGTGGTTGATATTCAGTGTGGTCCTAGATTATTAAAGTGGTTGATATTCAATGTGGATTATTAAAGTACTGAAAAACTCAGTTACAGGCTGGGAAGGTGGATCAGTTAGTAAAGTGTGTGCCACACACATACGGATTTGGACCCAGAGCCCATACAAGAAGCCAGATATGGAAGTGTGAGCCTGTAATCCTAGACCCAGGGAGACAGAAACAGGGGGGTTCATGGGACTTTCTAGTCAGCCCATCTAGCCAAGTTGCTAGCTCCAGGGTCATTAGGAGGGCCTGTTTTAAAGCAAGTGGAAACATCCAACATCTGTATGCATGCATGCACACCCATGCATACAAGGGCATGCAAATAGAAGGAAAATGACATTTTTTATGGCATGATCATTACTTTTAAGTCCTCAAATGCCCCTTACTGCCCAAGTTGTCCAGGTCCCTCCCCCCATTGCAGCCTCAGGAAGAGGCAGGGAATGTGTTCACACGTGGCATGGAGGGGCCTCACCTAAGCCCTTTGACCCAGCATCTGAGTATCGTTGGCACTGGAGCTGCCCATGCACACTGATCATTACGTGGCTTGACTTTCCCCTGTGTTTGAGGCACTAGATCCAGCCATGGAACCCTCTGCTACAGTTGCTCTTATCCCTCTTTCTGCCACTCTCTCTCACGGTGCATGAGATTAAACAAACTACTCAAGACAGACGGAAAAGAGCTGACAGGGAGCATGGAGCAGGATAGAGCCTCCCCTTTCCTTGGGGTACCCTGCAGATATCCCAAGGGAACTTCATGCCTGGTAAGGAGGGTAGAGGGGGGTGCTGGTTGCAGCCTGACCCAGACTGGAAACCCAGCCTCCCACATTAGGTCAGACACTCCGCTTTTATGGCCACCAAGGGCTCTCTAGCCTTGGCCATATTTGGATAAAAAGCCATAAGACAGGGCTAGAAACAGGAGCTGAAGGCAATGGGAACATGAACCTGCCCCCACTCCAGGCCCGAAATCACGTTTAGCATATTCCTCCTTAAAAGGAGCCCTGAGCTGTTCCTTATGAGAATTCAGGCTGGTCCTCTGGAGCCCTCCCCGATGGCAGCTGGGGCTCTCCCTTTGTGGCTCCAGTTGTTGGCCCTCTTCATGGGGAGGACACCCAGTCCAGGCTCTGGGCGCCCACGTCCGTCTCTTGGTCCTTCTACCCACATCGAGACATTCCCATCTGCTCCACACTTTCCTGCCTTCTGCTGCCTAGGTTTCTCTTTCTTTCTTTGCGTGGACACAACTTCATCACCCGTTTTCAAGGAAGCAGCTCAGCCAAATTTCCCTCTCCCCCTCCTCCAAACCTATGTCTCAGCCTAGGGGCTGAGTGAGCTCTGTTGTAGGAGGAGGAGGGAGAAGAGGAGGAGGGAGATGAGGAGGAGGAGGGAGAGGAAGAAGATGAAAAGGGAAAGGAGGAGGGAGAGGAGGAAGAAGAGGAAGAGGAGAAAGATGAGGAGGAGGAGCAGGGTCTGGCCAGTTTCTGAGGAGAGTAAGCAGTTCCTCCTTTAGTACCTGTGTCGGACAAGCCATGGCTATGAATGCTCCCAGGTCCAAAGTATCTGTTTTCTTTCCCAGAGGTTCAAGCTGATCAGGGAAGGAAAGAGAAACACACCGAGTTTGTTTGTGTCTGCTGAAGTGAGCATCAGAACTTCATTGTGGGGGCATGGTTTTGACTTGAGAATCTGTCAAGTGCTGGTAAGTAGGATCTAGAGCAAGTCAGTTAGCATCTCTGGAAACTCAAAACACTTCCTGTGGGATGGTGGAGAGGCTAAAAGGAGAGTGCACAGTTTCAACTGCCTAGTATATGTAGTGGTGTAAAGAAAAGGATGAATAAACGAGGGCTTTCTGCTGGTGTGTGTGTGTGCGCGCGCGCGTGCGTGTGTGCATACATTTATGAGTTGGTGCCCACGCTTGTGTGTAGGTCCGAGGTCAGTGTGTCAAGCGTTTTTATCTACTGTTTTCTACCTTATTTTCTGCGTTAGGGACTCCGACTAAACTTGGCAGTGTGCTGTTTCAGTTAGACTGGCTGGCCAGCAAGTTCCTGGGATCTCTGTCCCTGAGCACTGGGGCTATAGAGGTTTAGCCCCAATACCTGCTTTTACATGAGCCCTAAGGATCTGAACTCCATTTACCCACTGAGCCATCTCCCCTGCCCTCTGATAGGTGACATAGGCAGTGTCCCTCATGACAGCTAACAAATGCAGAGGATGGTGGCAGCACAACCCGGCCAAGCCAATTTCCAGGTTCTCTACGGCCTTGCTGCAGACTTGTGCAGATGTGCCGGCTGCTGCTCCTCTGGGTGTCTACCCCACCTTCTGTAGGGCTGGCGCTCTGCGCTGGACTACACTGCGTTAGACTACAGTACAATCTTACCATATTGGCCCAAAGGGCCCGCGAGAGCTGCGAGTGGAACTTCTGGTTAGGGAGGATGCAGTCTGGGGCAAAGAAGGAGGTATCTGGATGCCCATCCTGGAAGAGACAAACAAGCAAACTTCTTCCAGGTCCTGAGGGGTCAGAGAGAGCCATTGGCCATGCGATCCTTGAGAATGACCACAGAATAACCCTCTTCCCTTTGGGAACATGCCAGGGACATAAAGGCACCACCACAGAGAAATAGCTTTGGGTGATCTCAGGCCGTACCTTCTCTGGCCTCTACATTCTCTGTGTTTTATTTAAAGAGTGCTCTGTTTGGGCACGTTTGTATAATGCCTCACTCATGGTTCTTGGTTCTCCCTGGAGTCTTGGTATTGTACTGGTTAATATTGACGTCAACCTGACAGAGAGTGGGTGAATTGGGGGTTGGGAGGCCCACACTGGACCGCACAGGGTAAAAAAGCTAGGTGATGACCAGCGCTCCTGGGACTGGGCATCCAGACAGTAGGGACAGTAGATACCAGGTGACCTCATGCTTCTGACCATGCCGTCCCTGCCAGGACACATTGTGCCCCTTCTTAAACGAAAAGGGTGGCCCAAACAAACCCTTTGCTTCCTTCAGTTGCCTTTGTCAGGTACTTTGTCACAAATGAAGAGAAAACTAATACTAGACTAGCTAGAGTGGGGTGGAGGATGGGAGTAGGGGCACTTCCTTCCTAATCCTCAGCCTCCACAATCAGAGAAGATTAAAGTGCACCCCAAGCCTCCTGGCCAGAGCTGACATCAGGCCAGCTGGTCACCCGACTCCAGCTCTTCTCTCTGCAGGACCTGGATACACCACTCTGTTCCCCTTCCAGCTTTCCCCCAAGTTGTCTGAGGTCCTGGGAGAGAGGCCTTACCTGCTCCGCCCACAGAGCTCTTCCACACTGAGAGGAAGTGCCAGGCAGAGTGCCAAGCGGGTGGGAACATAGCACAAGGCCTCTTTTATAACCACAGGGCCACATGTAAGAGAGGCCACGTGTGTGGCAGCGAGTCACGAATGTAGACCTGGATACCCTGTGAGTCTTGACTGTATTTATGCGCTTTCTGGTTTTAGGAAGGATACAACACATCTCCACAGTTCTGTTCTGTGGGGCTCACGGTATCCCCAAAGACAGTTGTGGCAATCTTATCTGAGGGATGCATAATGCCTGGGTTCAGGTGTTAAATGGCACTGTGCCCGCTAGCGTAGCATCTGCAGAGTTCTCTGTGTCCTTCCCATTCTCATGCCTTGATGGTTCTCTTGCCAGATGCCCGTAACAGTTCTTCCTCCAGAGCCTAAGGTGGGGGAGCCTACCTCTAGGATGGGGAGCCTGACGTTGAGGAAAACGGACTGCAGTACCACAGTAAAGTCCTCCCGGGTATCGTAGCGGCCTGATTCAACCAGCTGGAGGATGCCACTCTGGGAACACACACACACAACAGCCTTTAGCACAGGGTAGGGTAAGGACAGGTGGCATCCCTGTCCCCAATCCCTGTCTCCATCCCCTTAGACAAGGGAGCTGACTCAGCCTGATGCAAATGTTTTTGATAGCAAATCCCATTCCAGAGTTTGGAAATGGGCATATTGTTTTAGTTGTTTGTTTGTTTAAATCTGCCATCTCTAAAGGGCTGGCAGAAAGTCCCACAAACAAACAAGACCCAGAGAATACACTCCAGATTACGTCAGGCTCCTAACCTGTAATCCATTTTCTTGTGGTCTGTCTGTGGGGACTGGTGTGAGGATGGGGGTCAGGGAAATGAGGAATGAGGAGAAGCTAGCCTCCAGTGTGGCTTCATGGGGCACCCCAAGCCTACTGACTAACAATGGGGTTTAACAAATCCCCCCCAAAAGGCACCTCAGCCATACCAATGTCACCTGGATTCTACTGGGGCTTTTCTAACCAAGGAAACTGAGGCCCTCGGACAGGTGGAGCAAAGGGAGGGGCCCAGGATGGTTGATATCTCTCTCCATATCCTTCATGCCTCTCCTGCCTAGTGGGGTCTCTGGGCTCTCATAGAAGAGCAGGGGAGGAGGACATGAGCTCTCCTCTACCTTACCTGGTAGGCCCTGGTGAAGGCCTCCAACCTGGCCAGCTCGGGGGAATTCTCTCCGGGGGTCAGGACACAGTTGCACAGAACACTGTACAAAGAAGGGGGAGGGGAGAGAAGCTCCAAAGCTGAAGCCCCATTCAGGGACTTCTGCCCACACAGAACTGGTCGGGTAGCAAGGCTCACTCAAGCCTTGGATAGGGAGCACAAGTGCCTGGGGGTTCTGAGGCACCTGTCCTCGGTCTTGAGAAAGAGACAGGGGTGAGGTGGGGGAACCTGCAGTTTGAGTAAGTCTACTTTGACAAGTACTAGAAATGGACTTCAGAGGCTAGCCCTGTCCCATTCTGTAGAGTAAATGGATTTAGGCAACGAGAATGCAATGTTTAATTGGAAAAAATAAAACAGCCACACATCCTGGTAGTGAAGCAGGCACACCAGGACTCTGATACTCGTATGTTGAGATACCTCCTCTAATGCTATCCAATGCCTTTCCTGCGATAATGGGTTAGCTTTATCCATATACACTTAGCATTAAGAGGAGAGTTAAAGATGGCCCTTGACAAGCAATGGGGGTCACATTCCAAGAAGCTCCTGGTAAGTTTATAATACTGTCCATTAAAATTCATTTTCTGGGCTGGGGTGATGACTCAGGGGTTAAACTGTTTGATGTGCACGTGGGAGGACCAGGGTTCAGATTCCTAGAGTCCCCCGAAATGCCACATGGGTGTAGCAGCCCACCTGCAATTGCAGCCTAGGGAAATGGAAACAGGGGATTCCCAGCAAACTGGCTGGTGAGACTACCCAGATCAGCGAGCTCTGGGTTTGGCCGAGACAGCCGGCCTCATTGAATAAAGGGGAAGGGCAGTCAAGGATGGGTGCTGGCATCAGCTCCAGGCCTTCACAGGCACACGCAAGCATGTGCATATGCACCCACGCACATGTGCTTCCCTCATACAAACACGCATACACACATGTGCACCACATCCTCAAAAAATGGAAAAAGGAAAAAAAATCATTTGCTATACCTACCTACTAAATATTGCATCATATTAGTCCCAATACACTGCAGTGACCTGCCTGCTTCTCCTTTGGGGTAAGGGGCTTTTCTTGAGGTATTTCTTGGGGCTTCCAAGAGAGCATGTGACTACATATATTCAGGCCAGGAAAAGATTGTATTCTGAGTATGTCTTCTCTCAAGTACACATGGCTTTTGTACCTTTATAAAGGTCAGAATCCTAAGTCAAGGTCATCTGTATTTCTAATGCCTTCAGGACGGTGCCCGAGGCACAGTAAATTCTGTGATACTATTTATTATATACAGTGTTCTGCCTGCATGTGTGCCTGCAGGCCAGAAGAGGGCACCAGACCTCACTATATATGGTTGTGAGTTACCACGTGGTTGCTGGGAATTGAACTCAGGACCTCTGGAAGAGCAGTCAGCCCTCTTAACCACTGACCCTGCTCTGCAGCCCCTTTGAGATTTGTTAAGTCAATAGGTGCACGAAGGAGGTGTGAAGAATGGGGACTCACATGCCTATGTACCTACCACCCTGTTACAGAAGTACTAACAGTCATCCCTTCCCATCCCCCAACTCCCCTCTTCCAGACAAGGCGCCTGGGTTGGGTGATCTGGGTCGCCCTTTTCAGTTCGGGCTACTCAATTTCTCCAATAGTAGCCCCTGTGGTTCTTGCTGTTGTAGAAGTTCCTGCCTGGCTCCTGGGATAGGGTAAGGGACAGGATCAAAGCTCTTGACCTCCCAGAAGAGGATGGTGCTATCACAGGTCCTTGTTTATAGACACTGAAGGACTAAGCTGCGAGACTCTGGGGAGTCACTGCTGAGTGGGCAGGCCAGACCCAGGCTCAGATCTCTTAGATCACCTGGCATGACCGGAGCCTGCCTACCTGGCCTGATGCACTGGGCACTTGTCCGGGTTCTTCAGGAACACTTGCCGTATGATACTGGGGTTCATGAAGTCCACGAGGTTGACCAGGGCTCTGGGTACCTAAAGAGAATGCTGCAGGTAAGACAAGGGCTCCCGGGGTTTGGATAGAGGCTCCCTTTAGATTTTGAGCTCATCCCTTGAGTTTAAGAGATGAGTCTACACTGGACTACTTCATGGAGTGCTACAGGCCATGCCTGACACAAGTATAGCAGCAGGTGGAGTGTGCCCTGCACAGCTACAGCATAGATAGTGCCTCTAGGAGTGGTCAGTAAATACTAAGAGCTCAGCTCTATCCAGCCATCATTCAGTGAGCCAAAACATGGTGTTTGCCAGGCCATTGGCTCCTGACCAATTTCTGCCAGCTTGACTTGGGTCAAGTAGACATGGGGACTCAGTTAACCCAGCAGGGGCATCAGGTGGTTAGGATGTTGTTTCCGTGGCAGAGCAGAGGCAGCTTGTTGCTGCCCACAAGGTATCAGTGTGGTGGAAGAAGTGAGGCTGGGTATATATAGAGGCTTACTCAAGACATACTGTGCTCAAAAAGCAATGCCAAGCCTGGGCACTGGCCAGCGGCTAATACCAAGGAACGTCCTGGAGAGATGCTAGTACACAGTGCCTTCCTTTCTTGATTCCTGAGATCTCTGGGGCTCCTTCCAAATAGAATGGAAGGGCTTGGGAAGAAGACTGGGGCCTCCGGACAGAGGCAGAGCCCAAGCCCCTGGCTGGCTCCATCCTTCCTCTTCTCTGCCACCTGCACCTCTGCCATGCTAGAGCTGTAACCAAGTCACAGACGCCCTTACCCACCTCCCTATGCAGGATGTCCAAGGCATTGCGGAGATGGTTAAAAAAGTTGGCTGCAGAGTACCGATTCTGGAAAGAGAAAGGGAAGGGGAAGGTAAAGTTTGGTTCCCGTGAGAGGGCAGAGGGGCAGGCATGGACTTCCTTTCTGGGTTCAGTCCCAAGGACTTGTTACCCTCCCACCACCATCTCTGAATATGTCAGCGTGTTAGAATCTGAGCTGAATGCCCGGCAACTCATTGTTGTCAGGGGCAAGCTGGTTAGAAGATCAGAACCACTGGCCAGAGTGGAAAATGGAGACTGCTTTCCAAAAATGCTTGGGGGTTTCTTTCAAGCTGAAAAAGCAGCAGCCACCATGCAAGTGCTACCTGGCCCCTCACCACGTGGGACATGCAGTCAACCATAAAGTTGACCGTAAGGAGCGTGTGTGCATGAATATGTGGGGTGTCTGAGTTATATGTACATGTGCGCAATGTGGTTGGAGTTAAATGCCCCCTGGGGTGAGTTGTAGGGACCTCAGCCTCCAATGTCTAATGATCCGAGTCAGGATCAGGCCCAGACCCTATCCAGTTACCGAATCTGTGCAGAAGTCACACAAATCACTGGCCCCGATCATGACTGTGATGACCTTCCAGTCTTGGAGGAAGTTCACTCTCTACATTAGGAAGGAGGAAAATACTCATCATTTCTGACAAACCGTCACAGCTCTAGGAAATTCAGTCAGCCCCTTGTGACTTCCTTGTCCACTTGAAATCACATAATCAGAACCTTGCAGCTGATGGCATTTTAAAGGATTTGTTTATAGACCAGAATCTCAGCCACAGGAGGGAACTTCAAGGTCACTGTGCCCAGCTGCCACCTCTCCCCCACTGATATAACAACCTCTAGAAGGTGCCAGACAAGGGGGCTCTCCTACCTCTGTTTGAATGCTTCTAGCAAAAGGGCACTCACTGCTTTTCACGGCAGAGCATTCCATCTGGGGAAAGCTCCAATGGGCTAGACAACTAATGTTATCAGCAAACATCAGCCTGACTCACGTGGTCATTCTTCATCTTCTGAACCAGAGTCTGGGCTTGGCTTGCAAGGTCCCTGAGGAGAGAAAGTCAGTCCTTCGGTTGAAATGTCCGCAGTTGTCCTCTTACCCTACAGGGTCTACACGCCACAGCTTTTACAACACTACGAGCTGCCTGCAGAAACCTGAGTGATGAGTCATAGCACAATGGTGTCCTTGGGTAGGATGGTGGAATTGTATGTCAGGCTACTGCTGTTATAGAGCCCAGTAAACAGGTGTTGGGGGCACGCCCACCAACTAGAGGTGTGGATTGAAACAATGGATGGGCCAAGAACTATGGGGAGCAGGAGCTCAAGGCTTCTGGGGTCTCTAGAAGAATTAGTATCTCCTTGAGAAACCATCCCAGGAGGCTAGGCATCTCTGCCCCAGCAGTCCCCTGTACATCTCCAGTTTGTTTGTTTGTTTGTTTTGTTAAGTCCATTCCAGGACTAGGGAGACAAAGAGAGGCTCCCTTAGGTTGGAGATCTTGACTTCCATGCAGTAGGCCTTCCATGATCATATAGAGTAAGTGCTACCCGTGAGCCTCTGGGGAGAGAGAATTTCTCTGAAATTGGCAATATTTCTCAGTCCAGCTCTTAGCTGTCAAGGATCTGGGTGGCAACTGGAGGGACAGGACTCCTTCCCATGTCCAAGACCACTCTAAACTCCACTTGTTAACTTTGGTTACAACGTGACAAGACAGAGCACCCTCAGAATCATTGTTGCAGGTGGGTGAAGTGCCCCTTTGTAGGTCTCTATGGGGGTTTCTGAGGGACTGACTGCATGCCTCTGTTCCCCTCCCTGCAGCCCCCCAAATGTCATACTCAGCTTTCGCCCTAGGAACAGCCTGGTTAAGGAATGCACTTGTAGAATTGACGTCACCGATGCCTAATGCATAGCCTGTGAGGTTTCCATTGAATTCCCGTAGGATATCTGGAAGAGAAAAGATAGGCTCTAGGCACAGAACTCAAGACAGAAGACTAATGTATCTTCTTCAGTATTAAAAAAAAAGTTCTAGGGGTTCACCATGGCCTGTATCACCATTCTTGTGCAACCCTGGGAACAGGAATGCACATAAGACTGACAGAAACTAAGGCCTCTTGGTTGGAATGACGTGATAAGAAGTGAGACAAGGTAAGGTGAGTAGTTTCTGACAGAGGTATTTTTCTCTGCTTGACTTACAATGCAGTGAAGCGCCCAAATAGATTTGCATTTTTTTGGGCCAAGTTGAAAAAGCTCACAGTCTAGGGCATTTGGTGGTTTGCCCTAGGTCACCTCACAAGAGCACAGAAACAGCAGGGATTGAACCCAGGTCTACAGGCTCCATGTCCAATGCCCATTTCACCTTCTGAGGCTGACTATTGGGGCCTCTTCTCACGATTCAGGGCCAGTCCCTAAGGATGTGCTATTTTCTTGAGCGGTGAGTCCTACTCAAGCCCTTGGTATTTACTTACTGGGCAAGGTGGTCACATTGTCCAGGGACTCGTCTCCACCAGCACTGTAGGGAATGAGCAAGGCAGGGAGGAGAAAAACATAGTCAGTATAAAGACTTCACCAAAGAGCAATCCTCAACTGTTGTTAGAATTTGAGGGATCTTGAGAACATTCAAGATTCACCAGTGGACTGTTTCCCCTTAGTCTAGGATTTGAAGGTAAAAGACTTCCCCTCTTTACCCACTTGGGTGGCGAGGGCTTAGTTGAGGACACTGAGTGCCCAGCATACACGCATACACTGTACCGTAGGCCATGGCTCTTTCTCCTGTGCTAAGCCTAGGAGTTAGCCGTGGACATCTCCATGTGACAAAGCAGATAGCTGGGGTGCTGGGAGGTTAGTGGCTAAGGGTAACTAAGGTCAGCTTGAGCTTGAAACCCTGAGAACACAGACACGCTTTGTCTGCCCAGTATCAGGTTAGATTCCAATGGAAGATTCAGAGGCTGGGAGCTTGCTGCCTTCCAATGCCCCATCTCATTTTATCTGGGCTAACCTCAAAACACACTGTATCAGAGGTCATTTCCTTCTACAGGCTTAAAGGAGATACTTATTTCTATTAAAAAAATCTAGCCAGGCATGGTGACACACTCCTTTAATCCCAGCCTTCAGAAGGCAGAGGCAGGCAGACGCTTTTGCGTTTGAGGTCAACCTCGTCCAGGGAAGCCAGGACTGTTACAGAGAAACCCTGTCTCAAAAACAAAAACAAAAACAAAAAAATCCCCCAAAACTGTTTGGTTTTCTTCTGTGCCCTTTTGCTCAGTTCCAGCTCGTCATTTCAGGGCAGGGGAGTCTGAGAATACACACTTAGCAGCTAGCACACTGGTAGCAACCTCCCAAGGATGGCCATAAGTCAAAGTCGCTAGGCTCTGCCCTCCACATCACTCCGTTTTCTCCCCCATAGCCCATCAGATGTCTGGAACTGGGCTAATGGTTGGGCTTTCATCACCACTAAATTCTTTTCTAGCTCTACATGAAGGTGTTGCTTCTGAATCCTTTCTTCTCTGAGCCAAAGTTGCTAAATTGGAGCATCTTGTACTTGGAAGGAAATCAGAAATCCATATACTGTCCCATCTGTTGTCTTCTGCATATTTCCCTCAATAAACAGGAAAACATATATAACCACACACACACACACACACACACACACACACACACATCATGTAACTCCTACTTTCATTTCTTAAAGGTACCTTGGTACTTAAGAAAGGGGGTGGTGGTGGCAGAGTGAGACCAACATGTATTCCCGGTGCCACTTTAGAATGGAGTGTCCAAGAGGAGAAATGACAAGCACACAAACAAACACAGACAAGTCAAAATATTTGAGTCACCATTTTGGTCAGAACTATGCAAACATGGAAGGAAACACTCATGTCAAACGTGGTCTGTATCAGACTCTTCAGGAAATGTAAACTGCACGCATGAACTCAATGGCTAGACTTCATTCATTCATCTGTTGCCACCCAGTGTGCAGAAAAGTACAGGAGATGCCTAGTAATGTGTCGAAAGTGTCAGAAATGTGAGATTAAAGTCCTAACAAAAACAGAAACAAAATGCATTTTGCTTTAGTTCAGTAAATTTTATTTTGGTCCATGGAATAATCCCAAACAAGCCACTGTATTTCTACCAAAGAAAAAGCTATCCTCTAAAGAAAGCTTTCAGGCTGACTCACTGGTAAGCTAGCTGGCAATGACATCCACAGGTGCACAGTCTCATAGGTCAAGGAACCTTGAAAGCCTCTATAGGTCCTGTTTACAACCATCCATCCCCAAAGAATCTTGGGGCCCCTTCTTCCCTGCCTACATAAGGTCCAGTTTTCCTACTGTTTCCTTGGAGGAAAAGATTCAAGGTGCTTTCTTAATTTTCTGCAATCATCTCATTGCCTAGTATTTTCAACATAGTGGGCTCCAGAAAATTGTTGTTTTCCTCTGATCTGTCTACTTCATGGACATTTACCAGGGGTTAACAGATATTTCAAAGAAAGAATGTTCTAGAATTAAGGGAAACCCCGAATCAAACATAAAACAAAGAGAGGTCGCCAATGCAGCACTTCTCAGAGCCTTTACTATGCTGGCATGCACATGAAGGAAATAATAGGTAATGTTTTTTACCACAAATACAAAGGAACTACCCTTTGGACAGTTAATATTCCATGGAACAATCCCGAGAAACACCTGTCTAGTGGCTTATCACTGTCACTTAGACCTAAACCTACAGCTTCCATCCTTAACACAGGTGCCCTTGGGGGAAGTCACTTGGGACATTTAAGAGAAATACAGGGTTTTTACTCAAAGTGACAACAGTCACTGGCCCTGGGTCATTGGGATTAGAACACGAAAGTTCAGGCATTTTATTCCTAGGGAAGAAGAGAGAGTGGCTGAACATTTGCACAGCTGTGCAAGGCATCTCTTTCAGGGGGCCTTATGTATCTGGATTGGGAGCTCCACTGTCTCCGCTACCTGTGAGGCTGCACCAGTCACTTCTGTTCCCAAGGGGTATTCCTCTGGAGCGGACACAATGATGATGTCACTGCCTCCTTTAGCTGAGACGGAGAGCAGAGACTGCAAACCAGGCCCCTTCTGGATCACACTAAGTCCTGCCCCCGCCCCCTTTCCGTTTCTTTTCCCTCATAGCTTCAGTAGCATCCGGGAAGGGCACTGAGTAAGGACCTTCTGTTTTGTTCCAGGTAGCCCACTAGAGACCACTGACCTGGCTGAAGACCTGTGGCAATATGGGGGCTCTGAGCTGAAAGGTAGTTTGCAGTTCTGAGAGGGGACATGGCCCGCCCTCATGCTGAGGATGCACTGGAACTTCTCGGTGGGTGGCCACCAGCTCTGGGATCCCGCCTCTCAGCTCTTTTACCTTGGGAAACAGGTCTCTCTGGGGCTTTCCTAGGCTCTGGTCACCCCACCTCATCTCCTATCGCTTTCTTAGGAAGGATCCTTGAAATGAATGTACCCCGAAAAAGGAAGCATTTTGCTTCTGAGCAGCCAACTGCTTATTAAGGCTCTGCCCTCTCGTGGCAGGCTGCAGTTTCCCAGCTAAGCCCTTAACTACTCGCTAATTACTTTGAAACATGCACAGCCTTGGACTTTATTAGGAAAGAAATGTAACACAGCCGACACTCAGTTGCTCACCTGACATCCCGAGTCTGAGCTCCTCTCTATGCCTGTATCTGGGGCGCCCTTTAGTCCCTCACTTGTCTGACGGCATGCTGGGTACCACTTTCTCGGGGCAGCCTTGTGGGCAGGGCCTGCTCCTCTCTCCTTTCCCACCATGTGGCACTCGGGAAGTTTCAGTTCTAAAGAACACTACCAGGTGACCATGAAGCTGACACTCAGACCCCCCGGACACCCATTCAGTTCCTAGCCCTGTGCCAGCAACTTGCATCCATTGTTTCCTCTGGAAGTGAGCACTGGCTCTTGGCAGTTTTCTGTATTACGTACATATATATGGAGAGGTGTGACTACAAAACGACACGAATACATACATGAAGTGAAGACAAACACAGTAGCATCAACGTACGAACACAGACATGCAAATTGGCAGGCGGAGACTCAAGGACTTGGTGCTATTCGGGCACATTTCATGTTGGGTTTGCGGACTCAGGAGTTTGGTAAGAACCTTGGTTTACTTTTTCTGCATAATTTAAAGATAAAAGGATCATTAACAGCAAAATTCTATTCTCCACTCAATGTTCATAGTTTGTAGAAATATATAGCTGTTCCTCTGAGAGCCCCTTCTGGACCTGGTCCTTGTGGCTTGAGATTTACACATTTATAGGAGCTGAGCCCACATCCCAGCCAGGGCACACGGGCAATTCCAGCAGCTGGGAGGTAGAGACAGGCGGGCTAGAAGCCCAGGCCATCTCCCCTTACGTAATTAGTTCAAGCCCAATCCAGATTCCCTGAGGCCCTTGCAACAAAAGAAGAAATCCACAAAACCAAAAAGGGAACCAAACAACCAGCAGGCTAAGCTCTGGGGAAGTGGAGGCCGAAGGTTACCGTTACCTGTATGACAGTCCTCGATACTGCGTGCTGACATCGGAGAGGTCACCTTCCTGGGAGCTGATTCCATTGCCAGCCTTTGAGAACATCAAATTTCCACAAGGAAACGGATGAGTCACAGAGAAGAGGGGGCTGTGATCAAGGCTTCCGAAGGTCTGAAGGCATGCCCCGCCCCCCATGCATGCACGGAAGCAGGGATGGTACAAAGACTAGGAGTGAAGGGGCCCAGCCTGTGACCCTCCTTCCCAGCTAACCCCTCTTCCATTATGACATGCCTTTCCACAGGACAGGTTTGGGGCCCGATCGGGATCATAGCTGTAAAGACTGGAAAACTCAGCAAGCCCTTTACAAATGGGAGTGATGTCGATGGTGTTACCAGCAAATACCACACAGGTCTTTATGGACACGGACAAAGTGCTTAGGGCGGAGCTACTATGATGGGGGGGGATTTCCAATAAAAATCTCTTATCCCCCCCTTTTCCCTTGGGAACCTCCAGGAAGGCATTTCTAAAGCCCCAGCTGTGCTGCCAGAGGGTGTGTCCTGGAATGGCAGCCCAGCCCAGCGTAGACAGTGAGGAGCAGAGCCTTATCCACCACTGAAGGATAGAGTTGCCTTCTGTGTTGATGTGGGGGAGACAGCTGGGGGTGGGGAGTCTGGGCTGCTCAACAGGGAGGGAGAATAGCTCCCACACAGGCATCGGTTGGAGAGTTTTGAGTCCAAATGACATATTTTTGCATATGTCAAAAAGTGGTGTTGGGTGTTCAAAATCTCTGCCAACTGATAATATATTCAGTTCATTCCTGAAAAAGATTCCCCCCCCCACCCTGCACACCTACTGGATAAAGCAATTGTAAAAATAAAATTGTTGCCATTCTCCTGCGCACATAGAGCCAGGGCAGAAGGGCAAGACATTAAAGAAGATGAGAGTGCAGGCTTCAGAGTTAGGAGGGCAAGGACTTGGAATGGTCCCACCATGCCCATTGCCCACTCTCACCCCACCACGCCACGCCCACCCGCAGGGCTCAAAAGTCCTTACGGTCAGAGAGTCTCCCAGAGCTGCCACAACTTGGATGTCTGCAGGCCTCAGGGCATGCACTGAAAAAATGAGTGGACATGCTTGAGTCTGGGAATGGGGCTGCATGCACCGTCTACGGCTTCTGCTTCATGCCAACACTCAAAACAAGACTCCATGTGTGCCTAGGCCATGTGGCGCTGGGGAGCCCAAACTGTGTTGGCAGAAGTTTCATACAAGCGCTTCCTCATAAGAGACAAACAACTCTTAGGCTTTCGTCGGGCTAGAAGATGGAGAAATGGATGAAAGGATCCTGCAAGGCACCACGTAGGAATGGAGGGGAAGATGAGGCGGGATCCGCTTTAGTGTCCAACCAGACAGACATGGGCCCAAGAATAGCCTGTTTAGAACTGGGTACTAGATTTCCACAAGAATCTAAGAAATAGTCAAGCCAGACCTTCCCCTATCCTCAAGTCCTTTCTGAAGAGCCCAGAGAACTTTCTAGACCCTTTTGCAGGCAGAGCTTGAAGACACATTTCCACAGAGCTTTCCATTTAATGAAACTCCCTGGCATCATCTACTTCTGGAGGTCAGCACCCTGCCGGGCTGGGCTAACCAAAGGCCAGCTCCTGTGTCTTCCGTGTGTCCCTGCTTAGATCAAGAAAGCAGGATGGGAGACAGCTCCTGACCAGAGTGCATTGGGGCTTGCCAGGCATGATACTGCCAAAGGCCAGAGCTGGGCAGGGAGCCCCATCCTCTGGCTAGGAAACAGGCACTGCTCAGAACTGTGTGGAGCGGTTACCATGAGAAGCCTTGGAGATTGCTCATGGATATGTGAGCCTCTGTGCAGGGCTCTTGGATCCCAGTGGTTACAGGAGCTTACCCGAGGTTGGCGGTGAGGCAGAAGGGGCTCTATCCTTGCATAACGTCCAGGTTCCATAACCCTAAATGCAAAGAGCCAATCCCAGACTCTCAGGGTTAAGGGGGCCGTGCAGAGAAGTTGGATAGGCATCAGGCTCGCTCAGCAGGCTTGAAAAGCACAGAGCCCTGGGTCCTGTACCTGGGGAGGGGCCTCCAGGGGCACTGGAAGATGCCACCCTTGGGGTTCCGAATATCAGCCAAGCTGGGATCTGTTTATCCAACTCTACCTCTCTTTCATCCAGGGCAAGACTCGGGCTGTCAAAAATGACCCACCCTACCCTCTGCCCTCTCCTTCCACCGTGAGTGGGGTGGCTAGCTTCATTCTGTCTTGGTGGGGCTGCAGTTTGATTGGCACGGCATTTATTCTGCTCCCCACCCCACTGGAAGGTATGGGTGGAGAGATGACTTCACGAAAGGGCACGGACCGTCTTGTGCTTTCTGTCAGGAGTTCTCCTCCCCCATCTTCCCACAGCAGGGGCTGCCCACCCCATTGCCTGGTGAACCAAGGGAAGACTTAGGTAGATACCTGGTTGCTGTTCTTGTAGGTGCTCAGAAATGACAAGGTCTGTGGGAAGAGAGGAGTGAACAATGGCAGGTTCACACCAGCCTCGTCCTTTCCCAGCCTTCCCAGGCACTTAGACCCTTCCAGAAAGGTTGACTGCCATGTGCTGCCACACAGGATGCACCACGGCCTTCTCTACAAACCGAACCCAGCCCAAGTAGCTACCGGGAATGCCTATGTACTCTGTCCTCACTCAATCTATCGGCTGCGGGTGCTGGGTCCCGCTTCTCCACACTGCCCTTTCCCAACAGGGAGGCTGCTTTGCCTTAAGAGCAGCCCAGAGTCTTTCCTGTGTAAACAAGAGAAAGCAGATCCCTCCACCTGTAACTCCCTTCCCATGCAAGCCCTGATCCTGTAGTTCCCAGCGAGAAGCCAGAGACCCTTTTGGTGGACCCAGAGGAATTCACAGGGCTGAGAGACTTAGGCTACAAACTCCAAGGATCTGACACTTTGTGAGTGGAAGCTGGGGTCCTATTCCTGCTTTCCCCACTGGTTAAGATCTGCTTTTCTGGCTCCAGCTTCCACTTCAACCTCCCACCCTTCTCTATATTCCCATCTGTGTAGTCAAAGGGTAATGCCCAGACAGCCCACTATACCTGGTTCGGACACAGGATAGGGATCTTGTTTTCAAAATCATATTGTCTTGTCTTGTGGCCAACAGGTTCCAGCTAAACAAGGAAGCAAGAAGATGGGGCGTGTGGACCAAGTAGACTGGCCAAGATGTGGGGAGGGGAGGAGGAGGAGGGGGATGCAGGCAACTGGACAGGGAGGGAGGATTCTTACATCACAGTTCTTACCATGTTCCTCCAGAGGGCAATGGCTGAGCGGGCATGAGTCTTGCCGCTGAAGTGGAAACAGTCAGGGGCAAAGAAGGAGTTGTCGGGCAAGCCCTCCTAGTCATCAAACAGAAAGGGAGGAGCAGTTACAGATGGCAAAAAATGCATCTGTGTACCCTCTGGGGGCTCCCCTTATCCTCAATGCATCGTTTCTTTACCGGGGTCCGTGGCACGGCCACATTTTCAAAGAATGGCTGGAGAACCACAGTGAAATCATCTCTAGTGTCATATCTCCCGCTCTTGATCAGCTGTTCAGTTTTTATCTGCAGGAAGAGACAAAAGACAGGGGTTGGAACAGCTGGAGAAACACAATGAAACCAGTCTCATGTCTTACCATCACTTCAACCAACACTTGAATTCCTTCCTAAGGGAGGGGGAAGAGATGGGCAATGGGGTCTGTGACTTCATTCTGTAGCTCAAAGAAGCCGCAGTGTGGCCCCTAGCATCCGTGAATGTGCTTCCATTGGCACATAGTCCTCCTAGTCACCACTCACTCAGTCAAGGACAAGATACTTAGCCTCAATTAATTCTGCCTGGTACAGACTTCCCAGAGCACAGCACAGTGGCAGAACCTGCCACAGCCTTACCTGATACTGCCTGTTCCTTTCCACCAGGGCAGCAAATTCTGCTGAGTTATCCTCAAACTTCAGGACACAAGGACACAGGTTCCTACCAACAAAACCAAAGAGATACCCCCAACCTGAGGTCATTATCCCAAATGAGTAATGCAAAGCTTTGGCCTGAGCCTCAATGTATTTTTTTGGGGCAGGGGAGGGTTCAAGATAGAATTTCTCTGTGGCTTTGGAGGCCGTCCTGGAACTAGCTCTTGTAGACCAGGCTGGTCTCGAACTCACAGAGATCCACCTGCCTCTGCCTCCTGAGTGCTGGGATTAAAGGCATGGGCCACCAACGCCCGGCTTGATGTATTTTTTAAGATGAAGGCATCAGGAACCTAAGCCTGGGTCAAGAGAAGCCACAGAAAACGTCCACGAACTTGCTCTTGGAAACAAGAGCTTCCTCCTGATGTGTAGAGGAGTGACTTTATGGAGCTAAGCCATCTGATGGCTGTGTGAAGATGTGTAGGGACACCCCCCCCCCTTAGACAGCTACACTAGAACAACAGAAAAACTGCTAGTGCACATTATATATCAACGGCGCCAAGCACCATGTATTAATATGCTTAAACCTCTCGGCCATCCCAGAAATTATTATTGACCTCATTTTACAGGTGAAAAGCATAGCTTGTTATACTAGTTATTTCATTGGCAAAGGAAGACGATCATGAGTTCGAAGCCAGCCTGGGCAGCTTAACAAGCTACTGTTCTCAACATAAAAACATGAAAGGGGGGTTGGGGATGTGGCGCATGTGGAAGGGTGTCTGTCTAGTGTGCATAAAACTTTGGATTCTGTCCCTAACATCCAAGAACTGGGTGTGGTGGTCCCTGCCTGCAATCTTAGCACTCTGGGAGGTAGAGGCAGGAGAGTCAGAAGTTTAAGGCCATTCTCAGCTATAGAGAAAAATTGAAGCCAGCCTGGGATACACAAGATGCTGCCCAAATAATAAAAATGAATGAATAAATAAATAAATAATAAAGGTAGAAAGGGGTAGGGATATAGCTCAGTGGTAGTGGACTTCCCTAGTACAGCCATGGTCCTGCATTTATGAAGTGCATCGGGAAGAGGAGATGACCAAGGCTCAGTAATGTTCTCAAGGTCACACAGCCATAGATGTGATTGCAGTAGGGACTTTGAACAGTCTCTGAATTAAACTGTTTCTGCCAGTCTGCAGTTCCATCTGGTAAATCTGGACTTTTGGCCTCGGGGATAAGGTAATAGAGTTCAGGTGGCTCAGCATAGATAACGCCACAGAGGAAGCCTGGCCACTGAGAATGGCAGAGAGGTGGAGAGTGTGGTCACAGAACAAGGAAGCCCTTGATTTCGTCACCATTGGCACTCTAATCTTCAAATGAACTTGGCAAATGCCTACTCCGAATTTTGAGTTGCTTTTTTTTTTAGTGGTCTGCAAGTCTTTGCAATGACCAGTAGCGGGGCAGGGGTGTGCTTCTTGGGGACCTGCTCTGAAGTGGAAAGGATATACATACTGAATCCCCTGCATGTCCCAGTGACTGGAGAAAGTGGGAGCTAGCACATGAGTCAGCAGTTGAAAATAGCGTGCCTGACACCAGCTGTGTTAATAGACACTCGTCACTGGCAGGCAGCCTGCTCTGCTCTGTGGTCCCCTGAAGCCTCCTCTAGGGAACCTGTGCTGTCTGCCCATACTCCCCGAGGGAGGGAAGGCTTGGCAGAGTTCTCCAGGGATCAGTGTACCCCTTAATTTCCAAGAACAAGGCTGGCCCTTGTGAATTATTCACTCAGTAATTCAGCAAACATCCCCTGAGCCCCTCCTCTGTACTGCAGTGACTCAGTGCTCACAGGCTGTGGAGGATAATCACCACATGATGGTGACTAATGACCACGTGGTTGCTCAGGGACGTGGTGTGGGCTTGCACAGAGCTGGAGGGCAGGAGAGGAAGGTTTGCACAGCCCCTGTGACCTGGGCAAGTGGTGCAGGGGAGGCCATCTTTGGTTAGCTCTGGAGGTTGAGGCCAGTCTCTCAAGAGCGTACTTCTAAGGGGAAGACTGTCCTCTGGACCCTGCTGACTCTGATCTCTCTTCTTTCTCTTCTAAGGAGTGACAGTAGCCTCATGTTTGTCCCACCTGGAGTGCACACATGCTGGTCAGAGACACTGTCTGGGGACAGGCCTCTGGGAGGTGGTCACTCTGCTCTGGATGTACTGGGAATGGGTCTTAACAGTGGGCTGAGTGCTTCCCAAGTCTTACCCATGACCTGACCCCATTCCTAACATCCTCTTCTCCCGTCCTTGATGAAGGGGTCCTGTGACTGCCATGGTAATGGAAACAGGAAGAGATGCCACATGAGTTCCCTCAGGGAGATTACTGAAGCCTATATTGATTTTTTTTTAAAATCCTGAGATGTCCTCCATCAGGTGATAATGTGGGGTGGTCCCGACAATCCCACACTCTGCTCTGGGTTTCCTAAAGAATCTGCTAAGGCCCACAACCCTTCCAGGAACACAGGAGAAGTTTCCAGCAGACCTGAGGATCAACCGTGGACAGCTGACTTCAGTTTCTTTGTACAGTTCCCTCAGGCCGATGATCTCAATCACTTCCACCATGTTCACAAAAGCCCGGGGAACCTGCAGAAACACAGAATCCGTCACCAAGACGACATGGTGACACAGCATCAGCTTCTCACATGGGGACTGGAACTCAGATCATGTGACTTCTTCCTGGCCCCGCCCACTCCCTTTCTCTCATCTCTGCTCTCCAAGGATGCCAGTGAGGCAGACTATAGCCAAGGTGGTCTCAGAACGCATCCAGAGCTGCGGCTAGGCCTCTGAGGCCACACATGGGGGCTATGACGCAGCTACTCAGCCCGTGTGGTCTAAGCTTCGTACCTGTGCATGGAGGATGTCCAGGGCCTTCTTGATGTTGTCTGTGAAGTTTTGGGGAGAATAGTGAACCTGCAGGCAGAGGAAGAGTCTCCTGAGGCCCGTGAGTCACCCATCTTCTCCCTACTAAGCAGGATTGTTTCCCACCTTGGCTTCTCTTCTTTCTGTACTTCAGAGTTGACACACGGTTTGTCTTTGGGGGCCCTAGCTACAATGTCTGAACTCATCGTGGCTGTCAGGAAAGGGTCCTTTCTTTTGCCTAGAGCCAGAGCAAACTGGGAATTGACTTTGTATTGACTAGAGGTAGGGCCTTGGCTGTGCCGCATGATTTCTCTCTGAACGCCTCTGGAATGGGGGTGTTGGAGCAGATGATGACCTCGAGGGCTGCAGTATAAATAGTCTCTGGTTCTACCATCTGCCCTCTTCTTGTGCAGTCACAGAGTCTGGGCTGAGCCTCATGCAACCAGCATCAATCACATCTAAGCAAGCACTGCAAGGGTGTAGTGGAGGGAAAAGGGGGTTTGTGGAGCCCCAAAACATAACTACACTTTGATTTTTATATCTGTGGTTTTAGAATTGTGTGTATGTGAGAGAGAGAGAGAGAGAGAGAGAGAGAGAGAGAGAGACAGACAGAGAAGAGGAATGGATGTGTACAGGTGCACATCCATGTATGTGCATATACAGACCAGAGAGAGACAGAGACACACACACACAGAGGGGGAATGGACGTGTACAGGTGGACATCCATGTATGTGCAATGCAGGCCAGAGGCTGGCATCAGGTATCTATCTCGGTGGCTCTCTGTGCCTCATCTTTTGGAACAGGCTCTTCCACTGAATTGGAGCTTTGCTGTTTAGCTAGACTGGTTGACTAGCAAGCCCAGGAATATCCCTCTCTCTCCCAAGTACCGGGATTACAAGTGTGCCCTGTCAGGTTACAGGTGTGCCCTGACAGATTACAGGTGTGCCCTGTCAGGTTACAGGTGTGCCCTGACAGATTACAGGTGTGCCCTGTCAGGTTACAGGTGTGTGCTGACAGGTTACAGGTGTGCCCTGACACAAGCACACCAGAGGTTACAGGTGTGCACTGACAGGCTCACATGGGGTTATGGGTGTGTATGACACAGCTGGCTTCTTCTGTGGGTGCTACAGGTTCACCCTCAGGCTTCCGTGTTTGCATGGTGACATTTTCCTGGCTGGGCCGTTCCCCAGATCCATTTTCAGAGCACAGGAGTGGAACCCCTTTTCTGAATGAAATCTGCCTGAGAACCCCACTTTACAACAGGGTAAAGCTGGAGGGGTCCCAAAGCTTAACCTGTCCCCAGCAGCCTGTCGGTTCTCCTGAGGCCCCTTTAAATCTCAGCTTTAAAGTTCCCAGCCCTTGGTGACTGATGCCAGGAAAGTGCAGTAAGATGATGGGGACAGGCTATCCTCTGAGCTCATCTCCTGCTGCCTCAGGTCCCTCACTCCCTGCCCAACACATGCGCCTTGAGCCCCCATCGGCAGGTCTCCTGTATTCTATGCTGAGACCCTCCCTGTGTCCGTACACCAAGCCCACTCTATGGACTCTTATTTACGGACCATTAGAACCCCACGGTGATGTGTCTGGTGTTATGAAGAGTTGCTTGTTTCTGGCCCCTGGCTGAGGGAAACCCAACGGCAGAGGTTGGGTTTGTCTTGCCACTGATCACCACCGGCACAGCGTGTGGTACGGGTGTGGGTGTGAGACTCACAGGTGGTGTGGGCTAAGTAAATGGTCTTCTTCAGAGGGCCTTGGGAGGACTGGCTCACCCTGGCAGCCATGAATCAACAGCCTCCACTGTGCGTCTCCCATCAGCCCCAAGAGGTGCAGGCCTGAGCCTTGCCTCACCACCTCTGCGGTGGCAACGGCAAGGCCGGGGAGAGCTGCAGAGAGGAACTGACCTGTGATTAGCTATGAAAACAAGCAAGAGTTTCCCCAACAGCACAAGGTTATCTTGCTTTCTAGAATGATATGATTAGGTTTCCTCGGTCTTCCAGGTGAAAGTCCTCTGGGTCTTAGAGTTAATGGATCCTCAGTTGGATCCATGCCAAGCCATGGAGAGAGTCCTGACCTAATTATGCTGTTCCAAGGGCCAATGGCCAACTACAATCCTTCCTGGGGAGGAGGGGACAGGACGGGCGACTTACCAGGTCATTGCAAGAAGCACAGAGGTCATTGCCTCCTATAAACACAGTGATTATCTTCCAGTCCTCCTGAAAGTTTATTGTCTGAAATAAATATAGAATAAGCAGGGTCAAGTAGAAAACTCTCAAAAGGGGCAGTCTCCCACACATCAGAGATTCAAACTTTTTTTTGTTTTTTGTTTTTTGTTTTTTTTTTGGTTTTTACGAGACAGGGTTTCTCTGTATTGTTTAGGAGGCTATCGGTCCAGCCCGGCCTCGAACTCACAGAGATCCGCCTGCCTCTGCCTCCAGAGTGCTGGGATTAAAGGCGTGTGCCACCACCGCCTGGCTAGAGTTCAAACTTTTTTGACACAGTAGGACATAGGTCTGTCTCCAACCACCCTAGCAGGAGCTCTGTGAGTTTTGCTCTCAGTCTTTAGCATGGCAAAGAAGAGGGTGGGAGACAGAATCTTCTGGAAATCTGGGGTTCTCAATTAGCTTGACAGAAGACAGACCATTAAGAAGGAATGTTCAGATATTCCCATGAGTTAAAGGCACCTGTGACAAATCCCAGCTAGAGCTGGGCATAGTGGCACACCTTTAGTCCCAGTGCTAGGGAGGCAAGTGGGTCTCTGAGTCCAAGGCCAACCTGGTCTACAGACAGAGAGAGAGTTCCAGGATAGCCAGGGCTACATGGAGAAACCCTGTCTCAAAAGAACAAAACAGAAAAGAAAAAATAAAGTTCCAGATGGTCAGAGCAACATGGCAGTTCCAAGAATATGGAGGGAATAGTTTGTCACCTCTAAATTCTACTCTTCTACAAGAGAGAGTTAGAGAAGTGTTTGAAGTCATAGGGTTGCATGGAAGGGATATGAGCATATATACACTCCACACATCATGACCCAAGGATGGCTGTGACTCTCACGGTCTCTTACATTGTCTCTGGCCCAAATAAGCTTCACTTCTCTGGCTTCTGCTTCCAAATGAGGTGGAAAAAAATTATGGTAGGGGAGAGAGAAGATGCAGGGAAGTTTGGCAGTAGACACAGACACGTTTTGAAACTCTCTCGACAATGGATTTTTTTGTGGGTGCATTGCATTACATAAAAATAACCAATCTTAACCCCCTTTTGTTATTTTATCCACCTGAGGCCACCTCGTAAACCAGGTCTGCACTGAGCCTGCACCTCTCTCTGAGAGACAATCTTACACACTTATCTGTAGAACCCAGCTCAAACACTTCTATCTCCCTTCGGAACCCTCCCAAGCAGGGGGCATATCCCTGTTGTGTCCTCTGCTCTATGCATAACTCTCTTTACAAAGCATGAGTCAACTGTCTCATAATCTGATCCTTTGATATTGGTCTCCTCTTACAAACTCTTGGAGGATGGGACTGTGTTGCAATGTCCTGTGTATCTACAGCCCCAGGCTTGACTGATAAATGTACGTCTACTCTGTACAGCTGCCTAATACAGCGATGGCAACTCTATTTGCAAAGGAACCGAGGTATAGGGCTCAGATCTATTAGAAACCTGGCCTGGATCCTCTGTGTCTATGGAGTCCCATCTTGATGTGCCCGACTTACCGTGTCTGCCTGCATCAGGCTCACCAGCCTTTGGGCCTGGGTAACTAAGTCTCTGTGGGAACACACAGCAAGGAGATGAATGAGGATCAGTGACTAGAAGGGCAGTGTAGCAGAGACAGTAGCGACTGGCAGTTGACTTTGGGGGTGGGAGGGTGGGGGGCGGGACTAAAGCCCCAGTACACAGAGCTTCTTCCCTACCCAGGCTCCACTGGGGAGGACTGACTCCTGAGAAGGGCAGAGGTTTGCACGCTTGAGGGATTGACTCTCTGTGGGTTTATTTCCAGATTGGTGGGTGTATTTAATGATGTATTTCTGGTCTCTCTCCCAAGCCAGGCTTGCTCAAGCCATATAGGTCTCACATACATGTTTTACGTCACGTGCCACTCAACTCATGCCCATGTCAACAGATGCCATGGCCCCCCTACTCGACAAGGTGATCTCAGTTTAAGATGACTACAGAGCTGGGGATAAGTGCAGTGGCCTGCTTAGCATGGGCTAGACCATAGGCTCAGTCTCCATACTGTCAGACAAAAACTGTAACACGGAGACCGACCTGCTTATGGAAATCCATTGTGGGTGCGAATGAGCGTCAAGCAGACCCTTGAATGAGAGCTACGAGTCTGCTAGACAGCATGGGTTTGAACCCCAGGTCTCCCATGACCTCCTTCTGAAATCTTTGCCTTACAAACCCTGTGCTTTCCTTTGTAAATAAAACAGTGGCCTTTTCGTCTTTATGGAGTTGGGAGACTCAAATGAGGGTGACATAAAGAACTTAGTGCCTAACACAAGGCAAGCATCCTTAGGATGATCTCTATTGTCACTAGCACCGTCACCATCTGCAAAGTTCCCCCGGCACCATGTCCAACAGGCAACACCCGCGGTCCTCCCTGTCTTAACTATTAACCCAATTGCTCTGATCTTGCCCCTGGAACCCTGGGTATGGGGCCTTTGAGTCAGCCACTTAACCTGCTTCTCATCAGAGGATATGACATAATCAGGGCAGCCGCTCTGACTTTGAGTTTGGAATGGGTACTCCGTGGGCTCACGCTCTCCAGATATCCCACTTCTGTCCTCCCCAGCTGGCACCCCCCACCCCAGGACACCCAGGCTCACTCAGCTTTGGCTCCTGCTACGGCCTGGTTGAAGGATGCTTGGGGAGAAGTTTCTCTCCCGGTGCCAACAGAGAAGCCCTTCAAGGAGGGGTTGAATTCTCGGAGGATGTCTGGAAATGCAAGGGACATGTTTACCAATGGCCCTAAAGCAATTTTCCCAAGCCCCTTTCTTCCATTGACAGGGTCACCTGTGTATAACCCAGGCTATCCTTGAACTGGTGATCTTCCTACCCAAGGCTCTTGAGTGCTGGGATGACATAGCCAACTGTCAAGCCTCTTTGACCATTGAGTGTGGAGAACAAAGCAGGGTCCCCACCTCACAGCCCAGCGTGGAACAGGATGCTGGGTGCCCCAGACTTTACGGCAGTGGTCCTCAACCTCTCTGAGGCTGCCACCCTTGCGTATAGTCCTCTCGTGTTGTGGTGAGCCCCAACCATAACATTATTTTCGTTGCTGCTCCATAACTGTAATTTTGCTACTGTTAGGGATTGTAATTTAAATGCCTGACATCCTGGGTAGTCTTAGGTGACACCCGTGAAGAGTCCTTCAACCCCCATAGGAGTCACAATCCACAGGTTGGGAACTTCTGCTTCACATCAGGCACAGCACGTAGTAATTTACACACGGAGGTTCTCCCCTTCAGGTCCTTGTTTCTTTAAGGATTTTTATTGTCAAGGGCTGTTGAAGTCTTTCCCTGCATCTATTGAGATGATTGTGTGTTTTCTGTCTGTACTAATTAGTGTATGTCAATGCATCCTTGTATCTCTGGAATGAAATGGACTTGCATATGGTCTCAATGTATTCTTGAATTTCATTTGTAAATGCTTTGTTGAAAAGTTTTGATCTATAACCACAAGGGAAATGGGTCTTTTTTATGCTACCCTGTGTTCAGCAGGGTCGGTGTGAGGATGGTGCCGTGTAGCCCGAGGTAGCTGTTCTAGGCCCCTCTGCTTTATGGGATGGTTAGGACTGCTGTTAGCTCTTCTCCAAAAGTATGGTAGAATTCACTAGTCAATCTGTCCAGTTTTGGGGCTTTTCTTCATCGAAAAGCTATGTTCCTTCATTTTCTTCTTGAAATGTTGTTTTCATCAATTTTTAAAGATAGTTTTGCTGGGTACAGCAATTTTGATTGGCAGCTCTTCCCCTTCACTCTGCTGACTGTTACGGTGGATAATGGGACCTGTTGTCTTTGTGGCAAGTTGGCATTTCCCACTTACAGCTATTAATATTATTTCTTTGCTTTTTAATTTTTTTTTCGAGACAGGGTTTCTCTGTATTGTTTTGGAGGTTGTCCTGGAACTTGATCTGTAGACCAGGCTGGCCTCAAACTCACAGAGATCCACCTGCCTATGCCTCTGGAGTGCTGGGATTAAAGGCGTGCGCCACTAACACCTGGCGCCTTTTAACTTTTGATAGACTGTCTATAATACGTTGTGGCTCATTGGTCAGGTCTGTTTGGGATCCAAGATGTCTCATGTCTTCGAGTATTTTTCTCTAGATTTGAGACATCTTATGGTAATAAAACTGAACTGGACAATTCTGCATTGCTTTAGTATTTATCTCATCTTCTGTGTTATCTACTCTTAGGTTTGGCCTCTTGAGCATACCCCAGAGTTCTCAGACATTATGGTCATATTCATTTATTTTTTTTACTGATATTTGACCAAAGATTTCATTAACCTTGTCCTCCATTCCCCATATTTTTCTTTTTGAGGGTGATAGATATTGGCAATACTTTCCACTATTATTTGCTTTCACTGAGATTTTCATTTCTAACATTTCTATTCCCCCTAAATCTGGATTTTCTTGCTGACTATTTTCCACTTTGCAGACCTTTTCACCCACACTTGCTGATTACCAGTTCGTGCGTTTGTCTTTAGGATGGCACGCCCTGCCCTGGAGACTGGCTGATACCACCAGGGCAGAGCTCTGTCTCCCACACCCCATGCTGGAGCATCTGCAGGGTTAAGCAAGCAGGGCACTGGGCAGAAGTTTTGTCACAGCACAAACCCACACATCTGTTTTACCCTGAGCCACACAGCTCTACTGGCTGCTCCCTCCCACTAGGAACCAAGGCTGAATGGCTAAGAGTGTCAGGGGAGGCTGCCAGGGGGCCACACCACCTCCGTCACTTGTAAAGCACTTTGATGAATGATCTTGAACAGTATGATGTCCAGACATCTTGCCGGGCCATCTCAAAAATCAAGGTCACCACACTCACAGAAGCAGCCTAAGTCAACTGTTAGTAATAGGGGACCGAGAATACGCATGACACGGGAAATCCAACACAGTTTTCCAAGAACTAAAATAGACATAACGTCAGATCAGGAGTGCTGATGTGTAAGTTAAACACCCCTGCTGTCTAACCTTGCTGGCTAAAAACTCAACTAATGTCAAAATATGTATCAAAGGGATATGTACTCAAAAAAGCAGTAAGAATAAAACCAACCACCCCCCCCCAGGCAAAAGCCTTACCAGTCTCTAAGAAGAAAAGAATTCATGGTAAACATTGCCCAACACCTTATTAAAAGAAAGTGTACTTTAAAAATAAACGCTGAACACTGGGCAGCGGTGGTGCACGCCTTTAATCCTGGCACTCGGGTGACAGAGGCAGGCAGATCTCTGTGAGATCGAGTCCAGCCTGGTCTACAAAGCTACGCAGAGAAACCCTGTCTCGGAAAAACAAAAACAAAAACAAAACAACAAAAAGAATAAATACTGGGATTGACAGTACTAACGATAATGAATCAAACAACATAATGGAAATCAGTGCCAACAGGCATAGCCAAAAAGATTAAAGGCAGAGAGAGAGACCCCCTCTAAAAATTGTAGCCAGGCTTTAAAAAATATCATCCGAGTGGGTTGTTGGCAAAGCATTAAGGAAAATGTTGAGCCCCAAATATGGCTGTATTTACACAGCATGAACAAGGTAACTTTGTCTCTCACTGTGATTGCTACAGCAAAGTCCTTGTGAACATTGGGCCCCAGCCTCCCAGGCCTGGCTTCCCAGAGAAGCTCTGTGTCCAGAATGGCAGACCAATCCTTTATTGGACCACTTTTAAGTGGTTGTTCTAAGATTTGGTCTAAGCTCTCTTTTCTTTTCCCATTCAATTCATTTATCGGATAAAGATGAGTTCCCGTTGAAAAACACTAATTAGCTCAAGAGCCAAGCCGGGATGGCAGCCACGGGCAAGCAGCGCCCCCTACTGCACACAGCTGCATCCTGCGGCCTTGTGAGGCTGGCAGAGGCCAGTAGGGGGCACAATGGACTCAGGCGTAGCCATCCAGCCCCAAAGCGCCAGGTACTCACTGGCCAGGGTGGTCACGGTCCTGATGTTCTCATCTCCTCCGACGCTGTTGGTGAAAAGGAGGAAAGAAAATGAAGGTTTAAAAAGCCAGCCAAGCCTAAGCAAAACAGATTTCCCTCCTGAACCACAGCTCCGGGTCATTCACTCATCATTTCTTCATGAGAACTAAAAACCCAAAGCAGACCACAACTCCTTCCCTCTCTCCCTGGACGCCAGAGCAAACAAATCGACCACAAAGGCCTCAAACTGCTGCTGCTTCTCTTGTAGTTTTAGCTTTGAGCTCCGCTCCAATGTTGGAGCAGGGAGAATTAAACTGGTCTCTTTCACTGCCTTTCCGGATCCAGGGGGACATCTATTGTGGCCAGCCCAGTGCCATTTAGCTTCTAGTTTACCCTGGTCTTTCTGCTCCTGCTTAGCTTGGAAAAAGCCCTTTTTAAACGCCCCATAGTTAGGGTCTCCCAAAAGGAGATACCACTGACTTCTAGGAACACTTGGGCACCTTCACTCCCCAAATTTCCCGTCCGCACCTCCTGTTACAGGGGTTGTAGTCTTTTGGGGAGGCCAGTAAGTTTGAGCTTAGAAGTTTGTTATAGAAAGAACTAGACAGCCCATCCCGCACTCGATGTACTGTTTTCTAGAAGGCTCAGGGGCCTTCTGTGCCTCGCTCACCTCCAGGACAGGCCTCGGTATTGAGTCAGGACGTCCAAGACGTTCCCAGGCCTGGACCCGGCCCCATTGCCAGCCTGAAAGAGAAAGCAAATCGTGCGTGGGCGTCCTTGCTTTTGCTCAGGACCCACAGCTGTCCGTGCCCGTAGCCTGGGCAGGGCGCCTAGGAAAGTTCTCAAATCCAGATGGAACCTCCTATGGACACATCTCCTGGGATGAGAGCGCAACCCCACTGGGAAAGATGCCATCTGTAGCTATACCTCCTCCTGGGAAGCCCCGTCTAGACCGCAACTGAGGGTTACAAAAGCTTATAGCATGTATTTTTCAAAAGTACACGTGTAAAGGATGGTGCTGTGTCATTTTTGAAAATTGTGAAACAATCAAAGGATGCATATGCTATACTTTTCCGCATCACATCTCACGCATGCGCAGGTGAGAAACGGCAGTAAGCTGTACTCCAGGGCATCTCCTTCCTGAAGCACGCATTTCTGAACTCTAGGAGAAACCCCCAGGTTACGCTCACTACCATTTGGTACCTAATTCCCTTTTCTACCCGCCGCCATGTCACATTTGTTGCCTCCCCCAGGAAGTCCTGAGTGCCTCTATGGCTCTCTGTCCCGAGATCATCTTCTAGGAGACCACGGAGGAAGGCAAGGGGTGGGGAGTGATATCAAAACCTCATTCAGCAGGAAGTGGATAAGATCCACAGCTGGTAAGATGCCAGTCTCTCCCAGGGAGCGACACACAGTAAGACCTTTGGGATAAGGAACTGCTGGGGTTTCATATGGAGAGGTTGCTATAGAACTAACATTCTGAACCCAGGGTCAGGACTCTGAGTTCTTGGGCCTGGTTTCAAGACTCGGAGGCTGAATGACTTCTTACTGCATCTTTTTTTATTGGTCGGATGTGAGGAATGCCAGACCTCACAGGACTTTTGTCATAAGGCTACAGAGTGAGCTAACTTCATTGTGACTAGGTCACATTGTCCTTGGAGAGTTCAAACCTGGAGATGCTACCCAGGGGACAGCATCTGGAGACAACAGCTGGACTCCGCCAGGAGTGACCATTAAATAGAAACGTGTTTCTTGGGACCTCTGAGGACCAATCCCCCAGGCTCTCTATGGGGTTGCCTTTTTAAATGTGCGCTTTGTTTGAGGAACCACCAGGCGGCAGCTCCAGAGGTGGGCTTGTTCATCTCTGGAAGCTCTCCATCCGTCCACTGATCCCCATTTCCTAACCCCGCCTCCATACCCATCAGCACTTGCTCCTAGCTCATCATCTCTCTTTGCCTGTTTGAGTAGTAGTCTCTTAGCTTTCCTAGATGAACAAATAGGACTGGCTGGGTCTTTGGCAGGAGATGCTGTCCTACTACAGACATGGGCTGTGCAACTTCACTTTGTCACTCATGTTCCCTCAAGGTCCCTTCTGCTTCGGAAGCATTGGGAGAGGAATGTAGCAGCTGGAATGGGAATCTCACTGTGCAAGGCGTGCTAGGTGAGTTTGGAGACCAGGACCAGAAACAGACTAGGATTAAAACCTCAACCTTCAGTCCCACGTTTTCATGTTCACTAAAGTCTCCTCTCCCAGCTAGACACGGTAGCCCACAACTATAACCCCAGCACTTGGCAGACACAGGAAGATCAGGAGTTCAAGGCCAACCTCAGCTATGTAGTGAATTCATGGTTAGCCTGAGGTACATAAACCCAGTCTCAAAAACATAAACAAAATCTCCTACTCCTTCTACAGCTGGGCCACCTACCGTGAGAGAGTCACCCATTGCTCCAATCACCTTGATGTCAGCCGGCCTCAGCCTGTGAACTGAAAAGCAAATCTGGGGTGAATGGAAAATGAGGATTTCGGGGAGACTCTGGGCCTAGCTCCCCTGTACCTCAGGAAGGTAGTGGAGAATCGTAGCTTTCACAGTGGCACCCTTGCTTGCTCCCACCAGCAGGCTTGAGTACTTTCGGGCCGCGTCACACTCCAGGGGAAGGGTGCTCAGATACACCTCAGCCGTCCTTCCATGGAAATACCTCTACCACGTTCACGCTTCTTGCTGAGTAGCTGCCACCCGCCCGCACTGAGGATTTTCACTGGGAAAAGCCCCTGAGGTTTCTGAGGACACGATATAAACTAACACGTGCAGGGTCACGAATGCATGCCTGTGAGACTATAGGTTAGTGGTCCTCCAACTGGGTTGCAGGTCTTCAGTGAGTCTAAGAACTTTTTCATGTTTAACTAATCCCTCGGGCACCATGGCTGCCACCCAGTGTGGTACCACCTTTTGAGAACTACCGAGAAATGCTTTTTCATTTTGAAGCCATGGGCAGTGGTCCGTTTCTGCATTCGTAGAAGAGAGAGTAACTGTTTCCTTCAGGGTCTAGGCACAGATTGGCTCGCACAACTGGCTGCCGTTGCAAACCCTGACGGTGGCTTTGCCATCTTGTTTTGAGATCCTACAGTCACTAAGTATCTTTAGAGTCTTCCTTCCCCCGCCTTCACATCTTGAATTCACCACATGCACGCACGCACACACACACACACACACACACACACACACACACACACACACACACACACACACACACACACGCACACGTGCAGGCACACGCACATTCCCCGTTACGTGATTACAGCCTACGTGGCCTTTCCCAGCTTTCCACAGCTACTCTGTGTGGTTAGCAGAACAATATGAAATCACAAACCCAGCTGCACACATTAGCACACGCCTACAGGGCTAAGCATGGAAACTTTAAAATGACCTCTTCCCAAAGAAATCAGGCTGTGGAGGATGGGGGGGGAGCACACCAGAAAATAAGATCCAGCCCCCTCAACTCTAAAGTGGTTTGTTTCAGCTTGTGTTGATGACAGTCAATTACTATATTCTCAGGGCCATAAATAGTGAATTCTCTGGATGCCCGCTTGTATGCAAAGGTTAGGACAAGTCTTTGGAGTTGGTAAAATGTAAAGGCGATGGGCAGATTTGCCTCAACAACTCCAACATTTATTATAGGCTGAGAGAAAAGGTCCAGATGGCTTAGTGGATAAAACACTCCTGCCACCATGCCTAAAGACCCGAGTTTTGCCCCCAGGGTCCACACAGTGAGTGGAAAGAGAACTGTCAATTGGCCTCCGACTTACACACATGATCCATGGCACAAGCACGCCCACACACATTTATACATACCTGTGCAAAATAAAATTTAAAAACATAAAAAGCAGCTCAACCAGATCCTAGTTACCTCTTAAATTTATCGGATAGAATTAAGAAGAACACATGCACACATACACAGATCTTCTCTGTTCCCCCTACTCTGTGTGTGTGTGTGTGTGTGTGTGTGTGTGTGTGTGTGTACACAAACAGTTTGATTCTGGAGTGGCTTCTCTAGCTGGCCACTCTGTATTCTCAGCCAGAGAGACTAGGCCACATGAACCAAGGCCTGGTATGAGGAGTTGGCTTATCTGGCATCCTACTGCTGTGATGCAGGCCATGCATTTCTTTGTTTTAATATTCTGTAGACCTTGGTTTGAGGTTTATTAACACCATTGCATATGACAGACTCAGAAATTTAGCAAAATACTTTAGCAATGGCTGTCTTTGGAAAGGCAACTATTTTGAGATAAGATTAAATTTATGTGACTGATTAGATAAATGTTATCTGGAACGAACTGTTCACTACCTTGAAAGAAGTTTGACACTCATCATTACTGGCGTTACTCATGGACATGCCTATAGAGTCTTTATCAGAAGGCCATCCGAGCTTTGGTGTGGTATTATGGGCAGTGTGCAGCTTACGTCAGAGTGAAGATGGGGAAATGGCCTCTGCCCATGAAAAGCTCAGGAACAGCGATTAGCAGTTTGGTGTTTTATTCTTGTGTAGCCCAACAACTCCAGCCACCCAGTGCTGTAATCTAAAAGGTCAGTTTGCTCTCTTTGTTAGCTAGGGCTTTCCAACCCATTTGTTCTGCAATTTTAAGGGTTTTATGAAAAGATTTCCACAACGATGGTAATTTACTGACATTAGAATAAAACCCCATTCCTGCCTTTGGAGATTTTAATCTAATCGTATAGGGATAAATGAGCCACACCCCCTCTCACTCCTCAATGCTACTTACTTTTGGAAAAAACTTAAGTCAGCAGTAAACCCCCAAGTAGATATTTAAGTCATCCAACTATATGAGAGGAAGGGACAGCTAATATCAATATCAGTGTTTATAAAGCCATGAGGCACTTTGTAAACCTTACAGGTACATGGGCAAGCCTTTAACCTTTATTGAATCCCAAATGCTGATTGGTTATAAAAATGACTTTCACCAACTTTCTACATCTCACCCCCAAAGCCCCATAGATCAGCTGATGAGCTCGACCACCCATAAGCTCTGGTGTGTGAGAATAGGCACCTAGGCTACCAGGGACCGCAGCCTCCGATGACAGGCAGTAACCTATTTTGTAATATCATTTTGATCTGTGCATCTGTGGATTGAGGGGATATACTAGGAAAGAATTACAAAAAGGGGCTTGAAAATAATTTGCAGGCAAAATAGTTATTTTACACCATAGTCTTGGTGACAATATTTGGGTGGTGGTACTGTTGACATATCAACTCTGAAATTCATTGGATGAATTTAAAATTCTCAGTAAGTCAGAGACGCTTGGTAAGTATTTAGTGGCTCCTCCCATTTGCTAAGCCAGTGGAGGTGTAAGAAATGCACAACTCCAACAGGATGTAATCTCATTTGATCTCATCTCAACTAGCAATCATGGTCTCCAGAAGAGGGGAAGAACCTACCAGAAACATGGTAACAATGAAAGGAAATTAGTAACATGGTCTTTTGCTGAGGTTTCCTTTTTTTTAAAATGTGGAAATATGTCAGTTGTAAATATGGTTAAAATACTCATAGATCAGTGGCATAAAAATGAAGTGTGTTTTCCTTCTTGTCCAATTATCTGTGGCTATTTTCTTGATGCATACCTTCTAGGGGACTTGGAGGCCTAGCCCAACACTCTTAAATGAGTGTGAATTTCACTGGATGAGCATTCGTGGTTCAGTCCTAGGTCCTTTGGTAGCTCAGTGGAGGCTTGGCTCAACTATCTGTTTACTTAACAGTGCCTATCACTGAGATATCTCAGATCGCAAAGTCTTAAGATCTCCTGCTCTTGAATCCTTCAAGCACTCATAAACACAATGGTCACTAGGGTCAGTTAGTAAGGGAAAGACTGTACTTTATCTGGTTCTAGATGTAGAGATAGGTTCTAATGGATGTTTGCCATGACAGAAACAGTTTAGGAGGTTGCAAAATACTTCACAGAGTATCCTTTCAGAGTGATAAGATTAAAGTAGGCTATTAAAGCCTCCAAGCTGATATTCTATCTCCATTTAGATATATGCATCTCTACACATACACCTCTATCGTGTTTTAGAATAAGGGTTTTTACTATGGGAGGGCACACATATAAAGATGATCATTTCTTTCTGCTGTTAAAGTCCATCCAGTAAATAATTCAATAGGAATGCAGTGTCATCAAACATAGGAGCAAGAAGTCTAAAGACTAACCTCGTCTTCATGTAAGACCTGTACCACGTCTGTGGGGCTTGGATGTGGTTTGGTCCTCCAAAGCCTCAATTCTGGAGGCTTGGTCCTCAATATGGTGATGTGAAAGAGGTACAAACTGAAGACCTGGACCTACTGCAATGTACCTAGGCCACTGGGAGCTGGGGGGTGGGGGCTGCCCTTGGACAGGGTTAATGCTGGCCTTGCAGAGTGAATTAGTTCTCATGAGAGTGGGTGGTGACCCCCTCTACCCATTTCTCCAGCATCACCAAAGAGGCAAGCTATCTAATGTTGAATATTCAGGCTTTAAAACCATGGGCTAAATAGATTTCTTTTAAGGTCCCAGATTCAGGTATTTTGTTACAGTAAGAAGATTAAATTCAACTGCCTGTTCTGTTACAACTTTGAAGAAGACATTTTGTATCCAGGTGCTGCTGAGAAGATTTTTTTTAACTCACTTGACAATTATATGTCTTAATCTTCATGTGCAAGATGCTTGGGAAAGTCAAGTCAAGCCATGGTACTTAATTCGTTCTGCTCACAACAAGGAGACATATTACAACAAATGTAAGAATCCTTATAGGTATTGTGACTTCTCCAAATTAAGCTTTCTCTTTTCAGTAATCCAGGTCAGAAGTTAAGTTAGATCAGCTAGGACAGACACTCCTGAATGGCTCACAGGAGATAGTCAACAATTTGCCAACAAATGAGCAAGCGAGCAAACTGAGAAATGAGCGTATCCAATTATCCTCCAATGCCCAGCATGAGAGCCTATGGCACTAATGTCTTAGCTAAGGTTCTGAGTCACCTGGGTCCCACTAAGACCTTCACTGTGACTTCCCATATGTACAGACATCACTCGCCAAGCTACTTCATCCGCAAAGAAAACTGCAGTGCTTAAGTAGCTGCCTCTTTGGGAAGATTGTTAATGACTGCCTAGAACAGTCCATGAGTCTCATATTCAGAGCCCAGCACTCGGGAGGCAGGGGCAGGTGGATCTCTGTGAGTTTGAGGCCAGCCTGGTCTATATAGTGATTTCGAAGACAGCCAAGACTACATAGATAAAACCCTATCTTGAGAGAAAGTGAAGGAAAGAAGGAAGGGAGGGAGGGAGAGAGACAGAGAGAAAGAGGGGGGAGAGGAAAGGAAGGAAGGAAGGAAGGGAGGGAGAGAGGGAGGGAGGGAGGAAGGGAGGGAGGGAGGGAGGGAGGGAGGGAAAGGGAGAGCCACAGTGAGAAATGACACATTTTTATTCTGCCGGGCCTCCTGTTCTGTGCAGCCTTCTGCACATTCCTTGGGTAAGAAGTATGGGACTGGCTAATTTTGTTTTCTGTATGTTTTTTTAAACGAGCAAGTCTACCATCAAGGTTTTAAGATAGGAACAACAACCCTTAGGCTCCTTGAACAACATGGCCTGACATGGGGTCAACGCTCAATAAATGCCCTCTAATAATGATGCTATTAGTTTAGTTAAAGAATAATCAGGCATAAACATGACCTTATGGCCTCACACAGGGCCATAAACACCTTCTCACCCATCTTGACTCAGATCTTGGTGATCCTTGCCATCTCAAAGCTGCTGTTACTTGGATTTCAGCCCTCAAGTGAATTGAAAACTCACTGAGCACAATAACCACGTACCTGTTGTAGGGACTGTGTCCGAGGGGTCCTTGTCAGAACAGCTGAATTCTGTGCCTTCCCTCACCTGAAATGACACACACAGGGAAATAAACACAAGCGTCTACTGGAGTAGAGCCTGGGAGTAGGGGGTGGAGGTGGGCCTGTATATTGGAAACGACCACTTAAATTAAAACAGAATAGAGCTATCATGTCTGTTAAGATCTCGTTCTTTCAACCTCATAGCTCACTGTCCACAACACATTGCTCCAATCTGTCTCGCCCTCCTTCTCATCACCTGAGCTCCAGCCTTTAATACTCTTGCTCAGAATGTCGCAGATCTCAACACCGTCATGTCCTTCAGACTGGAGGGCCTCTTCCTCTCCATTCGCAGTGGTCTCTCTCTCCTCTCTCTCTCTCTCTCTCTCTCTCTCTCTCTCTCTCTCTCTCTCTCTCTCTCTCTCTCTCTCTCTCTCTCTCTCTCTCTCTCTCTCTCTCTCTCTCTCAGGAAGATATAACTGTGACCCTTCCTTGCATAAATTCTCAGTGAAGTCAGGTCATTGTGTCTATGCTGTTTATTATTGCGTGCCAAGCATTATAGAAAATAGTATTACTTATTAAACAAATAAAAGGCAACTGTGTGCCAACCTCAGCATGAGATCCATTGACCGCAGCATTTCCCCGCTGTAGTCTGTCCTTGCCCCAAGTCTTGGTACTCTCCCACGCCCCTGAGCCTTTGCCAGAGCCAACCCCCTACTCTTTTTATTCTCTTCCCTTTTCCTACCCTTCTATCCACCAGGCTCATCCCCGGTCATTCTTCAAAACCAAGACCATGGGTACCTTTAGGAAAGTTACCCTTAACTTTCTGAGTTGGTTTTTCTTCCTCTGTATTCCCAGAAGACCCAACACAAATTTTTAATTCCAGTTTTTATTACAGTGAATGTAATTTCTGGCTGGTGCATTTGTCTCTCTACCAAACTGTGCCCCTTAGGACCAGCAGTGTATTTTATTCGTGCTTTAAAGTCTCATGTCTAGAATCCTTCTATCCATCTACTTAGTCACCTAACAGATCACACCTCAACACTGACCGTGAGTCCTTGCCTCTCTGAGCTTGCATTCTGGAGGTGTAGGAGAGACTTAGTAATATATCCTGAGGGAAATTAGCAATACATAGAAAGAAATACCAATATTTTAATAGGATTCACTGCATTCCAGACACTGGAATACAAGCTTCTCTTTCTTAATGCACTTTATAACGGTATGCAGTAAGACTGCTACATTCACTACTTCCCCAATGAGAAACCAAAGGCACAGGGAAGCTAAGGCCCTTGCTTATTGACACAAAGCCAGGATATGGAAGACTCTGGATTTGAACATAGAATTAGTAGCTTCCTCTCAATGTGCCTGTTTCTTTCTAGGTGCATTTATGATATTAGAAAATATGGGGCCCAGCCAGGCAGTGGTGGCACACGCCTTTAATCCTAGTGTTCAGGAGGCAGAGGCAGGTGGATCTCTGTGAGTTCAAAGCTTAACTGGTCTACAGAGCCAGTTCCAGGACAGCCAGGACTGTTATGCAAAGAATCCTGTCTCCAAAAACCAAAACCACAAAAAAAAAACCTTTTAAGAAAACACGGGGCCTATTGGTGACTCAGAAATCTTTCACATTGGGTCTCTTTAAGAGTAGAGGTTCACGCTACCACTTGGAGAGAATGTTCTCATGAGAAGGAAGGACCAAGTCATCTTTATCTACCTTTGCCCTGGTTCTCTGTCAAGCTTTCGGTGTTTGCATCTCCTGAGGAGTGCAAAGTATCCTATCTAATCTCAGCAGGAAGAATCCAGGCAACTCTGAGATTAACCATAATCATGATACAAGGAGAGGTGAACAGTGTGGACATGGGCAGATTCTAAGGCTATCTAGTTCTCAAACTACCTAAATGCAGACCTCAATCCACTTCTCCCCCTTCCCTGACAATTTTATTTTCTTTCTGCTCATACTAAAGGTTCAAAGACTAGCCAGAGATTTGTGAAAGGTCTGAGGTATCTTGTCACAGTACCACGGGATCCCAGCACCTCATGATGTTGGGACACATGGAGATAGGTCTAAGATGGTGTGGATCCAGGCCACCAAAGAAAGCCAGCCACACATACACTTGAGGCCCTTTACCGATCCCCAAGGCCTGCCCTGGCTGCATTCCAGGTACCTGTTGCAGTTTCCATTAACCCTGCAGCTTTCAGCGTGCCCAGAGGCAAATGGAGCTTTGGGGACACAGAGAGCCAAGTGGAAGGTTCCAAAGATTCCAGTTGTCCTTCCCTTACCTGAAGCTTTGCAGTGGGTTTCAGCTGTTTGGCCTGGTAGTTGCTATTTCTGTAGGTGAACAGATAGGGGCTCTCCTGCGGAGAAAGGTAACATGAAGCCATGACCCAGAGCTCCCCATCCCATAATAATCAAGCCTGTCATCACAACTGGAGCATTCATGTTGGAAGGTTTCAGGTGGCAGCGGGGTGGGGATGGGGTTCACGAGAGACACCGAGGAGGAGTGTTGAGGAGTATGGAGGTTATTAAAGTTAGGAGTGCCACAGACAAGGAGAAAGAGACACAGCATTCGTGGCAGGGTTCCAAGGACAGTTCAGAGCCCAGCACCAGCATGGTGGGGTCTTTGAAGAGAGGTACTAAGCCCAAGTGGCAGAATGAGATGGGGGGTGTCACAGTGTAAGCCTTCAAGCCAGACAGGAGGCAGGGAAAGGGCTGGGGAAGAGGGTGTGTGATCACTACCCCCTTGGCTGTAAATTCATTTCCCTGGTAAGGGACCCTAGCCCCAGAGGTCTGCTAGCTAGGGACTCAGTAGGTGCCTGCCAGTTTCTGGTGACAGGAGAAAAGACAGCTGCAGGTGTTATGGCCTGGGCAGTGGCTGGACTCTAACACTACATTCTTTCACATACCATCTTCTACATGAAGCTAAAGCTCTCCATGCCCCTTTTCTTCTTGCTGCCTGTCGGCCCCCTGGGCTTAGAAATGGTCCTTTCACAAGCCAGCCATCCCTGATGCTCTCGGCCTTAGCAATGTAACACAGGCTAAACACACATACCCCAGCCAGAAGAGGATCCAATTTTGGGCTTCTTGGAAGCCATAGCAAAGAGGAAAAGAGGTTTGCCTAGTCACAACAAGAAAGTTCCCCCCATCAACCTACGCTCCATGAGAGAAGGAATTCCCTTCGTTGATGTTTTGTTATTTCCTCATCCATGTATTTGGAAAGATTACCTATGTATCTATTACATGCTGGGCACATATTTAGGATATAGCCTTCAATACTCATTAGGAACTCATCAATTCTGCCTCCTGAGGTAGAAGAAGGCTTTGAATAGTGGCACCTAGGGCTTTGAATGTTAGTGGGACCATAGCTGAGGTCAGGTGAGCTGTGGCTTTGTTCCTGTGACTTCCACGCTCTGCTAATACTGCTCTCACAGTCCACAGGAAGAAGTTTTAGGGACAGCTACATGCACGACCTGTGCTCAGGCCCAGAACAACAGACCCAAAACTCTTGGGGCTAATGTCCCAGTAAGATTCCACTTTTCCGTTAAGTCCATGTCGCCACCCTCATCTCCCCAGCCCAGTGTCTCCTACCTGAGACGGACATTTCATCGTCTTCCTCTCAACTGCATCAATTAGCTCATCTTTGTGGCCCACCGGCTTCATCTAGAAAAGAAGGTGACACCTGAAACAGAAGCTTCCTGAGATGGCCTCCTCCAACCAGGGGTTTCTCAGCTGGCTCTTGGATCACTAGCCCCTGGTGGACATTTCCAGCTCTGTCCTAGAGCAAGGGCTTGTAAGCTCAACTGTAGGGCAGAGCAGCGGACATCTCCCTGGGGACTGGGTAGCTCAACTGTAGGGCAGGGCAGCGGACATCTGCCTGGGGACTGGGTAGCACTCTCATTTGAAGACCACTGTGTGGGCATTAGTGGATGGTTTTGTTTTGCTTCTTCATTGACAGGACTTCCTAGCACACCTCCCCAGGAGTGCAGGAGGAGAAACCAAACATGGCTTGGAGCAGGTACCCAAGGCAGACTGACTCCGGTGATCTGAATCCAACCAGATTATTTCACAGAGGGTCACATGGCTTCCTGACCACCCTGGGGTGGTTACCACCCTCCCTGTGAGTGTCCAGCTGTTGGGCACAGGTGAAGATTTCCCCAGCAAGGACAATAGAGGCAAGGAAGAAGGACAAGCCCTAGCAGCATGCGAAAATCACATATCCTCTGCCCTGGCTTCCCCTTCCTGAAGCTATAATCTCCATCAGCGGTTCTCAACCTTCCTAACGCTGCGACCCTTTAATACAGCTCCTCACGTCATGGTGACCCCCAGCCACACGGTCATTTTCACTGCTACTTCATAACTAAATTTTGCTACTGTTATGAGTCATAATGTAAATATCAGACATGCTGGACATCTGATGTGTGACACTCCCCCTACCTCTCCCCCAAAGGGCTTGCAACCCACAGGTTGGGAGTCACTGATCTACCTGCACATAATAAACCCAGGTCCAATTTAAAAAACAACACAGCTCTGGATTGAAATTTACACAGCTGCACATGAAGTCAAGCAGGTCCCAGTCTTTAACTGAACCACAGAGACAGAGTGGCAGTGATGCGGCTTGGACCCCCCACACTCACAGACAATAGGCTGGCTAGCGACTTGAGAAAGAATGGTGTGATATTGTAACCACAAAGGCCACCTAGCAAGGGACACATGGTGCTGGGACCAGGGTGTCAGAACGTCGACGAAAAGCACTGAGAAAGGGGAGTGGAGGCAACTGAAGAATTGGACGAAGGGTTTTTTTTGTTGTTTTTCTTTAATGCTGGGGATCAAGAACAGGGCCCTCCACATGCTAGGCACATTCCCCAGCCCAAGGGAGGTTGTTTGCAAAACTTCTTTCGATGGGCTGTGGATGTGTCCCAGCAGTGTTTGCCTAGCATGTTTGAAGCCCCGGGTTTGCTCCCAGTGCTGAATAAAGACCTAGTGTGGTCCTCCACGCCTGCAGCCCCAGCACTTTGGAGGTACAGGTGTGAGGATCAGAAATGCCAGGACATTCTCACTTACATAGCAAGTTCAAGGTCAGCTTGGGCTACATATGAGGAAGAGAGAGATGAGAGATAGAGATGGATGAGAGACAGAGACAGATAGAGAGACAGGGAGAGAAACATAGAAGGAGGGAGGAAGGGAAGGAGGGAGGGAGGGAAGGAGGGGGGAGGGAGGGGTGGAGGGAGGAAGGGGGGAAGGAGGGAGGGAGGGAGGGAGGGAGCTGCAGAGGCTTGGAGGGATCAAGGTGTCTTTGGCGCATCTTTTCCCTCCTGTTTGGGAGCCTTGTGCCTTGCTCTCAGCCCCGCCACACCCACAGAGCCAGGCTCTGGTGGCACTCTGACCCTCATCTCCCCTCACAAGGACTTTGACAGGGATGTGGTTGCTTGCTGGCTTAGACACCCCCATCTAGCTGTCACACATACAAACCATGGGGTATTGGATCCCCCCACCCCCAGATCTAGTAATTCTGTGTTTGTGCCCCAGATACCCCGGAGCCAGAGGAATGTTCAGGACGTGTGGCTTGTTCTGATCCAGTGGGAGGGAGTCAGATAAAGGGTATAATTACAGTCACTTCTGGAGAAGGAGTGGCAGCCCATGGCTCCAGACCTGGGGTTGGGGTGGGGCTGTGGGGGGAGAGCTGGGCTCTCAGTGTCCTTTCAGTTTTATTTTGAGGGTGGCCACTCCTAGAAATGTGACCCACACGACTCACAAAGGGATGGTTCCTGGGGCCTGGCTATGGCCAGGGTCAGGTGGGCGACTGCATTGTGTTTTTCTCCTCAATCTTTCAGGAAAGTCAAAAGCCACAAAAGAATCCGGGAAGAAACCACATCTATCCTAACAGAATGAATTCAACAGAACCTTGACAAAATACTCCAAGGACCCCAGAGAAGGAGCGTTTATGGGTTTGCCCAATAAACCTGCTTCTGTTTGGAACCTTAACTTAAAATGGGCATGATGGCCACACACCCGTATTCTCAGCATTTGGGGGGCTGAGGCAGGAGGACCACTTCAGCTTGAGGACAGTCTAGTTGTAGTATAGTGAGATCCTGTCTCATGGCTAAGGCCACAGCAAGCCTTAAGTTAAACGTTCCTGTACAGTCACCCAGTTTTCTGACACCGGTTTTAACCCTGAATCTTAAGAGAAGATAGAAAACCCCATTACTTCAAACAGCCTCTCTTCCTCTGTCCCCCAGGGCTGCTCACGGAGGCACTATTTTTCTTCTGGGGACATCTGTCCCTGGTCTCACCCTTGCTTTTGCTCCATCTTCTGGTCCCTTAATTGCTACGTCTCCTCCACTCTGCTCTGCCACTGTGAAATTAGCTCGTACACGGGGAATGGATGGGGGTGATCCAAAGAAAATCGTCTCTGGGGGCCGGTGAAATGGCTCAGCAGGTAAGGGCACTGGCCACCAAGCCTGATGCGAGTCTGGTGCTCCTCTGGTATCCACAAGCACACCATAGCTCAGTGCCCCCCTCCCCTCAATAAATAAACGCAATACTTTAGTAAAAATCAGATCTGGAAAGAGTTCTTCTGAAGTATGAACACCTCTCACATTCTCTATCCTGCCTGGAGGTGCTAGCATCACGCTGTGAGACTTCAAGTAAGGCGTTATGATTGCTGGAAGGTCTCCAAGGGCGTGTCCCTTCACTACCGCTGTACAAGAATTTCCCGAATCTGCCGAGGAAGCAGTAGAAAGGGCCCAGAGAGAACGAGTTCTGCCCCATCCTTTTCAGCTTTGTGTACAGCATGCCCGCCCGCTGCAGCCAGGGCTGGGACCGGGGGTCGTGCACCTGGGAGAGTTCTAGTCCTGGTGTGTGCAGGCAAAGCCTCTCACCACCTCTGCACGTGTGTGGTGCTTAGAGCTCACACCTGCCGTCTGAGGGCACGGGGAGACAGATGCTGATGTAGCCCGTGCACAACCGCACATGGCCGTGTAGGCTGCAGGGCCGAGATTCCTTTCCACCCAGGTGTGACCTGGACATGTGGTCAGGAAAACGGCAGATGAGGGTCCCCGAGATTACAGCAGTTCTCCTGATACCCTCGCCCCTGCCACCACTTATGTAGGAAGAATGGCCTCCCCCCCGAGGCTGTGTCTGAATGCGGCACAGGACGTGCACCCCTGGACTGGCCTCAGTGCTTTGGGGTAAGTGAAGCACACACGAGGGGCTCCAGCTTCCGCACGCTCGAGAGGAGCAGCAGAACGGAAAACTGTGAAGGGAACCCACAGGCTCCCTTTCTTTCATAAGCACCCCGCCCCCCCGCCCCCACGAGGCTAGCTGAAGGTCATTATACCGAGGAGAGAAAAGAGATTCTGTAAAGAAACAGCCGGAAGTGGGACTGCAGCCAGAACCACCTTCAGCCACTTTCTGACACCCTTCGCCTCGCCCCAACCTGTCACATTCCAGATCATTCGTGGGCAGATTCAAGCCTGCCGGAGCTGCGCTGCGGGTGGGTCCTAGCAGAGAGGTGGGTGGCCTGGTATCCTGCCAGTAAGGAAACTAGGGAACTAAAACACTTGAGGGGGGGCTCTTCGCCCCTTTTCTGGGCTGCCGACATCTTGAGGGACTTAGTGGGAAACTGGGCTTGGGGGTGTTTGGACAGGTCTGGAGAGAGGCCATGACTATCCACCCAGGGACAACTGTCGCTTGCTCCATGAAGTCCTCCTGGCACTTGCTGTATGTGCCCCACATCCCAGACCTTAAGGGAGAGACCTTCTGTCTCCCTCTGGGCGCTCCCTCCTTGTGACCCTTGAGCAGATTAAGGAAACTGGGTCACTAGCGTGGGAATGTCACTTGGTCACCTGATGAAAGTGGTTATCAGCAGGATAGAGGGGGAAGGGAGAGGATGGCACCCTGCTGGGCTCTCTCCAGCTGTCCTGGAGTTCCAGGGCTTCTCTCTGCTCCGGGTCCCATTGTCCCCACACTTTCTCCAGATCAGCCAGCCTCCCTCCTGCCATTCCTTGCTGTGTCGTTATTCCCACATCCTTCCCTCACAGAGGCCCTCTTCCCAATACACCACTTCAAATCCGCTTCCAATGCCATCTCCAGCACCCCTCCTGACCTTGCCTATACCGAGTGTGGGAGAACAGCCAGCACACCCTTGCTGGCCAAGTCGCATGTACCCCGTTCCAGTTACTGGTTCCTTCCCACCTATAGCTTGAGCTCCACAAAGACAGAGGCTGAGCTTGTGCCTCCTTTCCCTCTAGCCCCAGGCAGGGCAGAGTAGAGTCATACACTTGCTGCCTGAGGAAGCGTGGTGGAGTAGAGGCTTGGGGTCTGGCTGAGCTGGCACAGCCAACCCTATGTCCTTGAGAGAGGGAGATGGGAGGACAGGAAGCCTAGGGTCTGTCCTCTGCCCTTCGTGGAAGAAAGCCTAGCAGAGGTTCTCAACCCTTTTAGTAAAACTTTCTCCAAAAAACATTCACGTTACAATTCATAACAGTAGCAAGATTGCACGTGTGAAGTAGCAATGAAAATAACTTTGTGGTTGGGTCACCTTACATGGGGAATGCATTAAAGGACCACAGCATCAGGAGGGTTCAGAACCACTGGTAGGGGATTAGTCCATCCAAGCACCTGCCCCACCAGCAAATGCCTTTGGAAAACGCCTTGGGTTTCAACGACAAAGGGCAAAGTGTTTCATATATGGGGTCAATACCACTGTTCCCTAGAGCCCTGCTCTGATTTCCACAGGTCACCTTGGGCTAATTGAAACTCAATAAACTCCACACAGTTCACCAGTTGGAGAAAGAAAGAGTGAATTGTTTCTAATCCAAGGAAGAAGAAAAAAAACAATTTATATTGCTGGATTTCTAAGATAGGGCAGCATGGATGGGGGAAACAATAGCAAAAGAAGCCCCCTGGCACCCTGAAAGGGCATCAAACTTTGGGGTACCTTATATCCATTAATAATCCCAAAGGCCCGGGGGAATCTTTGGGGACCTGGGAAAGCCCATCATTGTCACCCTATGGGGAGCAACACACACTCTGACATCAAGGGTGGGATATGCTGAATGCCTGGGGCCAGGGCTTATATGTTTTGTGTGTAGGGAGTTGATACCCTGAACTGATGCAGGCATGAGAGGCACGAGCCCAGGGCATCTCTCTGAAGACCTACACCTTTAAACCTGCATGACTGAGTGGGAACTGCAGGGAAGCCAGAGCCCTGAAATGAAACTTGAAGCCAGTCAACCACCCAACCTCTAGGGGCAAGGCTCTGCTTCTGGGGAAAGCAGGGTGGAGCTCCCTACTAGATCCCAACATTGGAGGGTCAAGATTCTGGCGTTGAGCTTGGCCAGCATCCCCGCTGGTGTCCCACACCTGTTCCTTGGAGCAGTGGGCAGGAGAGGCAATGGCAGTGGCTGTCCCTCTGGGAATCAGCCCACAGGCTGGCACGAGCCTCACATCTCCACACTCACCATGTTGTTCCAGATCCGGAGAGCGAGTGTGCTGGGATCCTGGGCTTCGGGCATCTCCTGGAAGAGAATGAGGTAAGAAAAGACTCTGTCACCCCACCCCTCGCCCAGAATATGATGGCCTCTACATACTGGCTGGCCCATGTGGACAGGACTATAGCCCATCCAGCTGTGTCCCCTAGCCCTGCCTCAATGGGTAGTACATTTATAGGAGCTCTGTCTGGGGTCACGGTTTAGAGGTCAGGGCTGGCAGGAACAGGGCGAGTCTGTTTACTCCGTTTTTTTCTGCAATCTCCAAAACTGAACCCAGATCAGGAGCAGGTGACAGGGAGGTGACTCAGCTGAGGCAGCAAGGCACAGACAGGGGTCCTTTCCCCCTAGGAACCATGACTTTAAGCAGCAAGTAAGTCTTGGAGGTAGCACAGTGATGCCACCAGGTAGGAGCTGGGAGCTGTTCCCAGACCCAGCCCTCACGGCTCAGGGGCTACAGAGACCTGGTTAAGCAGGCATGTCCCTCCCTTGGTGCTCTACAATCTAGGTAGCCCCTGGGCCAGTGACCTTGGGGAGGAAGATGCAAATGCCTCTCTCCAGGGATGGAGATAGAGGAGCACACAGAGGGAAGGGCTGTGGTCTTGAAAATACCGTCCTCTAATCACAGAGGTGGGAGGTACCCAGGGCTTCCCAAGCCCCAGGCCCCGAGTTCTCCCCTTGTGCCAGCTCATGGGATCCTGATACCCACCCCACATGGATGGGATATTAATAACAGTCCTCATTTTACAGATGTGAAACCAAGGCATGCAGAAGTCAAACCCTGTGCTTGAAGTCACACAGTTGGCCCATTCCAGAAGCTTTAGGCCAGGCTATCAGCCCCGAGTCTCTGCCTTTCAGGGTCTGCCTCACAGGGCTGTGCAACCCTGTGAGGGAACTTGTGTGGGAAAGGGTAGTATTGTCTTTGAGACCGTCTATCCAGTATTCAGTAAAGGCTGGGGATTCTGTGGAGGGGAGGAGGAGGGGTCAGCCTTCTTCACCATCCCCTGTCCAGGCTCACATGGCTCACTCACCGTAGATGGCTCTACCTCATAGAAGAAAGGCTGGAAAACCACCGTGAAGGACTCATGGTCGTTGAACTTGCTGGAGGCCAGGAGACCTTCCCAGGTTTCCTGACGAAGAGAGAAGAGCGTGCACGTTCCAGAGCCCAGCCAGCCAGAGCGTTTAGCATGCCAGGAATCCTCACTCAATCACCTCTACACCTGACAGACAACTGTGCGCTGCTGGCAGCTCGCCCCTGCCTTACACTTTGGGGCTCTTGAGAATTGGAAATTGAGTTTTCCCTTGTCTCTGAAGCCACAGCAGACAGAGCTGGAGACTCTTCTCTGGAAACTCAAGAAGTGCAAGGTAGCCCTGCATGCCACGGAGGAGCCATGTTCTCCTTGGGGGCTAGGTCTGCAAAGGCATGTGCCATTATTCCTCCTCCCCCCACCAAACTATCATATCCAGAGCAGACAGTGCCACACAGCTGTGCTTACAACCCTGGTTAAGTACAAACAATATTATGGCATGTCAGTGGGCACTGTGTTTTGAGCTGTTTACCAGTTAGAACGGTGGCTTTCACTCAGCCCACCACGCCCTACTTGGCCTTTTCGGTCAACTGTGACTTGCCTCCATACAGACACCATCTGTATGGTGTGTGTGTGGGGCTCTGTGAAGGAGAGGGCAGGAGGAGGAGGGAAAGGTGTGTGGTCCAGGCCTCACATAGCTCACTCACCAGCGGTGGGCCTGTCACGTAGAAGAAAGGCCAAAGAACCACACAGCAATGGCGGGAAAACACATTTCAGAGTGAGTGGGCAAAACTCTTCACTAGCTGTAGTAGCATGATTTCCCATCCCCGCACATGCTGGGCCTCTCCTTTATTCCAACCGTGTGGATTCATCATAGGGAGAACTATAAGGGTACCTCTCCCCGACTCCCAGCCGTCCTGAATTCAGCCAAGTCCTCCAGCGCTAGTTAGCTCATTGTCCCCCACAGGATGGGGTACCTGCTGGGGAAAGCCTCTGAGGGAGCTTGGGGGCACTCCTCCCTGTTCCAGCCCTTGGCTGCCTCTCAGGCCAAGGGTGATGAACTACAGACAATGCAGGTTTAAGTGTGGATGCACCTCCGTTTCCCTCCTACACACACACACACACACACACACACACACACACACACACACACACACACACACACACACACACACACCCGCCGTGAGCCAGCAGCCCAGGTTCCAAGTGGAGCTCACCTGGTAGGACCACTGCATGATAGCCTTGGACAACTTCGTTGTCTCCTCTGAGCAGTCGCAAAGCTCTGGTTCAGGGCTGCAGATCAAACGAGCCACGCATGAGTGACTGTCCTGGTGGGGTGGAGTACCCAGAGGACCTCCAACAGAGACAGTGCCTGGGGTGCAGCGAGCTGCTTAGGAAGACGGGAGGGGAGGGTGCAGCCTTAGAGGGTGCAGAAGAGAGGCAAATGGTGGTCATGAGGGTTGGGTGCATCTTAGGGTGTCTAGTGCTGTGTTGAAAGCAGAGGCCATGGAGGGGTCTTGAACCTCGTGGTTTGCTCAGCCTGCTTTCTTATAGCACGTGCCCAGGACCACCAGCCCAGGGACAGCCCCACCCACAGTGGGCTGGGCCCTCCCCCATCAATCACTGGTTAAGAAAATTCTCTACAGGCTTGCCCACAGCCTACTCTTATGGGGGCATTTTCTCAATTAGGGTTCCCTCCTCTCAGATGACTGTAGCTTGTGTCAGATTGACACACATCACCCGCTCAGGGCACAAGGCACTCCCATGGAGCCCCTGTCCACAGGGCCAGGGAATGCTGTGATCCTCTTCCTTTCCCTTCCTCTTCCTCTCCCCGCCCCAGAAACCCACATCTCATCATCTCTCTCCTCTCTCTCTCCTACTCTCCTTGTACATTCCTTCCCCTTCAAAACATTTTCCTTTTCCAGAAGTCCTTGTTGTGACTTTTTTCATACGAGCTTCTTTTTCAGAATCAAATACAGGATTCTGAAGGCAAAACAAAAATCCTCTGAGAAAGTTCAGAAATACACAGGAACCGAGTTCTGAGACATTGACATACATTTAGTTTTTTTTCCTTTTCATGGTCACTAATACTTCTTGTCGCAGAGACATTTTGTCAAGCTTGCATGGGTTTGTGGTTGCTTTTTTAAGACTACGTCTCATGGAGTGACTCAGGCATGCTCCCAACCCGCTGCACACAGCTTTAGCCTGACCCTCCGCTCTATCGCCAAGTGCTGGAACTACAGATGTGTATCACCACGCCTAGTTTTACGCAGCACTGGAGACCGAACCCCATTTCTGCATGCAAGGCAAGCACTCTACCAACTGTGGTTTAAACTCTCAAATCATTTGCAAGGGTGGGGGTGGGGCTCTACCATTGCATCAACCAAATTAAATATTGCAACATCCGACCGACTCTGCCACTCACTAAGGATGTGAGCTAAACAGCTGCTGGAGCCGCCAGCCTCCACGCATGGGTCTCCCCAGGGCATCGACGTTACATGGAAAGTCTGTGCAGTGCCGGCTTGTGACAATCACAACCACACAACACATGGTGCCTATCTTTTCCCTATTTTTTTTACCTGAACCCAGTCTCTTGATGCTGATGAGACATGGCCAAAACCTCAGAGAGATCCACCAAATTCACAAATGCTCTGGGGACCTAGGGGAAACAGACGCAAGAGACAGGAAGGGACACGGGTATTTGCCGAGATGCCATGGCTGCCCTGGCTGCCTCTGGGCTCTCTGCAACCCCATGGGAGCCACCCTTTGGAGGGTTTGGATGAGGTTAGTCCAAAGCTGTCACCACCCCCCAGCTGTGCATCTTAGAAATGCAGCTGTCCCTCTCTCTGGTGATCCGCGCAACCCAGACCCTGGGGTAGCCCAGAGCACAGGGGAGGGTGAGCCACAGCCCTGTTCCTGGGCGCTCAGAACCTCCAGCTTCTAGAGAGGCCAGCCTCAGTCAGCAAGTGAGGGCACTGAGTCCTCTAAGAAGTGCCAAGCCCCTCTCAGGAGTGCCCCTTTTTATGATGTCGAGAAGACTGGTTCTTCAAGCTTTCATGCGTTAGGATTGTGTTCTTTCACAAAAGGCATCCATTTTCCCACCCCAGCAAATGCCACTGGGAGCCAGCCAAATCCCACTTCAGCTTCTCTTGAGAAGGGCTTGGGGGGCACCCAAAATGATGCTTGCCTCATGGTCCATGTCCCAAGGCCCCAGGGGCTGGGGAGCCACCGCCTCACCTCCTGGTGCAGGTAATCCAGTATCTCACACAGCTTTTCCATGCTCCTCATCAAATGCCTTTTCTGTGGGAGAAGAACTGGGCTGAGCAGAGTGGAAACAGGGAGGACATGGGGCTCAGGGATCCAGACTTAGACGAGCCCAAAGGGACTATGGCCAGTGCTTAATGGAGACTGGGCCTCCCTACAAGTATAGAATCCCCAAGCTGCTTCATTTTGGTTTTGGCTTTGGGTCCACTCTCTATATCTCTAACCCATCCTCTACCAGAAAAACCATCAATCTCTCACTAGGGAGGCGTTCCACATCAGAGACCAAGCCCGAGGCTGAAACATGATGAGGAACACTGCCGTGGCCCTGATGCTCCTGGTGAAGGGTGGGATGCATTCCCAAAGGCTGAGGGAGTTGCTTTTATCTGAAGAAAATCAAATCTGAAGAGCAAACACCATCAACCTTGAATTAAAACCTAGACAGAACTCAAAACCTCAAAAGGAGACCTGGCAAGATTCTAAGCCCGGCAGACTGCTAGAGTGTTCTTTGACTTCCACACATCACAGTGACACACACACACACACACACACACACACACACACACACACACACAATGTAATCAACAGCATTAAAAGAAAAAAAGAAAGGAAGGAAGGAAGGGGCCAGTGAGATGGTTAACTTGGGTAAAGGCACTTGCTGCCAATCCTGAAGACACAAGTTCAATTCCCTGGTCCCTGGACCCTCATGATGGGAAGAGACCACTGACAGGTCCTCTGATCTCCACATGCATATAATGTCATCTTGTAGACACACACACACACACACACACACACACACGCACGCACGCACACAAATAAAATACAATAAAAAAATTAAAACTCCAAACTTCCCAAACATCTCCAAATATTCCATCGGGGAGATATTTGGGACCAGAAGTGTTTCTGACTTTTGAGTCTTTCAGATGTGGGGATATTTGCAAAGACTTTATCAACTGAACATTTATTGTCTAAAAACCCCAAATCTGAAACGCTGAGGAGTTTTTGGGCTTTGGATTCCTGTCGAGAAATCCAAGCTTGGCTGTTTGCTGAATCCCTCCTTCTCATGCCCCACCCTGTTTATTCCCTGTGCCACATTTGCCTTGAGCAAGAGAAATGGTCCCTGAGAGAGGGTTGAGAATGTAGAATCCATCTGCGCCCCGCCCCAACCCCGCTCGTCAACGCAGCCCCCCCCCTCTTTGCAGGTGAGAAAATAAGCAAGTGAGAGCACCTCTAAATTTGACCTCTGGTTATCATCTCAATGTGAAAAATAAATAAAGAGGCACAAGAAGAGGAACGTTTCAGCTGGCTGCAGACTGGCTGTCCCCTGAAGCAAGACAGGGAAGGGCAAGAATCTATGCTATTACCTGGGGAGACAGGGACAGGGACTCTAGAGACAGCTGCCAATCACCAGATGGGGGTTGTAGGGAGGGCCACCTGCCACCCACAGCCTTGGAATAAGCCCATCCCTGTCTCTCCTCTGGCCTGCTTTGGTGAGAGGCTGGCAGAGGCCTCCCTGCTCTTCTGTTGCAATGACTAGTGATAAGCATCCGTCTGGGTTCTCCTGAGCGTCACTTCCCCCGAGAGCCTTAGGAAGTGGGTCCAGAAATGTCTCTGCTGCTCATCCGTATCACACTCAGGATACCCACCCTCCCTAGGGGATGTGGAGTAGCACGGTGCCTTCCCCAAGTGTTAGAAACCTGCGGGTCAAGGGCTTGTCTCTACCTATTTGGGGCATCTAGGCTCATCCAGTCATCCCAGGCATGGCATGGTTGTCACTTGACTCACCAACTGTCCCTGCTTCCAAGTGGAAGGCATTGTATGCCTGTAGTGTCTATTCTAGACATTTGTCTTCAGACTACTTGGACCATGACTCATGTGTATGTGCTTTCCTTGGCAGCCCAGTGCAGGCATCCAGAACAAAGAAAGCAAAGACTTCATGAGCCCGCAGCCCCCTTACTTCATGTGGTGAACTAGAACAGTTTATAGTTCATTCTATCCCATTTCCCTCTTCCTTCATCTTACAGTTTTGTGGCAACCTTTGGGACTCATTTGTGAGGACTCACTAATGTACCAGCACCCGTGACCTCAAAACCTAGAAAAACACTTTTACGTGTTTAAAATACTAAAAAAACTCACAGAAGATAAATGGCTGTCAGTAAGCCAATACTGAAACAAGAGGTGGCAAATTCACACTGTGGAGCAAGTCAGCAAGACTAGGTCTAGTCTGTAGGTGCCAACATGACAAGGTCTTGAAAATATGTGGCACACGGTGCACACCTATGTGGGAATGTCACACTGAACCCATTAATATGCATACCAGATACTTTTTTTAAAAAAGCAAAGAATAGTAAAAGTAAAAAAAAAAGACTTGTGTATTACTTGTGGGATTAAAAAATAATTAAAAAAAACAAGTCATATGAAAGGGACCCATGTACTTAGAATGCATCATGTATTCAACAATGCTTGAAGGGATAAATACATTAAAGATAAGAAATCACATACATTTGCTCTACTGCAAGTTAGTATGCAGAGAAGAAATCGTGAATGAGTTAAGTATCTATGAATGCACACTCACACATAAAAAATTAATCAAATGCCAGCCTGAGCAAGCTCATTGCAGATATGACAGCATTTGTCTGAGTCTGCATGTAAGAGGGTTAATTTACATGTGGGTGTGATAATGGGTGAAGAGTAATGAGTGGCTATGTAGAGGAATGCAGAAATGTCTAAATGCATGCTTGAATATTTCAATGCAGGGACACATAATTCATGAGTTAATGTTAATATGCACAAGGACCCTGGAGAGAACAAGCGGCATATAAATGTCACTTGACACAGGTGGACCGAAACTTTCATCACTTGTACACAATACACTCAGAACTCAGAGAGCTAGCTAGGGGAGAGGGGATCTTTACCACGATTCTCCTCGGGTTCTACAGGACTAAGGAAAGGGAACTTCAATAGTGGCCTAGAGACTGGCACAAGTACACAGCGTTTGGGAAGATTACATACATGTATGAAAACACACAAGACCCATTGTTTTGAACAATAAATATAAAAATGAGTTTTCTTTTACAAATTTAAAATACAAAAATTTAAGCATTTCTGGCTCCTGTGATAGTTATAAATGCACAACTGTAGGCATACACTCGTGACAGCATTTAATCCCACCCAAATCATAACAACACACGGGAATGGTTAAGATGGTCAATTTTATGTTCTGCACATGTTGTCACACTAAAATACTGGAGGAAGAAAAGCAAATACATATTATCTCATTTGTTTTCTTGAGAATTCGTCCACCTGTTCATCCATCTGTCCATCGTCTGTCCATCCATCCACTCACTCACCTGACTCACACTCACCCACCTGTCCTGATTCTGAACTAGGAGACTCGCCCCTAGCTCAGTAGACTGCCCAGACAGGGTTAGCCCGCCTCCTCCACACCAGCCAGCCCTCAGCCTCCCAGCCTGCAGCTTACCTGCTGAGCGGAGGGACACAGGTGACACTGGCTTGTGTTACTGAAGAACACGGTGATGAGTTTCCAGTCATTTTCAAAGTCAAGTTGCTGGAACATACAGCAAAGAGACGGTGGTAAGAGCTTGGGCCAGGAGTCTGTCTGTCCATGTTTCTCCGTCTCACACACCAACTACCTTAAGTCACTGTTATGGGTTTGTTTTTGTTAGCCTCAAACATCTGATCCTCCTGCCTCTTGAGAGCTAGGATTACAGGCACGAGCTACTGTTGGCTCGGGTGTTCATTCTCTCTCTCTCTCTCTCTCCTCTCTCTCTCTCTCTCTCTCTCTCTCTCTCTCTCTCTCTCTCTCTCAAAAGTAATACTTAGCAGTCTAATGCGGAATAGATGTTAAAAAAGTTCTTTTTTTTTCTTCAATATCAGATTGAACCTAGGGTCTTGTGTAGGCTAAGTAAGTACCACTGAGCTACACCTGCCCTCTTTTCATTTTAACAGAGTTTCACAACATTTCCCAGGCCGGCCTTAAACTCATTCTGTAACCAGGCAGGCTTTGAATCTGCAATCCTCCTACGTCAGTCTCCTAAGTAGCTATGATTACAGGCCTGCACCACCAGGCCCAGCTCTGGAAGTGTATTTTAAAGGAAGACCATACAAGATTTACCTACAACAATACCTTGTCCATAGGAATGAAAACTAACAAACAGCATAAATGCCTGAGGACGTATATTCTGGTGTAAGCTATGCCAAATTCATGTAAGTGAACCACTACGTGGCCGTTAAAATGATAATGGAGAGTAATTAATGTCAGAAACACTGAGGAAAGCGACTGCAGAAAGCATATACATTCAGCAACACCCTATTTTATACAGATACACATAATTAGAAAATGTAGAAGGAAATACAAAGTCATTGTTAGTAATTACCATTAGCATTAGGCCTAAGGGTGGCTTTAATATTACCTGTGCTCATTTGCTTCCTGACTTTTCTCTAGTGAACACATCACTTGGATACAAAGCAAACTCATTTTCTGAGGCAGCACTGGGTAGCCAGGGAACACTGTGAGCTCTACTGTTTACGGTTTAGCTCTAACCGACTTCGTGAACTTGTCCTTGTCTCATGACTTCTTGGAATTCTAGTTTCTTCATGTTTAAAATTACAGGGTTGGATCCAGGACTGCCCATTCTTATTATCATCATGATAGCTAACCATTGGCAGTCAAACTAGGTTGATTTATTTATGGCCTTTGTTTTGTTTTTGAGATAAAGTCTAACTCTGTAGTTCAGGCTGGTCCCAAATTGCCTAAGATTTGCCTCCTTGGCCCCCTGAGTGCTGGGAATACAGATGTAAGCCGCCACCCCTTGTTTGGACAGGATTCAGAAGGAGACACACCTCTCTGCTTGCTTGTGAGGGCAGCTCCAGGGAGGCTAGAGGAAGGAAGAGTCACCCTAAATATGGTTAGCCCCATCCTGTGGGATAGGGGCCTACACTGAATAAAAGAGGAAGGAAGGGAAGGCCAGAGGGGCATGTACTTATCTCTCTTTACCTCCTAACTGAGGGACACATTATCATCAGATGTCTCATGCTCTGACTGCCTGCCTTCCTTCACTGCCACGCAGAATTTGGGCTGTGTGTGTGTGTGTGTGTGTGTGTGTGTGTGTGTGTGTGTGTGTGTGTGTGTTGAACCCAGTGCTCTCGAATTTGGCTCCACTGGCTGGTCAGCATGACCCAGGGATCCTCCTGTCTCCTCCCTCCCCAGTGCTGGGACTACAGGCACATACCATTCTGCCTAGCTATTACGTGGGTGCTGGGAATGCAACACGGGTCCTCACGCTTGCACAACAAGCATTTTTCTGACTGAGCCATCTCCCCAGCACTGTGGAGCAATCATTGCTACAGCGACGATGATAACTACCAGCTTTTATTGAGCATCAACTGTGCCTGGCACATTCAACATCTCATCCGATCCTCCATAAACCTGCGTGTCAGGCTCTCTTGATACTCTATTTCTTAAATAGGAAAACCAAGTTTAGGGGAGGCTGGATGCCTTACCCAGAATCTCAGTGATAAGCAGAAAGTGAGGGTCATGGGTCACATTCAAGTCCCCTCAACCCCCAACCCCTCCCCATCTCCCTCTCTCCAGAAGCTGGCCTCCTCCCTATGTGAAAGGTCATTCAGTCCAGCTGCTAACTCTCTGCAGTTCCACACAGAAAATCATTCTAAATAGAGCTACTCACTCTTTTCCCCAGTGACCTTCAGGGTACTACAGTGGAAAGGACACGTTCTAAGAGACCAGGACCCAATCTGTGCTCATGGCAAGTTGGCACCAGTGCCGTGACCACTCTTTGTCTTGGTGTCCCTGTGTTGCAGCAAACCTGGACAGCCCACCCACCCCAGAGTTAGAAAGCCTCTTACCGGCTTCTCTTTCAAATGTCTCACCAGCTCTTTAGCCTGCGTCCACAAGTCTCTGTGCAGGGACAGGGGGAGAGGGGACAGAAAGAACAATCAATAAAATGTTTCTAAGGGCCAGGAAGCTGAGCCCCACACCCCAGAACAGCTGCCAGTCTCTGAGCCTGAGGCTCCCTGAATGACCCAGGCTTCTGAGAGCAGACTTGCCCTGGCTTTTGAAGCAAACTGAAATCAGCAGGGGGAAGGCTTTGGACACTGATTTAATGAAGACCTCTATTTTAAACCTCTCTGACTGTCCCTACACACAGAGCTAGCTAGAGCGCTCGACACCAGAGAGGGACCAGAATGCGACTTACTCAACCGTCGTGTGGGCTGCGTCGCTCTTCCCAGGAGAGCACGTGGGCATCAGAACAGAAGGGTTGAAGTGTCTGATGATATCTGAAAGGACTAAGGAGAGAGCCAGGGGTCATCTGAAGATGAACAATTCCCTAGAGTGACCAGACAGAGTCTCTGTTCCCACCGCAAGGCACATCCCTCACACCATGCTGTGAGGTCACCCCAGAGGCAGACCCTGGAAAGTGAAGCGAGCTAAACTGAGCATCCGCCTAGGTGGGCCAGGCCCAGGGTTGAATGCTCTCTAGGCATTTTCTCATTTACTCCTGGGGAAACTGAGATAGAGACATCAAGCAAGCTGGGCCATGTCTCCCAGCTGACAGGAGCTACTGGGATTAGAACCAGAGCTCTGGGCTGCTCCCTGTGAGTGACAGCACGGTAGGAAAGCTCCAGGGAACATAGAGAGAACATGTCGCCAAGCTGACAGCCAGAGGACTGCTAAAAATAGTGCTGTCATGAGCACTTAAGTTGTGCCTTGCTCCTCAGGGAGGAGAGGGCAGAGTAGGGAGGGTGGGTGGCAGAGGGAAATGCCTTTTCTCCACTCTCTTTCTTTGTGCCCGATCCTCAGGGTCTTTGGAAGCAGAATCCAGAGGGCTGCTGGAGAGTTCTATACAGAGGGACACACTCTGCCGATGACAGGCATTGAGAGGGAAAGGAAAACTGGGCTGGAGGTCAGAGGACTAGCTGCTTGGCTTCACGACCTCAGGTGACTGCCTAACTCACATGCCAGTTAGCTTTGCCACCCGAAACCCAGACACATGAGTCTGGTTTTCTCAGCTGTGCCAAGCTTGTGGGATCCCAGGGCCATGGGTGGGAAATGCAGAGCTTTGAACTCAGCTCAACGTGGTAAGAATGGCATGCATGTGGGCACATGGGGACCACTCCATTCCGTGTGGGAGGACAGCCGATAAAGGCCGGTGAAAACACATACCACCAAGTCACGGTAGTAAGTCATTGGAAATAACAGCTTCCCAAAGGAAAAGTGACCAATTTGACTTTAGAACTTGTCACAAAACTTGTGTCTATCATTTTTTTTCATCTTCTGGTTTCTAGTCTATTGCTATTCAGTCTCTCTTTTGGGTTTCCATGATGGGGAGAGAAAAGGCAAGGCTAGAGGGACAGATGCCCTTGGTTTACAGAGACCATGCTATTCACTGAACGTGCCCCCTTGGGAAATTCTGTTTATCTGCCTAACATTCTGTTTTCTCATCTTCAAAATGCCCCCTGTCAGCCAAGGGCATGGCTTATGTGCTCTAAAACTCTAGGACCAGAGGATGGGAGGGTTGAGCCTGGACCAATGGCATCATACACTGGATGGGTCTGGACATCCCTGGACCACTTTCCTGACACGGCTGTCAGTATTGTTTCAACCATGACATTGTCCCTCCCTACTCAGGGTGCCCTCAGCTTTAGACATGTGAGGCTGACAGTTTCAGATGCAAGCTCTGCCTTTCCAGTCACCTCTGCCCAGCCGGGATTCCCGATCACTGTGTGCCTAAAAGGGGTGACTCAGCCTGGCAGGAGGAGGGGGAGAAATGGAGGCAAATGAGAAACCAGGCAAATCAGCAGAGTGGTACAGTTGGGGGTCCCCAAGGCCCAAAGTACATCCCTAGGCATTTCCAACTCAACCACTTCTTTTCTCTCATACCCTTTGAATGGAAGGACATCCAGGCGCTGGCACAGCTGTGACAGCCACACGTCAGTGAGCACTCCGACTCCCACCCTGGAGACCTTCCTACCACCCTAACCCTCACTAACACCTGCCCATCAGGTGACAGGAGGACAGTGGCCTCAGCCTGCCTTGTTGGGACATGGCCAAAGGAGGGGCGGGATCCCCATCTCTGTCCTTTCTAAGAACCTAGTACATCACACGCCCTTTGTGTCAGCGCCCAGGCTCAGCTGACAGGGGGCCCGTTATCCCCTGCTCATCACTGCAGGAGCGTGACAGCTCAGCCTAGCGCCCGCATGGCCAACCCATCTCACAAGCAGCAAGCATGAGACACTCTACCTAGTCTAGATCAGTGGCATCGAGGTACTCGCCCCTTTAGGGTAACTTAACAGAATCACAAAGGTCCTCTGGCATCAAACGAAGAGGCCCAGCCCACAGTGAGTGGCTTCAGCTGCACGTTCACGTGCAAATAAACATTAACATGTTAATCACAATTGCTTCCTTTCGTTTCCTTCACTTCATTTTCGGGAGCCTCGGACATGTTTTTATGGAGGGGGTGGGAGAGAGGGGGAGAGAGGGGGAGAGAGAGAGAAAGAGAGAGAGAGAGAGAGAGAGAGAGAGAGAGAGAGAGAGAATATAGGGTTGCGTTTTATTTTGCAAATAAATGGAAAGTTAGACTAGGGTCTTCCCCTTGGGCAGGAAGGAGGAGCCAGGACATCTTTTCAGGTAAGTGCCACGAATCCACCTCTGAGGTCCTAGAGGAGTGAGAACCCACAAGGCTGTGTCCGTCACCCCATTCATATCCCTTAATCCTAATGCATACACCTCTCATGCTTTCTATTCAGGACGTGTGACCTTCCATTCCCCAACTCCCTTACCGACCTTCCTAGCACGCCTTCCTCCTTTCCCAGGCACTGGTGATAATGTGGCCAGTCAAGGACATCATCTTTATTAACAAGATGTCTGCTGTGTCGCAGGGTTGGGGACAACCTGGAAGCTGGCTGGAAACCCAGAACTCACCTGTCATGGCTTCCATGCATACATGCTGTGGCTCGTTCTTGATGCTGTAAGAGGCGAGCACCAAAGGATCAGACTACACTTGTCACCCCTGGGAGCCCTTTCTTTGGCTGTCATGGACCAGTCCTAACAAGCTTTGGCTCACCCTTGCTCTGGGGCTAGTAAGGGGCAAACAGCTCCCTCTGGACACTCTTTTGGAGCTCTCTAGTCCTGCCCAAAGCTGAAGGGAACACCGAGTCTAGTGTACAATGACTCTGGTCCAAACCCTGCAAGGTCACCCAGGAGCAGAGGGAGGAGGTCTGTGACAGACAGGGGAATTACCTTTCTGGCCTCTCCCACTCTTCCCATTCACCCAGAGGAGCCATGGGGAGTCAAAGATTCTGGAAGGGAGCTGGGAGGCTGGAAACTGGTTCTGACTGCTCCCCTGTCCCTAAGCCTGAAGCAAAGTCTTTCAACTCTCTGGTCCTTGGTGCCCCACCCCCATCAATCCAGCAAGAAGTTAGAGAACACTTGTGGGGCATCCCTGTTGGCTGTGTTCCAGGATGGGTACCTTTGTGTTTTCTCCATGGTGACCATGCCGGGGGCTGGAGGCTGGAAGAGACACTGGTGTGAATAAATCAACCGGGGGAAGCCAGCACAATGCAGGGAAGCTACGAGATCACAGGACGGCCAAGTCCACCTTGCTCACTCTATGGGAAGGAAGACACACCCTGCTCCCCCGCAGATTGTCTGTCAGACCCTCACAACAGAATGGCTGAGAGCTTTCCTCAGAGCAGAGATTTAAACACACAAGTCACACTACATTCTATACAGAGCCAAAAGACCAATTTTCCTTAGTCCTCTGCAATCTAAGGGTGACCTTGCCGTCTCTCCCACTTTGACTAGAATGTAAGAGCCACTGAAGGTAGGTATTTTCATCTTTTTGTACCTGGCTGTATTCCTTGGGCCTAGGACAGGGCCTGACATAGTGTAAGCACTTGGTAAATGTTAAGGAATAAAGCAAATTTGTTTTCTCTTTGATGAAATCCTGGGTAAGGCAGGGCATTCCTTGTGGGGGAAGTCTAATGACAGTGCCAAAAGGGAAACTATTTCACCTACCCATGGGAACAAGGCCATGCATTAACGAGCTCCAGGGAGACTAGGAGCTGTGGTCAGGACATTGAAAGCACTACAAATATTGGCTAGCACTGGTGTTTTTTTTTTTATAGTTTTTGACACACAAACGCAAATTTCAGATATGTTTAAGCTTAGATCTGTCAAAGTTACTAGATGACAAGATGCCAGGTATAGTGGCCACAGGTAGACAGTTACGTCCTCATTGTCCCAGACACCAGCTCTAACCTGGTCAGCCCATGGAATTGGGTCATGTATTTAAAGCGCTCTAAGAACAAATCCCTCTCCCTGGGGTCACATCTCTCACTTGTCAGTAAGAGGGACATCGGGAGGTCATCTTCCAGGGAGAGGGGACAAGCTGAACAAAAATCCCTGGACTATGCAAGTCAGGGGTTTTGAAACAGAGCTGTGGGTTAGGAAGTCAGGGGAGTGGACCTCCTGGCCCTGCAAGCTGGACAGATCGGGTCAGACCACAGGGGGCGCTGTCTGTCAGCTTGAGCGTCTATCGCTGCCAAATCTCACACTGCAGACAGAGGAAACACAAATATTTGAAAACCTCCTGATTTCGATGCTGGAAACTGGTTGGATTAAAGACACAGAGATTCAGGACCACAAATTTGCTTCTTCTGCAATTAGTTGAATTGCAGAAGGGGAGGTGTTGCTCAAGAGAAGGAGGAAGGAAGGAAGGAAGAAAGGAAGAAAGGAAGGAAGGAAGGAAGGAAAGAGAGGACAAGGCCAGGATGTGGGGAAGCTCAGCTGGGAGAGCCCAGAAACCATGCCAATGGCCAGTGTTCTTTCTCAATCTCATTAGATGAATGCCTGGCCAATACTAAGACCTCAAGGTCCTAAGTCGAATAAGACACAGGCTCTCCCACAAAGAATCTAACAGAGTGGATCATAAGCTCTCACTGTTTGGCATGGAGATGTCTTTGATAGCTAAACATGGAAAAAAAGGATTTTCAGATGTACTACTGTGTTATGATACCATTTAGGTTTCACATGTCACCTATGTCCCTACATACATTGCCATTAAATGTACTGGATTGTGTATGTACATGTAAGTGAACATACATGTAAAGGGAGGCCCAAGGCACAAGATGTGAATAGAGCTGCTAATTTTTCTTATGCTGTACATCTGGATTGTTCTGGTAAGGAACATGCTTCACAGGTGCTATTGAAAATAAATTGTGTAAATATTTGCAGATCTTATTTTAAAATGCTTGAGAGGAAATTCAAATCTAAAGCAATTAACAAGTTTTAAGAGAATCCCAAGTAAGGGAGCATGTCTTCATTTCAGACACTTCAGAAACTCAAAGCAAAAGTGTTAGCATTAAGGACTTTAAAAATTCAGTCTGCCATTAGTTTTGTCGTGTGTGTGTGTGTGTGTGTGTGTGTGTGTGTGTGTGTGTGTGTGTGTGTTTTAACACACGGCACATCTGGCTCTCAGGACAGACAGAAAAGGGTGGCCTGCAAGTTGATGGGCCTTTAAGTTTCATCCAAGGTAGAGGGGCCCGGCTATGAACTGGTGAGGTCAGAGGTCATTCTGGCCCAAGCTTCATTCTGTCTCTGGAGGCTCTGACTCCTTCCCAGTAATGAGGGGAGGGAATGAGAGCAGACAACATCACCGTACACGAGAATGCTGTCTCAAAGTGAAACTAGAAAGTCCAAGCCCACGCACGAGAGCAGAGGAAGCAGAGTCCCCCCTAGGGAGTGGTCACACCAGTAGGAACCCCCATAGGGAGTGGGTCACACCAGTAGGAACCCTGAGTAACTGCTTCAGTGTCTACAGCACAGGCTCAGAGAAGACACCAGACACATCTCATAAAATAAAGTCTAAAAAAACAACCAACAAAAACAATAGAAAAATACATGTTGAGAATATGAAAGAACTGGAATTCCGTGCATTACTGATGGGAATGTAAATTGTGCAGCCTCTATGAAAACCAGTACAACAATTCCTCAAAAAAGTAATTTTTTTAAAGACAAAATAGCACTATATATCTCAGCCTGGCCTGGAACTTGCTGTCTAACCCAGGCTGGCCCCAAATCTGCTTTGATCCTGCCACATTTTCCCTACATTAGGATTATAAACATACATCATCATTTCCAACTTCCTAAAAAATAATTAAAAGTATAATTACTTTGTAACCTAGTGTCATATTTAAAGACATCTTTCCAAAAGAATGAAAAGTAGGATCTTGAGATTATGTGTACACAGTGTTTTTGTTTGTTTGTTTAGTTGGTTTTTGTTTTTGTTTTTTTTTTGTGCAGGATTCTCAATAGCCAGAAGATGATTCAGCCTCACGTTCACGCATGAACAGATAAACAAACATGGTATGTCCATGCATACAATGGAATATTACTCTCCCTTAAAAAGGAAGAATCTGGCACAGAAGGAAATTATGTTGATCAAAACAAGTTGTTTATATAAAGACAGATACTACTACATGATTTCAAGGATGTGAAGTCTCTAGTCAAACTCAAGGAAACCAAAAGTGGAAATGTGGTGTTTTGGGTGTGGGTGGGGCTGGGAAAATGCAAGATGAGTTATTATTTAACGTGTGAAGCGTTTCAGTTTTGTAAGGTGAAGAATGTTCTGGAGACTGGCTATACTTTATACTACTCAGCTGCATACTTAAAAAAAAGACTCATGTGGAAGCTTGGGTCTGCGTACACAAAGAAACTGTAAAGATTTGTCTTGCTGGACCTGGGTTACCTCTATTCTATCCATTTTCCTACAAATTTCAATTTTTTATTTTCCTTCATGGCCAAGTAAAATTCCACTGTGTATATGTACCAAATATCCATCACCCATTCATGAGCTGACGGACAGCTAGGCTGATCCCATTTCCCTGCTGCTGTGTGAAGGGCTGCTTCAACATGAATGTGCCGGAGTCTCTGTGGCAGAACGCAGGACCCTGATGTCAAGGAGAGTGTGGGGAGCAGCAAGAAAACTAGAGAGGGGAGACAGAGGCTTTAAGAAAGGGGCGGGGAAGCATGAGAGCACATGAGATAGAAGACGGGGGGGGTATTACTCTTGGGCAGTGGGTACGGTGAGGAAGGACACAGGGAAGAGAGAAGGAAGGCCAAGGGCCGGGCCTCTGCCCAATGTGAACACTCTCTTGTCACTCCTTCCTATATTTGCATGGTATTACGTATTATAAATAAGTATTTAAGTAGCTGAGATAGCAAGATGCATAAATTCATATTGAACGCAATTACACATTTTTACTAATATCAGTGTATTTTAAAAATCATTGTACAAGTGTTTTGCTGCATGTATATCTGTGCATCACACGGAGGACCCAAGCCCCCACCAAGGTCAGCTGGTCAGAAGAGGGTGCCCAGTTTCCAGGGACTAGAGTTACAGATGGTTGTGAGCTGCCCTGTAGGTGCTGGGAATTGAACCTGAGTCTTCTGGGTCCAACAAGTGCTCTTAAGCACTGAACCAACTCTCCAACCCCTCCATGTATCTTAAAAAGCACACAAAGCAGACATGGAATTTCCTTTTTCTTATAAATGCAAAAGCTTTAAGGATTTTAACAAACCAACCCTGTGCAATGACTGCAGAATTCAGTATGGAGGCTTCTTGAAAACTAAAAATAGGTTTTCTGCATGACCCAGCCACACCACTCCTGAGTATTTACCCAAAGGATCCAAAGTCAACACATCCAAAACACGTACACATCATTGTCTGTTGCAGCACTATTCATAACAACCTACTTATCCAACACCAGAGGGATGGGTAGAGAAAATGTGGTTTATATACATGGTGGGATCTTCTTGGTCATAAAGAAGCAAGTCATATTGTTGAAAGAAAAGGGGACGCAACTGGAGACAATCGTGTTACGGGAATTAAGTCAATTTCAGGAAGACAAACGTCAGATACTTCCTCTTGCTGTAGCTCCTGTATCTTACACAGATACATAAAACCATGAATGAATATGTAAAATGAAAGAGAAAGCTAAAGGGAAAATAGGGGGCAAGGGTGACTAACGGCGGGGACAGAAGTGAGAAATACAAAGAGACAATGTAGATGTAGAGAGATAAGCGGGATACACTCAACAGAGTAAGTACTTGTAGAAAACGGAAGCAGTGCATTTTAAAACACATGGCATACACTCTGGGCAGCATTCACCAATGGATTTAACTTACTAGTGAGGAACCTCAGGCATTCCCATCCCTGAGATGATTGTAGCAATTCATTTGATTTTTTTTAAAATTAGGTCCTCCCTCTAAGATTTTAGGACATCTTTGACTCTCCCAAATGGAGTACTATCTGAGACAGAAGTCCAACAGCCCAGGACAGCCTCCAAATTATTATTACTATTGGTGGTGGTGGTTTTTAAGGACAGGGTTTCTCTGTGTAACAGCCCTGGCTGTCCTGGAAGTCACTCTGTAGACCAGACTGAGCTCAAACTCACAGAGATCTGCCTACCTGTGCCTCCTGGGACTAAAGGCGTGCACCACCACTGCCCAGCTAGCCTCCAAATTATTTTGTAGGTGAAGACGACCTGGGACTTCTGGTTCTTCTGCCTTTATCTCTCAAGTGCTCAGATTACAGCCTTGTGCCACCACACCTGGCCTTAAACAGAACACTCTGCCAAGACATCAGGAGCTTATTCATGGCGTCACTGGCACCAAATGATCCCCGAGGCCAAGCTATATGAAATACTTACAGTTCCCAGGTTACCAATGGCTGCCACGAGTTTAATGTCTGATGGTGTCAGAGAGTGAACTGTGAAGATAAGAACCAAGGCAAGGTCAGATCTACAGTCCCGCAAAGTAGGCAGAGAATGGCCTCTATGGGTACAAGGAGTAGACAGTAGACCCACACTTCAAAGTCCCAACATAGCCACCAAGGCCAGGTCTGCCAGCAAGTTAAGATGCTATACTCACTGGGAACCCCAGGACCCACACTCAAGGTTCCTGCCCTCTGGAGACCACACTATTAACCCCAGCTGAGTCTCTCCAAGCCTATGCCCAGGTTCTCATGGCATCTTCTCGCCTGGCCCTCTGCCTGCTTCTTTCCTCCCACTAACTCATGACCCTGCATTTCTGAGCTACCATTAATAAAGCAGCAGGGCCAAGAGACTAAAATTAGGGCCACCTGGGTATCCACTTGTTAAGTGTAGTTAGAAGATAATCGGAGAATAACACTCTCAGTGACCACACAGAAATACTGGATGCAAATTATATGCAAATGATATGTATCTCCTTGACTTACATGTGTATCTCCCTCGAAAGAACTGGCCAAACTTCCTGGCTGTGTTAAATGGGATTTAAACGTAAACTTTGAGCCAGGCAGTGGTGGCGCATGCCTTTAATCTCAGCACTCGGGAGGCAGAGGCAGTTGGGTCTCTGAGAGTTTGAGGTCAGCCTGGTGGATGGAGAGAGTTCCAAGACAGCCAGGGCTCCACAGAGAAATACTGTCTCAAAAAACCCAAATAAATAATAAACAAACTTCTAAAAGATACCATTTTCTAAAAAGTACGTCAGTCTATTTTTCTTAAAATAAGTTAAGTGGGAACACGAATGAAGTCCTTACAACAGAACACACACACACACACACACACACACACACACACACACGCACGCACGCACGCACGCACGCACGCACACCTCAGCATACACATCCACTAAACTTAGTCAGCCACTTAATATGTAAAGCTGGTCTATGGCATCCAGGTTTTAGAGAAGCCCAGCCCATAATAAGGGGGAAGTGGCTAGAGTGACCACTGTGACTACATGACAGGAATGGGGAAGCCACATGAGAGACAGCCTCCAACCCACAATTCCCAGGACACTTTACCCCTCGAGGGAGTCAAGACACTAGCGGCTGTCCCCGAGTTGGTTCTAACCTTTAAATGTTGTGTTGTCTCTGGCCCTCCACAGGAATAACAGAGGCAGAGAAGAGCAGTGGTTCTCAAATGCCGTGGCCCTTTAATACAGTTCCTCATGTTTGGTGACAACCTCCCCCAACCAAAAAAATGTTTCATTGCTGCTTCAGAACTGTAATGTTGCTATTGTTACGATTCGTAAGGTAAACATCTGATTCACAGGATGCCTGATATGCCACTCTCCAACAAGTCACGCCCCCCAGGTTGAGAACCACTGAAACAGGGCTGAGGGAGAATGCCCGAGGGGTAGAAGAGGAATAGAGGCATCGCCTCTGTTGACCACTGAGCCTCCCTGCTCACGGCCAGTGGACACCTACCTGACTTTGAAGGCGTACTCAGTCCTAACTTCCTTGGCTTGCACGGGAATGCGAAATTCTTCAGGGTCCGCAACTGAAAGCAAACACCATTAGTTTCTATGTAGAGAAGCATTGCCTGCTAAAACACTTGGCATAGGAACGTTCCTGCCCTTGGTTACGTAGGCTCAAAATCCAGAAGCAACACTTGCCCATGGGCACGTTTTCTACCCAGTTCCCCTGGTGAGAAAGCACACGTGTCTCTTGATGAGGATTTTTTTCTTTTTTCTTGATGAGGGTTTTAGCAAGTGGTACGTGCACGGCTTGGAGTAGTGTGATGGAGAGGGAAGGGAGAGTAAAAGGGACCAAACAAACAGAAGTGAACTCGGGATGATGCGCCATTCTGGAGATGGATAGCCATGGATGGATAGCCTGCCCAATGCTGCACAAACACAGTGTAAATATTAATGTTATGGATTTCTTATTCCAATTTTAAAGGCAGAAACAATCAAGTTTACTGAGACTACGTGTACAAAATTAATTCAGTGCCTCTTATTTTTATTGTATATTGTTCCTCTCTGGTTTTAGCACAAGAAAGAACACGAGGCACTGTGCATATTTGCTGCTGCAAACACCCAAGAGCATCCTGTGTCTTTCCCAGATTGGAGTGTCCTGAGTCCAAAGGGATCATTGAGAGCAGAGGAGGGACACGGTGACCAGTATGCATGCAAGACTTCAGGGCGGTATGGGCCTCTCAGGGTCCTGGTGCTGGAATCCACAGTGGCCTCTGTGGGACATGGGAAATGCTAGGGGAGGGACACTGGCAGGAAAAGCGCAGGAAGCCCTCAGTGTATCTCACAAACCTAAGTTAATTTCTTCTGAATTGCTGATTACAGTAAGAGTCTTGCAGCACTTACTCTCATCTCTTATCTTGTGGATCTTCTGGGAAGACCTCTCCCAGATGCCTTTGGATAACTAACAGCATCTACTTCAAGGTTCACAGTGCCCGTTTATAATGCTTGCGGGACACTTCTGGGAACTACCCGCTTGGTCTGCAAGGATGATGAGCCCCGAATACCAGGAGCCATGGTAACGTTCTGCCAGGCATCCTGGCTGGCCTGGGGAAGCAGATCCTTTGACCCACTCAGTTACGGCCTTAATGAGGGGTCACCAACCTGCTTAGAAATTTGGATTTTTTCCCCACTAGAAGTTCAGACCCCCCACCCCACTATCCACATATACCTCCTACCAGGGGTGAAATCCTTACCACTTCCTGTGGCTGCCATGCCAGTGTGTTCTCTATGGAAGAGCTACCAATTTGGGAGGGCCCTAAAAATGAATAAAAAGAAATACACAAGTAAGTAAACAAGCAGAAATAGTTCAATTATATATATATATATATGAGATGTTTTTAAAAGTTGAAATTAACTCTTGCCCAAACTTGTATCCTTTATACCTGTTTCCCAAGCCCTATCTATGTGCCCATATTAGTAATCTCCTTTATCTTAGAAAAAGCACAGATTCCTTTTTTCTAACCATCATGGTTTGGGACACCATGATCCCATTAATATATTCCATCACGGTAGAATCCCCGGATCAAGGCAGAGTGCTGTCTGAGAGGGACAGTTGTCACCCTATGTCCTGCATGATGCATTATTAGATTGCCAGACATCCTTGCCAAGGATCAGAACCCCCTAGAATCTTAATGATGGACATACAGCTGCTATTGTTTGGGGATCCAGGGCAAGGCAGGAACAGCAAAAGTCATTCCAGAATGGTCTGAAGTGTAGTGAGATAACTGCTCAGAGCTAATCATGGAGTTCCAGGCAGCCATGACTGTGCTGTGTACCTAGGCACCGCTGCTAATTCTTAAAGGGTCTCTCTGAATTGAGGAAAAGGAGGACACAACACAGGCAGGGAAACACAGAGACATGCTCCTCATCCCAGCATACTTCTGACTATATAGCCCCATTTGGCCTGGAACTTACTCTGTAGACCAGGCTGGCCTCCAACTCACAGAGATCTGCCTGCCTCTGCCTCCTAAGTGCTGGGATTAAGGTGTGTGCCATTATGCCAGCCTCTGCAAAGTTTTCCTATGGTAACACAATCTTGACTTCTGTCTCAAGAGTGCCACAGGACATTTCTAGCCTGATACTTGAGCCTGGATTTACATCCTTTGCTTCCTCTGACTTTTCTCCTCCCGGCTCTCTGCACAGTGTGCACGGTCCCAGGGAAGTGCTCCTAACGAGCAGCAGACACTGCGAAAGGCAAGCCTGACTGGGAGGTGGAGTCTGACTAATTTCCCACCCCAGCCTTCATCTGCAGCTTTACCTTTTGACCCCGAAAATAATTTATCTGGAGTTTCATGAAGGAGAAGCAGTACATTTCCAGTTCCTACCCACCGAGGGGCCGGACACCAGTTTCCACAAGTGATGGCTACGACCCACCTCCAGATCTCATTGACTCCTTGGAAATTCCCAGAAGCCAGTTTTCTGAGCAGAAAAGGCCCCCAGGATGGGAAATCAGTGAGGAGCAGGCAAGCATGGAGGGCTGGAAAAATGCAGGACACGGGGTCTGTGGCTGGAGTGCAAGGAGGGGGTGGGCCACAGAGAGATAGGAGGAGATGGACTTCAAAGCCACAAATGCCAGGCAACCCTTGGCCAGCCTTGAAGAGATGGATTTTTAAGATGCTGTCACTACAGTAGTGGAGTGATGAGTTAGAGTTCAGGTATGTTCTTCCTAGGCCAGAAGAGCAAATATAAATTAAGTGGTAGCTTCCATATAGCTCCCTCTGCCTCCACAGATCTTCTATATACCACAGTTAGAGCACTTACATAATTGCTTTAATCTTTATGACAATTCTATGAGATACGTGCCATAATCTCATGTTATATGCAGTAACGTGAGATCCAGAAAGCTCAATTTACAGTAGAGTTGACACAGTCAGCAACCAGTGACAGAGAGACTCAAAACAGACAGCCTAGCTCACTTAGCTACATGGGTAGTGTTCGGAAGCAACCAAGTGAGTATAAGTTACATGCCCGGGACTAGGTCTGGCAAATGTTTTCTATACAGGCCAATAGTTCATATTTTAGCTTCTGTAGACCCTAAAGTCTCTTTTCTGACATGACCATTCCATTCTCTTCATGATTTCAATATTGTGAAAGTGGCCACAAGCATAATGTTAACTTCATCTGCAGAGGCTACAGTTTATATCCTATATAATTTTCACCTGTCATAAGATACTGTTCTCCATTTTAGTCTTTAGAGCCATATAAAAGTATAGAAATCTCTGTGGATATCAGCAAACTGACTCTAAGGTTTCTATGGAGAGACAAAAGACCTCAAGTAGCTAAGACAACACGGAGGACCAATACAATCCAATATCAAAACTTACTGTAGAGTACAGGAATCAAGATAGTATGGTACTACCAAAAGAATAGACAGACCCATGGGACAGAATGGAGGCCAGAGCGGCCCAGAAAAAGATAGTCACCCAAAGCTTGACACAGAAACAGAGGCAATATGGTGGGGAAATTAGTCTTTTCAAAAGCAATGTTGAAATTTCTGAACATAGATACACTCCCCCAAAATGTAAAAGTGTCTTTTAGCTCATCAGTTACATAAAAACAGAGAGACATTCTGAGTCTCGTCACGCTCTCCAAACCTCAGTTTCCTTATCCATAAGATGGACATGGTAATGTCTGCCTTGTATAGTAGTAATAAGTTTTAAAAGGGTAGGGACACTTGAAGCTTTACTCCTCCCCAAAGAGACATTGGTTAAGGGTTGCTTGGGAAGGTGATTTTCTTCAGCAGTGTAGACACTGGTAAGGTATCCACCCATGCTCTTTTAAATAACCTCCCCTCCCCTGCTTATCAAAAACTCTATTTAAAGTCAGTGGGTCACAAAACTAAACAGACATGAAATCAGAAAGAAGCTGATAGTAAAATAGGGTTTAGTGGGTGCAGGAGGGGAATGAGAGAGGGTAACGGGATGAAGATGACCAAAATACATTATGCACATATATGAAATTTTCAAAGAGCAAAAATAAATGTAAATGTTTTTGACATTTATTTTTAGTTTATATATGGGTATTTTGTCTGTGTGTATGCCTGTGCACCACATGCAGGCCTGATGCTACCCACAGGGGCCAGGAACTGGCGTGACAGATAGTTGGGAACCACCATGTGGGTGCTAGGAATCAAATCAAGGTCGTCTGGAAAAATAACCAGTGCTCTTACCCACTGAGCCATCTGCCTGGCCCCCTCAGTAAATAGACTTTTGAAGATGCGTATAACAGATGGCAGAGGTACATCAATGAGTAGTTGTGATTGGCTGCTCGCATAGGTCATCCTTCAGATTCTTCCAGACTCTGTACCCTGGGATTATCCATGTAACTCCAGAGCTGCCACTTTCAACTTGATGGCAGAGTCTCCCGTGTAACTGCCCCGGGCTGCCAGAGAAGCTGTGCATTGAATTGAGACAGTAAGTCTCACTCCTCTCTCGGCCCTCATGGAAAGTTACAGCCCTCTGTCTTGTCCCCGTTGACTCTGAGGGACTTAGACCTCATATTTTGCTTTCTATCAGGTATGTGGAAAGAGAAGTCTTCCAGTGTTCCCTGCAACCGAGACATTAGCGGAAACCACCAAGGCACTTGTGGCATCACTGACCCCCAGTCATGGGATCCCAGGGGAATGCTTCACTTCTGGAAGGTTGTTTCACCGTCAGGCTCTCGGATCCGTAAAGGCTCTTGGCTCCCTGAAAAACTCCCACCTCGGTAAGGTTAGTCAGGGAAAAAAACATGTATTTTTCCACCCTGCTGGGGACAAAAGAAAACCACCTGTGTGTGCTCTGAGGGACAGGCTTGGCAGAGATCAGTCATCCAAATTAGAGTTGCAACCCTTGGGGTTGGAAACCAGAAAAGGTCTGTTATAGCACCAGGCCTGGGGGTACAAGGCAGAGGCTTCTGCCTCAGAGGTCCCCTTTAATGCAGCAACTCTTTATTTCTCCTCCATTAGTTAGGCACTGCCCCCCCCTCCATCCAGGTTGCTTTAGACTGCATGGGGCCTGGATATGTTAGGCCCGGTAATTACAGAAGGCCCTTGGGTGGCACTCCTACGGCCCTTGGGTGGTGCTCATGCATTTCCAAGTTCAGAATCTGACTCTACAAGACAACCAGCTAGAGGCAGCTCAGCAATGGCCACCGGTAGGCAGGATGATTTTACTAGTCAAATTAAAGCAGGACTCACACTCTGATTTGCAGGTCTCCTTGATGTCTGCCCACTTAGAATGTATCCGGAGCATAATTTTCCACAATCCATCCTTCCTTGAGGAAAACCAGTCCCATGTGGCGACCTGGTCATGCACTCAATCTTTCTGTCTGTGGACTTCCTCATCTATAAAATGGGAATGCGCCTGGCTTCCTTGCTTTGCTCCTGCAGTTGCTGCAGGGATCAAAGAGCAGGAAAGTGCTGTGTGGGCAACTGTTGTGTGCATGAACAAAGATCCTCTTCCGGGATGCAAGGAACGCGCCCTGCGCGGCAGAAGTGGAAGAGGTCACGCTTCGGCGGGGTGCACTAAATTCTTGGGTTCTTTGTAAAGTGTAACGTCCCACAGCAACACCAGAGGCGGGATTTGTGATCCTCTAGAGCAGTGGTTCTCAACCTTCCTGGTGCTGCGACCCTTTAATACGGTTCTTCGTGTTGTGATGACCCCGGCCATAAAATTATTTCATGGCTATTTCATAACCATATTTTTGCTACTGTTGTGAATTATAAGGGAAATATCTGAAATATAGGATATCGGATCTGTGGCCCCTGTGAAAGAGGTCATGACTCACATGTTGAGAACCATTGCTCTAGACTGGAGAGATGGCTCAATGGTTAAGAGTGCTGACTGCTCTTCCAGAGGACCTGAGTTCAATTCCCAGCACCCACATGACAGCTAAAAACTGACTGTAATTCCAAGATCTGACACCTTCACACAGACATACATGCAGGCAAAGCACTAATGCACATAAAATAAAAATGCTATATATATATATATATATATATATAGAGAGAGAGAGAGAGAGAGAGAGAGAGAGAAACCATTGTTCTAGACCTTTTTTTTTAAACAGGCTCAGAGACCAGCAAAGGAAGAGCAGGCTTGAGCTGTGCTGCAATCACTGAGTGTTGTGCTATGCCAGAATCTGGAAAAGCGAGGGCCAAAGTCATCCAATGTCTCCCTTGTGACCTCCTTGGCTGTACACAGATCTTCTGGGTGACTCTAAGCTCCTTAGGGTGACTGGCAAGTCTCATTCATACAGGGGCCTTACAGGACGCTGTGG